CTAAAATTGGCTGAAATTGGTTCAGCGGTTTCAGAGAAGAAGCTGAAAATATTCAAATGTTAACACACGACAGATGACGCACAACGGACAACTGAGGATGCACGACGACGGACGAAAACAAATAGCAATAGGTCACCTGAGTTACTCAGGTGACCTAAAAAGTATGGAATGCATATTTAAATATATATGTCTTGTCTGACTGTATAAATTTGAAGCAACTTACTGGGACACCAAATTGACCTAAAGGGTCAAATCCATCCTCCATCATTCCATATATGGAATACATTGTCATCTGAAATTAAAAAAATGCAATATAGGAAATTGAGAAATGGAAACTCTAAAAATAAGCCTCGATTTTTAGCTGCCTACTAATAACTTGTCCCTTTCAGAGGTTGTAAAATAATTTTTTTTCGGATTATTTATGACAACTGGTTGTAAGTCAATCTATCAAAGGTTAAAACATGTCATTATAAGAATTGAAGTAAATTACTTATGTGTTTTGTATATTATGAACATTCTTCCTTGTTTTTTTATTTAACTGTATTGCTTGGCCCATATGGGGTTTAATATGCTATAAAGATTAAATATAAAGAAATTCATATTTGCCTATAACATTTTCAAGTCCTTATCAGGTTCAAATAAAATGATTTAATCCCCCCCCCCCTTTCCTTGAAATCACCACTAGGCCTGAAATGCAAAAAACAACCACTAACTTAAGTATGAAATTAATATTAGATGAATCAGAAATTCTTATTATGAAGTTCTGGGGATGGGATAATTGAAAAAAGTAATTGTTATTGACCATAAATAATTACATTTTTTGAAGTAGTTGGATGTAATTTGTAATTCTAATGCAATCGTTTTGTAAAACACATTTTGATTGGCCGTTAATGCTGATTTAATGGTCATAAACATCTGTTTTACCAGCTTCGCTTACATGTGCCGGTAAAACTCAGTTTGCGACTGTTAAATCTGCATTAACAGTCACAAATACCAAATTAGAGGACAGTTATTCCCTAATTGAACAGATTTTCAATTTTGTACAACCTATCTATTTAGCTATGAAACATTTCATTCATTTTTGTTTGATCAATAATATTAATTCTAAAAGAATAGGACTGTGTGTGTCATTAAGATCTCTCTTTTTGGCTAGAGATAACTGCTGTAAATTGCAATCAAAACAAATCAACCCTAAAAAGAGACATTCAGTCCACGATTTGGAAGATAAGAACAATAGAGGTGGTTATTTAAATTAAAATTGCTCCACTAGCTTTAGAAAAGTATAACTTTCAATTCAATAATTATTTTATGAATAAAGTTTTGGAATTTGTATCTGAAAAAGTTACATCCAAATATTATACAGAAGTAAAAATGTTCAACATTAAAAGCAAATTAGGAAGTTCAGATTATCTATAATTGAGCATAATCTGAGGAGTTTCAGCTACTCGTTTATTCATTTAACTCATTTACTCTAAATAAGTCTCACAAGGCATGCAATTTGTGTACATGTAGGTTTTTTGTGGAGGAAACAGTGTCTAACTGATCACAGGTAATTCTTGAATGTTTTGAAAATGAAAGTTATAACACCATAAAGATGCACAATTTCTAAAGTCATATTTTTTTTTTTGTATTGTTTGTACAGAGGCTGCATGAGCTTGTACAATGGTGTTTCGTACATCTATAATCATTCACAAGGATTTTGAAAAACTGAATAAAATAAAAATGTAATTTGTAATTAATTAATTACTCCTTCAAAGTAATTGTAATTAATTACATGTCTTATATCTTATAAAGCATGTAATTAAATTGTAATTTAATTGAAGAAAAAGTCAAAGTAATTGTAATTATTGACCCCATCCCTGATTATGAAGCCTTAAAAAAATAAAACTAAATACCAGGGCTTTCAAAATGATTATAACATGCAACATCTACAAAGACGTGGACAAAAATAGGAGGCACCACATGGATGGGATTTAAGTTAAATATGTTACTGAATTTTTCTAAAAAGGAATACTTAGTTGGTACAATCCTGATATCAGCTGGCTAAAAGGTATAGGGTACTTGCAAATTTTTAGTGGCCTACCATTCCCACTTCCTTTCAGAAAAAAATCAATGTTATTTTCACAACATTTAAAAAAATATTTTAAATTGTAGTTCTCTCACAATTCCTTTTTTTAGGGGTGGGAGGGGGGCACAATCATATCTCATCCTACCAATTAAAAAATTCACTTGGTTGACCTGAAAAGTGTTGGTCTTTAAATTTTTCCATACAAAATTCAGTGGGTAATATTTTGAATTCATTGAATAACTTGATAGAAGCATGTATTGATAATAAGAACACTTTTCTCAAACACTTAAAATGTCTTTGTGAATAATTCAAACAATTTTTTTTAATAGAACCGACTATTGACATTGACAGAGACAAAGTTGCATACAATGTCAAGCAATGACCTTGGGCAAATGGTGATTTCCAAACAAAGCTGATGTTAATTGCAGATATATGATTAAATATTGGAAAAAATATCATTTCTTATTATTTTAATTATATAAGGCACAAGCATAATGTTTAATGATAATATGAGGCCTACTTCATTCATTTTTGATAAAGCACCTTCACAGAGTACGGAGAAAATGCTCAATTGTTTGTGTTTTTTCAATGAATCATTAACTAAAGTTTGCAAAAAAATATCAAAGATGCATGCAAGTTTTATAATTTTTATCATATTTTAAGTACTGGGGAGAAAACTAAGCTTACCACAGCAAAAACAATACACCGAAGTGCAAAGCCGCATCTTCTTACAGCCATGTTGAAGTAAGAGGGTTTCCGCATTTTGCACATGCGCAAACTTTCGGGATGTTTCGGTAGGCCAAAAGCTGCAAAAAGTCGCTTTCGTTTCAAACAAGAACAGTACATTGTGAATTTGCTCAACACTTCTAGCAAGACAAGGAAAAATTTGTTCCCTGCTTACTCACTTGATAAAGATATTGTGGTAAATACAAAATAGTAAATCACTTTTCTTATGCAGCCTAAGCCTGATGTTTGGAATGCTTTATTGATTTAACATAGATTTGATCTCGAAGAAAAAAATACATTATAAATTTGAATGTCAGGTATATTTCTATGTTTACTTGTTAGACTATATATATCACAGTGATCTAAAAGAATGTCATACTGATCAATATGTAAAGAGCTGGAAAGAAATACAAGCTTGTAAAAAAAAATATTTATTGCCACATTTGAAGTTGAAAAAAAATCCTTTAAGGCTCATACCTTGGCTCTCAGTTTACACTCAGGGCGTCGACAATTCCAGAGACATCAAATATATAAAGTCTACACGTACAAGTACTAAAGTACATGACATAGTCTATATTCTCGTTAATATTCCACGAAAATGCGAAAGAGAAACCATTGGAGGAGGTATCACGTGAGGCATCCTGTTCCTAAAAATATAATCTTGGTTTTCACAAAATAATTGGAGAAAGCAAAAACGCACTATTTGCAAAACTTGCTTTTCTTACACTCAATACGGGATGCAAATGATGTAATTCCAAACCTAACTCTTACTTGTTATATTGTATGAAAATGTTCATTGAAAGGGCGGTCCCCCCCCCCCCCCCAACACACTTTTTGCTGGAGCAAAGTCTGATCCTAATAGCTGTTGTTACATATATGATAAATAAAAAAAATCTTGTCGAAAAAGTTGGAACCTACCCCACCCCCTTTATGAAATTGGATTTCCAAGGTTGGACACCCCCCCCTTTTTTTTTTTGCTTGTCAAAGTTTGCTATTTTTAGGGGTAAGTTGTAATTTTTTTCCCGGCTGCCCCCTCCCCCTTTTCAAAAACGATGCTACGCTCCTCATCTTGTTTTGATAGAGTTAGACTGAATGCATCCGACTTTTTGACCTGCCACTTCATTTTTTATGCAATATTGTGCACCCTAACATCTACGAAGATATTTTGTCTTGCAAAATATTGCCAAAGAAATTATTGATTGACCTGATCGATATATATATATATATATATATATATATATATATATATATATATATATATATATATATATATATATATATATATATATATATATATATATATATATATATATATATATATATATATATATACACACACACACACACACACACACACACACACACACACACACACTATATATATATATATAAGTCGGTGTATATATATATATATATATATATATATATATATATATATATATATATATATATATATATATATATATATATATAAGGAATAACTGTCTAATTTTTTGGATTCATGATGTGATCAATCGAGTGGCTTGCGTGATAATTTGCATAAACGCCGAAGGCGTTTATGCATAAAATTATCACGCAAGCCAATCGATTGATCATCGTCATGAATCCAAAAAATCTGACAGTTATTCCTTATATTTACATGCTCCTGATTCTGCAAATTCCCGTGCTAATAGCCCCGCTTCTGTCTCTATGTGTCCCGCCCCGCACGTGATTTTTTTTTAACCGCGCCTATCGATGAACCAGTAGATTTATGTAGAAATAAAGTATTTTTACAATTTGTAATTTTATCTCGGACAAAGACATTGGAAATGTAAATATATATATATATATATATATATATATATATATATATATATATATATATATATATATATATATATATATATATATATATATATATATATATATATATATATATATAATGATTTTGAAACGCAGCTTTTTAATGAGAATGATGATGATAATCACTTAATCTTTTAATCTGCTATAGTAATACATTCTGAAGATCGCAGATCTTAACTGGTTACAATGTACGAAAGTGGATCAAGGGATTTTAAAATTTTGATTTGATTATTTTTCAAATAACAAGATAAATAATTATGATCAAAATAAAAAAAAATGTGGATAAAAAGTGTAAAGCGCATTTATATTGAAACATACAATCACCAATGTTCTAATTATGAACTTTTATATGTTTATGTTCAAGGTCAGTTATACAAACATCCAGACTTTCTATGATGGACAGGAGCTGTTACTAAAAGTGCATGCATTTAACATTGCTCCAGAAAATGACCCAAGTGAGTATTGTTTATCCCACCGCCCAAAAAACCAATAAATGCCGAGATAAGATGTGTTTATGCAATGTTTTTACTTTATTTCAATTGTGTTTTGCAGATGTTAAAGGAGGCGATCTTGATTTCTCGAAATGGTAAGTTCGGGATCGATATACCATAAATATACATATCCTGTATCTGCTGCTGAAGAGGGAATTTCAAAATAAAATAGTCAAAGAACATTGAAAGACTTGGGAGAACGAGGATTTGTACATTATTTTATATGATCATTTAATTTGTCTACTGCAATATTGATTTTAAACTCAAATTCAGGGTTCGACACTAACTTTTTAAGGCTTTAGTCAAGCCGGACTAGTGCTTCATTACTTTTACTAGTCCGCATGCGATTTTATTAGTCCGTCAAAAAAAAAAAAAAAAAAAAAAAAAAAAAAAAAAAAGAAGAAACATCAATGTTTTGTAACATGAATTTAACTTGACAATTAATTTTGAAATAAACATAGTATTTACGTGAAAAATATTATTACACAGATTCATTGAAATCTCGCTTTTTTTTTCTTTTGGTCTTTACATTATATCCAAAACGTCCAACATCTTTCTTAAAAGTGTCATACTAAATCATGATCGCTAAAACCTTATAACTTCATATCGATCAGTCGAAAAATTAAGCGCTGAATTGACCTAGGATTGCTTAACTAGCCAAAAGCTAGAAATCTAAAAATACATGCGGGGTTTTCCAGTAAAAGTTATCGGTAATTTATTCATATTGTTTTTCAGAAATTTTTATTGGTCCGTTCGGACTTATTAGCCACATATTTTATTAGTCCGAATGAAAATGTATTAGTCTGAGACTAACGGACTAACGTTAGTGTCGAACCCTGCAAATTCAAAATCCTACACCTCTGATATAGGCCTACATGATGATGATGATATACAATTATAGCCAGAGTGAGTCGTAACAATTTACTTTCATTGTGAGCTGTACACGGCGACATCTTATCTCCGTTCTTTATAAATGCCTTTATCTACAAAATTTTCCAGAAAACTGCATTCAGCATTTACTCTGTTTCTTTCTCTTTTTTTCTTTTTTTAATTTTTTTCCTTCATCTTGCTAATTGAAATTAAAAACATAGTGGGTGGGATACTTTGAGAAAAATAATTTCATGCAAATTATAGTAAAATTGCAACAATAGTGTGAACATACTATAATTTTCACTGTACTTTTTGTGGTTAAGGAGTGGACTGACCCTCCACATATACTGCAGGGCTTTCAAAAATATTAGAAAAATGCAGAACTAATCAGGTCTAGGCGGCCTCCGTTTTCAGATGATAGCCAAAATTCAATATGGCGGCCAAATCATCTCCATGCATATATGGAAAGTCGCAATACATTATGGAATAGCTTATCCTCCAATTTTGGAGGCTTGTCCTCCAATTTTGGAGGATAACACAGGTAATTTTCAAACGCCTCATGCCTAGCTTTAGTGGAAAAGTGCATGCACCAGAGTACATGTAAATAAAAGTTCATACATTAAGTGGCACTTTTTGCTTTATCTTATTCCTGCAGATTTCCTTTTTTTTGTTATATAACAAGCAGGTAGGGGTACAATGTAATCTGTTTTCAAACTGTAATTATAAAATGATTGATGGTAGTACATGTAATATTGATAAAAAAAAAAATTACCAAACATCATTTTCCGTAGTTATATCTTTTATTTGTTTTTGGTTGAGATAGGGTACTGTTCATAAACCATTTAAAAAATGCATGAGTTTCTGTTTTTTGTTTGGTCAAAAATTAACTGCCCTTTGTTTTGAAAAGTCTGGTAGGTGGAGAGAGTGCTATTCTATGATTTCAAAGGATAAAAACTATCCTCCAAAAAATGGAGGCCACCTACACCTGCTAATGTGATCAAATCAGTTAGTTTATTTTGGCCTAATGAAATTCTCAATTTGAAAATGTTTACATTTATTAAAATTTGAGACACACACTCTGTAGATTTCATTTTATTGTATTTTAAATCTAAGGGCAGATCATTCTAGGTGCATACAAATATCACAGAAGTAGGATGCAGTGTATTATAGGGTCATTTGGCTCAGATTATTTGCATAGTAGCGTACAAAATCGATAAGTACAAGAAACCCAGGGTAACATAATATGCGAAAATGTTTTGCCTGTATAGCCGAAATTTACATAAATTGCATGGTCAAAGAGGTATCTTGGTAACTGTGCACTCAGTTTGGTGTTCAGAATTACTCAACCGTGAAATGTATGACGTCACATAGGGAAAATGGTAAAAAGCCAAAAACATGTGACAGGTTTGTCAACACATCTTGAAATGCCACTTGATGCACTTAAGATATACACATCATTTTTCAATATTTAAGTATACCATATATCTGCAAAATTATTATGAAACATCAGAACACCAACAATCATGATTTGGCAGGTGCGGATCCAGGGATTTTTTTTCCGGGGGGGGGGGGGGGGGGGGGGGATCCACCCAGTCCCCCCAAAATTATTTGCTTCTGTATATTCATTTAATAACTCTGCAAATTTGAGTGGGGGGCAAAGACAATTTGAATTTTTTGTAGTCATGGTATGGCTGATGGAAGTTCCATGGGATCTGTCCTTTGCATTGCCTAAGTAAAGAAAAAGGAAAGAACAGGTTGTTGTGCAGTTGTTGTGAATTTTTTCACCATAGAATGTCTTATCCGTCATCAGAGAGTGACTGGAAAGGTTTCCAATCAACTGTGACGATGACATTGGTGCATAACAACACAGTGTCAAGATTGAGCTATTCATCCTGCCTTCTGTGTACTTGCCACTTACAACCACTGAAACCACTATTAATACAGTTCTAAGGCAATCATAATCATTACATTCTTCCAAAAACTGAAAAAACCCTATTGCCTGATTTTGGTTTGTGAGCTTGTCAACTTTGTGTCAGTGTTCCTCTCACTCGTGCGCGTTTGCATTATGCCTAATTTTTCAGCATGTTAACCCATGGCCCAGTGTAACCAGAGTTTGTCAAGACATTCTTGCAAACATTCACATTAACCCACTTGACTGGTGTGCGTACAATCCATTTTTTTCTCCAGTTGAACATCTGTGGGACTAACTGGATGGTAGGTTTTAAAGGCATCGGAATGTCTAATCTACTCTTGATCAACTAAGTGCTGCCTTGTCGAAAAGGTTGAATAATATCCCTATGAGAAAGACAAATGCACTTATGAACACCATGCAGAGGAGGATTACGGCTGTGACAGATGCACAAGGGATTTCGATTTTCACTATTAGGGGGTACCGTCATTTGAGTTTCAATAACTCGTGAATTATCAGTCAAAATCAAATGAGATTTTGCTTACTTGTTGATGAAAGATGAGTTCAAATGTTAGATAACAATACTGGGAAATACATTTGAAAATATAACATTAAATCACTTCAAAAGTTTACCCTGCGTTTCTTTATCCATTCAATATAAATCCAAGTATTCTAAACATAATATTTAATAGACCAAGATATGGAGTAGTTGAAAACTTTTTTGCATGTATTTTCTCAATTTGAGCAAGCAAAAGCGAATTTTCTTTTTTTTACTTCATTATCTTTGGAGATTTTTCCTGGATAAAAAGGCAATCTCCCTATATTAAAAATGAATTAGTTAAATTCAAAATATCCTCCTTTATGCTATATAATTTTCTGAAAGTCCAATAAAACATTTTCCGTCAGTGTATAGAGGATCTTTAAGCACATCTTTAAGTCTACAAGAGCTTATCTGATGGTAATATGTCAGTTGTCTGTTTGTAAACAATTTTTTCGAAATGTTACTCAATCCACGTATAGTTTTGGTATGATTTCATTAAAAGTACAGTAATAGGCTATACATGATTTTATATTTTTATTTTCTCTTTTGACGATATGTGTTGCCTTGGTTTGCTAAAAGTAGAAATTTTGTGAAATTCTTTATTCTGAGTACAAATCAGTAGAGATAAAGTTTCATGAGAGACTTCTGGTTTATTTTCTTTTTTCAAAATACAGGTTTTCTTTTGTGATATCGCACCAAGGAGTAATAACTCATGTATATCACCCCTCCGGAGAAGACTCGGATGTCATTGCTTCAAAAAAGGGATTTGCTGCTTTGTTTGCCTCACGACTGCATGTGGAAGGAGATGTAAATATATCTTTTTCTATTTTATTTATATGTTACAGTATTTATTAAAATTTTCTTTTAAACATTGGTAGATTATTTTGTAAACTGTCAATTTGAAAGTATTATTATTCCATATTTAGAGAGATGGATAATATTACTTAAACTATAAAACTATAGGTATGAGGTTTATGTGTCCTATTAATATAGACATTCTATGTGTCTTCAAACATGAGGGGAGTTAACTGAGGGAAAGTCTAAGCCTACCCTTTTAGTGTTCATACAATTTTTATAAACCAATAGTAATGTAAAAAAAAAAAATATTTACATCAGTCTGTTTTTGTAGGTTGCAGGGATTTCAAAGACCCATGGATTTATTTACAACATTACAGAGAATGGAAGTGAAGGTTTGAAATATAATCTGTGTATGATTTTTAGACAAGCTAGCTGGTATGGACATTCTTGTGATAAAAGGGATTATGAATATCCTTTTCTTCTAAATGCTTAGCTGCACTCTGCCTTGGAACCCCTATTTACTGATTTTAGTGAAGACACAGAATGTCTTCAAAAATTTTTATCTGATATAAATAATGATACAATACCTATATATAGTTCAGGTATTTTGTTATCTCCATTTATCCACCACACTTTCTCCTCATCAGAACACCTCCTACATTTTTACAAGTAAGCAAATATTGTATGTTTTTCAAATAAATGGAAATGTCTAGTACAGATAGATGTGAACAGGGATGCACTATTTTTTCTGTATACTGGTGTATCATGATTTTTTATTGTGCGATACCTATCATAATGTGGAAACTAAAATACTGGTATTTAGAACTTTATTATAAATTCCAGAAATAATAATTTTTTTTCAAACTTTTGAATTACAATTACCATAATTGTTAAAAAATGACATAAAACAGTAAAACAAAGGCATCCTAGCATCCAAATATGCTTTATTAAGATAAAATTTTTTTAAAAAAGTGAAGTTATGTTTTCACAACATATTTCTTTGAAAATTTAATGAAATTTATTTGAAATCATAGAAAAAATTTCGTGTAAAATATCATGATATTATAGTGATTTTTTTTAAAAAAAAAATCATGATTTATCGCGATACAAATTTTTGGTGATACCCATGCATCCCTAATATTTAATAAGATTGATACCTACCTATGAAATTAGAATGTATAAATTCTAAAGTTTTGATAAATCCTACATTGGCCAGCCTTCAACAGATATTGCATCTGGGGAAGCATATCAGTAATATCAATATAGAATCAGCATGTACCCTTTATTGGCTTTATTTTCGGGATGAGTGATCTAAAATCCTACAGAGGTAATTTCCAAGTGATTACAATGTATAAGCCTAGAGATGACCTTACTTTCATATTTGCATTGGGAGTACATACATATAACCCTCCAATGGATCAGGTGCTGCATGTGACCTACGTGAAGGATCAGTTGGTTAAAGGTTTTTAAGCTCTCTTTTTTTAGCTCACCTTGACAAAGTCGAGATGAGCAGGAATCAACATTAACAGTTGTTTGATTGCCCGGGGCAAGTAAATTCTAAGTTCAGGCAAGTGAAACTGTCAATATACTTGTCCAATTGGGCAAGTGAATATTTCTTATAGAAACCTACAGTTGTATATCTTTATCTTGCATTAGTTTATAAATAAAACAGAAAAATGAACTTGACCAGAAACAAGATTATTGATACATTATTTTTGCATTTGGAATCTCTTGGTAGCATTTTTAATCATACAATTCATTCAAAATCTGGTTTGTTATTCTGTTTTCTTTCTTGGTAATTGACAAAATAATAAGCTCTCTGTTTACAACTTTGTTAATTCTTATTATGAAAGTAAACATTATGAAATGGTTTATTTTTATACCCCCCGCAAACGAAGTTTAGGGGGGGGTATATTGGAATCAGCTTGTCCGTCTGTCTGTCCTTCTGTCTGTCTGTCCATCTGTCTGTAGACGAGATTTTGTCCAGACCATTTCTTGGAAACTGTTGCAAGGATTTGTCTGAAAATTTGTACACTTATTCTTTGCCATATGAAGGTGTGCACCTGGTATTTTCATCTTGATTGGATAATTTTTTTGCATTTTACAGGTGTTTGTTTTTTTTCATTTTTATTATGTGGTTTTGTCCGGATCTGTTCCCTGAGACTATTGCATAGATTTGTATGAAAATTTGTACACTTATTATTTACCATATGAAGATGTCCTCCTGATATTTTCAACATTATTTGATAATTTTTCTGCATTTTACAGGTGTTTTTTTTTTTCATTTTTATTGACTTAGTCATTTCGGGTTAATGTCTAAGGTTTGAGACATAGAATCTAGAACATCTGTACAAAAATGTGAACTAAAGCTTAAAACTACTCATTAGAACTAAAAAAAAAATCACAAAGTATTAAAAACAGTTTTTACATGACACAGCAGATAGTGTATCCATTTGTCCCTTTGGAGTAATGAGTGGACATGCATCCAGTTAAAGATTAATTAATGAGTTCAGTGTGGGAAGCTGTTAGGGCATCTCTGATCAAGCAAGTCTTATCTATATCTCCTGGGAATTGGGCAGAAAGAAATAAAGATCTCTGTTGTCTAAGTCTCTTAATTGTAATTTATGTCTGTCAAAATACATACATGTAGTTACTGGAACCAGCCTTTTATTTTTAAAATGAGTTTGATATAAAGGTATTAAGATCAATTTGATTTTGTATAATTAATTATGATATTTTTTTTTTCAACAATCAATTTGCAGAGTGTCATGTCTCACAAAGATGACAGATAGTTGCAAACTATTTTTGCAATGTAATTAAAAAGCACTGTTATTACTAGCATTGATGTTTTATTAGGCTGCACCTTAGTTTCATTCATTAAAAAAAATATAATGAGTAATTAAATTTTCACTCTAAATGTTTAAGCAAATTGTGAACACCTCTCACATCTAGATGAGTGAATATTAGCCCTTCTAGAACCAAACTAGTATGGTTAATATATCTAGGAAAGGACACTACCAGATTTGCTTCAAATGCCAAATCTGACCTACATTTTCTGGATGAGTGAACAGGTTTAAATTTTTTGAACATGTCCATTTTCAAGAAACTATAAGTCCCATTTAGTACAGTACTAGTAACTAGAAAAAAAAATTTGTATGAGATTTCCAGACTTATAGATAACATTCATTGAGGTGAGTTTTGTAGTCTTTGATTACCTATGTTTAGTATTAATTATGTACAGTGTAAGAAAATATGTCTAAACTTGAATCTGTATTACATTTGGAATCTTTCATTGGTCAAGTGGATATAAAGACAGATAATAATTTAAACGATCTCACCCAGAGGAGTTCAGATATAATTTATGTCATTGCTGACAGTAGCTGTTTTTGTTTTCTTTTTGATCAACTAGTTCTCTTTAAGTTATATAGAATCTGATCAGTATTGTTAGTGGAAACAAGTGAATTCAATGTAAGATGTTTAAATTAAGGTGAACACAATGCCACATACACAGTTTCCACTTCAAAAGATGGCTTGCAGTTTATCAAGGTTAGACACGGACATCCTGTTGAAAAAGCTACTGGATCATATACAAAAGTAAGACTTATATTATTCTGTTTCAATTCTAAAGAAGTTATACTTGCATATATGTTTTGTTTATTTGTTCTAATATAGTCAATGATATTCTTGTATTTATTGTTGGTTTGTGGTTGTCAGCTATTATTCCAGACAAATCTTTGACTAACACTAAAAACTGATGTACACTTCTTGTTTTAAGATGGGATGTTTTATCACATAAACCATCTATTTGTATGAGGAGTTATATACATGTGCATTTTATTTTAATTTTAAATGCCCCTGAAAATAAAACTGGAAGGTATATTCTTTGGTCATTCCAACAACCAATTAAATCTTTGCCATTATTTTAATCTGGACATTATACAGACTTCAAATTTGTCTGGATTGTGGTTGGAGATTCAAATAGCAAGTGCATGTAACAAAATTAACTCTGATTTTGTATTTATTACAGACCCTGCATTTCCATGACTATCTGGGGACAATACATAGTGTTCTTATTGATGAAGATTTCACATCCCCAAAGATGCACCACAGGTTCATTGTCTTGTCTCTTCATAATTTTTTATGTTAATAAAAAAAAATATTATGAGAATTCAGTATGTGAGCAATATTTTATTTACTTAAACCTTCTTTCTTCAAACAGTTTTGACCCTCATGCAAACATGAGAAAAGTTAAAGCAGTAAATGAATTCAGCAACATGGGTAAGTTAAACATCATCAATAACGATCAAACATGAGACCTGTACTTGTAGGTTTTCAGATGCTAACAAAAAAGAAAAAGTTCTTAAGATTAAACTTAGATTCTCTAAGCCAAGTGGGTAAATACCAAAAATATTGTATATCAATTTGCCCGAGGGAAAAAAAAACATTTTCTACAAACATTTTTTTTCAAGAATGAAATTCAATTTTATGTGTCAAAGGTGTTTTTCTTTTTATATCCAAATTACTAAAAAGATACTACAGAGCTTTCTATTACAGTGATATTGTATATGAAAATGTAATTCATGTTTATTTTTAGTTCTTTCCAAGCCAAAGGCTCAAAGAGCTAATGCTATGGCCATTTGTGCGGTGTGCATAAACTTTTTGGAATATGGACCATATCTTAAGAACCCTTGAAGGAGTTAATTGTGCTCTGTACTTGAAATTATGTGTAGACACTTCTAATAAACTTAAGATAACAGGATTCTCCAAATTAATATTTTGCCCCCCCCCCCCCCTTATGAAAATGGCTGGGGCATTATTAAAAGTGTTTGTCATGTTTGCCTTTCTTCTATCCATCCTTCTGTCCTTCCATCCTTCAATTTGTCCATTCGTCAGAGTTTGCATTTAGCTCATTTTCAAAGAAACTAATCAAGTTATTTATATGCTAATACATATTGCTGAGGGCTATTCCATGGGATTAACATTTTTGGACCTTGACCTTTCCTTTGACCTTGAACTTACTTTTCTTAGATTTGTGTTTAGCTTAGTTTCAAAGAAACTATTCAAGATATTTTTATGAAACTTCATATGCTCGTACATTGGTGAGAGCTATTCAACTGCATCAAGATTTTTGGACCTTGATTTTTCCTTTGACCTTGATCTCACTTTTCTTAAATTTCATTAGTTTTGTAAATAAAATATGACTACATGTATTTGATATTTTCTTTTTGCTTTCACAATAGTATACATGTATATAGTGTAATTTTAAATTCAGAAAGCCCAAAGACCACCATGTATATGTCAGAGTGAGTCCCAGCCACTATTTAAAAAGTAATTTTACTTCAATATCTCAAATCCTTGAATATCCCAAAGTTTTTTCTAAGTCATATTGGGTATGAAATAATGAGGTTTTAGTGCATTACTAAAATTATTTTTTTTATCAAAAATTGTTTATGTGCTAACTCTTAACATTTCTAATCATTTATATTTTTTTCTTACATTAGCTATGCCAGAAATGTCATATGTGAGTCAGGGAAAGCTACGCTTCCTAACAAGACACGTTGATCAACGAGATTGGGAGAAACCATTCCAGTTCCTGATGAATACAACAATTCATGTTGGAAATGTAAAGATAATGATTTTTAGAGAGTTTCAGTTTGATTTTTATAAAAATTCATTAAGATGACAAGCATTTATCCTAGTAGAATATGTTTGATAAAACAAAGTTTAGTATGTGACGAAACATATTAGATATTGCTATTAAGATGTATATGTGCATGTACATCCATGAAATTTTCAAAACTCTTAGTAAAATTAAATATTTTTCCTGGAATTCCATGTATTCACTTACCCACATGTACATTACACTATAGTTGTTTACGAAGACTGCAGATACCAGTGAAATTTGATTGTTTGAATTCCCTACAAAATAAAATCAAACCACTCTTAGGAAAGATTCATGCATTTTGTGCTTTTTACTGACCTTTATATACATGTGCATATTGAAAAAATGCTATCAAAATTTATATGAAATTCATACATTGTGTATATAGAAGGGAGTATTGATGATGTTCACTTTTGAATAGAATGTACACAGGATATGTAAGACACACTCCTATGCTTTGGTTAGTGACTTTATAAATGTATGTGTATATTTAAGAAATGAATTTAATTTTTGAAGATTCATGAGGACATGAACTACGACGCTTCACGCCGGCATATTTCATGAAGCATGTTAGCATTGTAGTTCATGTACCTCATGAATTTTCAAAAGTTAAATTCATTTCTTATATTTACATTATTTTTCTGATGATTTGCCACTATAATAATGCCATTTAACTGTCTTTTTCAAAGCAAAACAGTTTGCACTATAGTTTTGACATCAAGTAAGGTATTACGACGTAACAACGGAGATATTCATGCCCATTCATGGTAGTTCATGAGAAAATGAACTGTATTCTATTTTGTAAAGAATCATAGGGGAAATTTATTGGAAATGTAAATATTATGGTATGAAGCTAAATAATATTTTAGATATACTCAGAGTTAATAAATGAAATCTGTTGCACCTACCCATTTTGCATGTCAGTGATTAAAAGATAAGATATGAAAGGTTTGAAATTGTATTTTATTACACAAATTTTATTACATGTACTCAAAAACAAAACAAATATAAAACTGGATATGAATGAAAAAATGTTTCTCTTATAAGCAATTAAAAGAGGTTTCCTGAGATAGAAAATTGTTTGTGTTCCCCTTGTTTTTTATTTTCTGTGACATTATGAATAGTATCAAATTCTTTTATTTAATAGATGAAGAAAACAGAGAGAAACATCAATGTTACTTTGTCAAAAGAAGAGATTCATGGAAATTTGACCTGCATGGAAAACCAACCCCCAGAAGGTAGAAATTTGCAATATTCAATTTTTAGAAATGTTTATTTGATGTATGGTATATTTTACAGTATAGTTTAATTTCAGGGTTTTTTTAAAAAGAATTTGATACTTTTCCCATGTATTTGGTACTCTGAATATTTGTATCACATTTAATTGACAAAGTTTTTGTTTTGATTGGTATCTTAGGATCACATGCCCTAGCAATCTGCTTTCGAAACATTGTGGAAATCATGACAAAATTGCAAGAAGAAGATGTTGAAAGAATTGCAGAGTTTTACTTTGAACAGCTTGACATATAGTAAGTGTTAACTAAAATCATGCATAAACTTTTGAAAATTATGTAATTTCTAAATTTAATTTTTATCAATGTATTCTTTTTAGTTTGCCTGAGGACAAAAGAGCAAAGGAAAATATGGTTGATGTGTTTGGAGCTATGAATACAGAACTCTCAGATAAGATTCTGGCTGAAAAGATATTCTTAAACCCCAACCCTGATCATGAGATGATCAAAAGAATTCTGACACATGTGGCAACAAAATTAAGGTCTCCTCACAAGGTAAAATTGTTGATTGACAAAATTGTAAGGCAGGTTAAATAGAGGCATGAATAATTTTGTTGAAGCCCAAAGAAGTTATCCTTTACCTTTTTATGGAAGACTTTAATTTGATTCTGAGCATTTCTTTTGACATGTAGATATACATATATTTATTAATACAAATAAATTTTGAAAACAAATGCAATAACTAGTCACCAAATGATGCTAAAAATATGATTAATTTTAAATAGATTCTTCTGCAAGTTTTAGAAGATGCTGTCTTTCACAAAGAAAAGTTTCCCAAAGAATTTTATGCAAAGGACACCCATAGTCGATGCATGTTGGCACTAGGTGCAGTGAGTCACAAATTGACCAAAGAAGGAAATGTTAATCGAGCAAGAAGAACAGTGAAATGGGTGCATTCTGTACTGGGCATGCATGGTAATCCTGCACAACAAAGTTGTAGGAGGGATATATTAGAATCATCATGTTTGTCTGTCTGGCTGTTAAAATATCTGTATTTCTGTAGATATGACCTGCCTACTCTCCCAATTTATACGTAACTTTTAAGGTATTTGACTCCCTAAATACAGTCTATGATTTCTGTGCTAAATCTCCTGATTTCCTGTTTTTCACCATATTCAGTAAAGTAAATGATTATTTGCAAAGCACTTGATTGATAGCAAGCTGTCACGCTATTTTCAAGGTATTTAAAACAACAATACAGTGCCCAAGTGAAGAAGCAATAACACTGAACACTAGGGATTGACTTTCAGGATAGTTATGGAAATATTTTTGCAACTTAGTTTTTGTGTAATTGTCCATAGTGTCATAATTAGTTTTTGATGAGTATTATATCAAGGCATTACTTCTGCAAGAACAACCATAAATAATTTGTTTTATGTACCAGGTAAATGCTCTGAAATTTTCTGCATTTTTGAAAATCTGCATAAAGGTCAAATAATATGGACAGATTGGTAGAAACTACTGATACTATTTGTTTAGGGTAGGCAGGTCTGTTAGACTTAGGTAAAGCTCAGTGTTTGATCACTTTTCAGCTTAATCTCAAGGAACATCCAAACCAAATGTCCAGAGGTGGTGGATCTGTAGATACTTGATAAATTTGGGGTTGTGGGTGTATGTTGTCATAAGTACAACTTCAGTTTTTAAAATGGGTATAAGACTATTTGGAGATAAGGAGACAAAATTGATAAATCAATGCCTCTAGTTTGTATCAAGTATTTGAAACTTTGTTTTATGCATCGATAAAACAAACTTTGTGGATATTTTTGTTCTGATATACAGTTGAACTTCAATATCTCGAACACAGATATCTCGAATACCATGGATATGTCAAAGTGATTTTGAAGTCCCAAACACTTATTCCTTAAGTATTTCACACTGGATATCTTGAATCCTTGTATATCTCGAAGTATGTTCTTGGTCCCTTGAAGTTCGAGATAACAAGGTTTGACTGTAGTTGTTTTTATTTGATTTTGACATAGATCCATATGAGTACAGAAAAAGGAGAGCAGTGATGACGGAGAAAGAAAAGGAATTTTATGATCATCACAAAGTGATTTTGCTGGAGACACTGGGAAATGCCCGAATGGATGAGTCTTATGATTACATTATCTCTCACATCAACAGTACAAACTCACAGTGGATCAAAAGAGCTGGATGTCATGCATTGAGGAAATACGAACATCAGCATGTAATTACTCAGTAGTCACACAGTCTATCACTTTATCAATTTGAGCTTAATGTAAATATTTTAACTCATAAAAATTAAAATAACAATTACTTTATTTTGCACATTCAAAGACATGATGAACATTACTTGCTAACTTTGCACTATTATTTCTTAATGAGTGCATTATCCCACAGATTTGTTTATGTTTTTATATAAAAAAGATCTGCTATCTTTTTTTTACAGGCGGCTGATACTCTTCTGTATTCTGCATTATTTGATGAGGACCAGTCTGTTCGTTATGAAGCTGCCCTTTTGTATATGGGACATCCTAAAGGCAAAATGATTGCTCCATTGAATAGGTGAAGTTCAAAACTGTTTGTAGTGCAGTTTCTATATAAAATGATACATGTACCAACTGTCAAGTTATTGTGAGGTAAAGGTATCATTACATCTCTTATTACTGCAAATGAAGGCAGTGATTTTGTATTGATGAAATTAGAATATACAGATGTGTTTAATTAACCCCTGTGTGTTGTAAACCTTGCATTTGATACTTAAAGATCTTAGGTAGTATATAAAAGTCCTGATATACATGTATATAATCCTAAAGTGATAACTAAAAGTATGATTGGAAAGGGGCAGACATCAGTTACTTCACAACAACAAAAACATGCACATAAAAACACAAAATAACCCTCCCCTCAAAAATATGCAAAGTTTTTATTACATTGTTGCAAATAGTGAAACAACAGGAAATGGTACGGCAATGATAGATCCATATGATGCGGGCATTGATGTGTTGGACCTTGCTCAAAACCATCATAGGTCTCGGAGGAGCATCTGGGATGGACTTAAATTTAGATTGGAAGCACCAAGTGTGGACTGGCAGAAGTTGATAGGATCAAAAAGCATTGGGGCATCATTTGGTGTGATCATGATGAATCTTCTGGACTTAGTTGTTGGTAAATGTTTCTATAATTTGTTTTGGCAAAAATATTATAGAGTGGAACTTCTTGCATCTGAAAAAAATCTTCTATAAATCACTTTTTTTTGCAAGTCAGAACTTTATTTTTGTATAATTATGTGAAACCATCTGCTGGAAAAAATATCAGTTCATTTGAACAAGTTCAAAGTAATTTTCAGGAAAAAATGTATAATTCCTGTCCTGGCAAAATCTTGTAATGGAGAAATATTGGAAGCTCATACTTGACACAAATATTGCTTACGACCGAAGAACTGGCAGAAAAAGTGCATGATATCTTCTAGTTTATATTTTTAGGTCACCTGAGTCACTCAGGTGATCTATTGCTGTCTGTTTTTGTCAATCGTTGTTTGTTGTTCTTTAACATTTGAACATTTTCAGCTTCCTTTCTGAAACGACTAAACCAATTTCAACCATTTTTGGCATATAGCATCTATGGGGGAAGGGGAGCAAATGTGAATTTCATGGCCCCTGCCCCCATGAGCCTAAGTGGTGGGGCTAAAACTATTAAAATTAATGCAATCTTAAAAAATCTCCTTATTTACTCTTGGACATCAAGTAGTCAAACTGTTGGCATGATTATGATAAGCACTAGGCCCTTTACCAAAGATGTGAAATTCATGGCCCAAGGGTCGGGGGTTCTGGTGCTAGGACAGGGCTATGTAGATCATATAGTTTAAGTGCATTATTTCTTTGAAAATCTTCTCCTCTGCTCCTGGGTATTTAACAAATAAACTAAGTGCATTGTTATGATGAGCAAGGATGTATCTTCCAAAAATGTGAATTTTATGGCCCCTGGGTCAGGGGTTCTGTTGATTATACACGTGTATAGTGAAAATTCATTAATTCTTTGAAAATTTTCTTCTCTGCTCCTGGATATGTAGCAGATAAGTGAAGTGCATAGTTATTTTGAGCAAGGGTACACCTTCCAAAATTGTGAAATCTGTGGCCTATTTGTCAGGGTCTCTGGTGTAGGTGGAATGGGGCTCTATTCATTTTATAGTGAAAGTGCATTATTTCTTTGAAAACTAAGTGCATAGCTGTGGAGAGCAAGGGTGCCTTTTCAAAAATTGTGAATTTCATGTTTTCTGTGTCAGGGGTTCTAGTGTAAGGGCTGGGCTCTATTGAATATAAAGTAAAAATGCAATGATTCTCTGAAAATCTTTTTCAACTAATTGTATATTTATGATGAGTAAGGGTGCCTCTTTAAAAATTAAGAATTTCATCACTGCTGGGTCAGGGGTTCTCATGCTAGGGCATGGCTCTATTGATAATACATTGAAAATGCATTAATTCTTTGAAAATCGTCTCTGCTCCTTGGTATTGAGCAGATAAAGGAAGTGCATAGTTATGAAGAACAATGGGGTCTCTTCCAAAATTTTGAAATTGTGGGCACAAAGTTGAAGGTTCAGATGTTGGTAGGGCTGTGTATTGAGCAAAATATTTCGATACGATACGATACGATATTTTATAAAGCGATATGCGATATATTGGATTCTTTAACAAGTCTATCAAAAAAGTCTTGTATATCATTTAATCCATAGATTTGATAAAAACGGGGTGTTTTATTACCAAATTGGAAGTTCATGTCTCACTGTCTTTACAAAGTACACTTCAAATTCAAACTTTTAATGATTGTAAAACTAACATGTTAAAATATAGTTGTCTATGTATTTTGTAATAGTTATTTAAGATGTGCTATCTCCTTAATGTTTATTTCACTATTGATCATTTTTAATTCAAAACATTTAAAAATAACCTTTGGTGACTGGAATTCCCAACTTTTTCACAGAATTATAAGAAAAACTGCCTGCCCGATACGTATTGGAAGTTATTTTTCGATACGATACATTCCTGAATATTCGATACGTATTGATTAATCGATATATTGACACAGCCCTAGATGTTGGAGGGGGTACTCTATTGATAATATAGTGAAAATGCATTATTCTATGAAAATTTTCAACTAAGTGCATTTTTATGATGAGCAAGGGTACCTCTTCCAAACGTGTGAATTTCATGACCCTGGGTCATGGATTTAAGTGTTAGGGCAAGGCTGTGTTCAATCTACAGTGAAAAGCATTATTTCTTTGAAAATCTTTTCTGCATCTGGACATCTAAGAGGCAAACTGAGTAATAAGCAAGGGTATTTTTTACCAGATTTTAGAAATTCTGGAACACTTGGTCATAAGAGTTCTGGTGCTGGCCAGGGCTCTATTAGTTTGTAGTCTACTGAGAGAAGTTACTCCCCTTTGCTATTCACCTATGATAATTAATCACAGTAAATAATGTAATTGAAAGGTAAATAGATTAAGAGAATTATGCATGAATTTATATTTACATTTGCTGTATTTTTCTACTAAGCCAACTGTGATTTGAAAGCCATTTTTGTGTATATTCACGCGTAGAAATATACATGGAGAAGCTTGCTTAATAAAGCTTAATAAAAATATGATGATATAGGGCAGCGAAAAATTCAAATATTGAGTATAGTTTTGGTGCATTTAAACACGTAAAATGTAAATATAAGGAATGTTTTTAAGCTTAGTGTGAATTACACAGACTTGCACGTAGGCATATTTTTCATGAAGCGCTAGTGCGAAATATGCCTACGTGACAAGTCTTTGTGATTTACACACCAATAAGTCACACAAAACTTAAAACATTCCTTAATTGTTGTATAATACCAAAAGCACTCTCATAGTTTTGATGGTTAGATATACTTGTAAATCAAAAATAATTATCTTATTAAATATTCTTCAAAGAACAAGAGAAGCCAACGTGAGAGGGAATAAGATGGATTCATTAATAGTGCTAAAGCACTGTTGTGTTTTTAGCTCACCTGAGCTGAAAGCTCAAGTGAGCTTTTCTGATCACATTTTGTCCGGCGTCCGTCTGTCCGTCCGTCTGTCTGTCTGTAAACTTTTCACACTTTCGACTTCTTCTCAAGAACCACTGGGCCAATTTCAACCAAACTTGCCACAAAGTATCCTTGGGTAAAGGGGATTCAAGTTTGTTCAAATGAAGGGCCACGCCCTCTTTCAAGGGGAGATAATTAGGAATTACTGAAAAAATAATGGCATCATTTAAAAATCTTCTTCTCAAGAACCATAGGGCCTGGAAAGATGAAACTCATGTGGAAGCATCCTTAGGTAGTGTAGATTCAAATTTGTTCAAATCATGACCCCCGGTGGTAGGGCGGGGCTGCAATGGAGGATCAAAGTTTTACATAGAAATATATAGGAAAAATCTTTAAAAATCTTCTTCTCAAGAACAGCAAAGCCATGATGAGTCATATTTATATGGAAGCATCCTCAGGTAGTGTAGATTCAAATTTGTTCAAATCATGACCCCCGGGGGTAGGGCGGGGCTGCAATGGAGGATCAAAGTTTTACATAGAAATATATAGGAAAAATCTTTAAAAATCTTCTTCTCAAGAACAGCAAAGCCATGATGAGTCATATTTATATGGAAGCATCCTCAGGTAGTGTAGATTCAAATTTGTTCAAATCATGACCCCCGGGGGTAGGGCGGGGCTGCAATGGAGGATCAAAGTTTTACATAGAAATATATAGGAAAAATCTTTAAAAATCTTCTTCTCAAGAACAGCAAAGCCATGATTGGTCATATTTATATGGAAGCATCCTCAGGTAGTGTAGATTCAAGTTTGTTCAAATCATGACCCCTGGGGGTAGGGCGGGGCCACAATGGGCAATCAAAGTTTTACATGGGAATATATAGGAAAAATTTTTAAAAATCTTTTTTTCAAGAACAGCAAAGCCATGATTGGTCATATTTGCATGGAAGCATCCTCAGGTAGTGTAGATTCAAGTTTGTTCAAATCATGACCCCCGGGGGTCGGGTGGGGCCACAATGGGCAATCAAAGTTTTACATAGGAATATAAAGGAAAAATCTTTAAAAAATCTTCTTCTCAAGAACAGCAAAGCCATGATTGGTCATATTTATATGGTAGCATCCTCAGATAGTGTAGATTCAAGTTTGTTCAAATCATGACCCCTCGGGGGTCGGGTGGGGCCACAATGGGCAATCAAAGTTTTACATGGGAATATATAGGAAAATTTTTTAAAAATCTTCTTCTCAAGAACAGCAAAGCCAGGATTGGTCATATTTACATGGAAGCATCCTCAGGTAGTGTAGATTCAAGTTTGTTCAAATCATGACCCCTGGGGGTCGGGTGGGGCCACAATGGGCGATCAAAGTTTTACATAGGAATATATAGGAATAATCTTTAAAAATCTTCTTCTCAAGAACAGCAAAGCCATGATTGGTCATATTTATATGGTAGCATCCTCAGATAGTGTAGATTCAAGTTTGTTCAAATCATGACCCCTGGGGGTCAGGTTGGGCCACAATGGGCGATCAAAGTATATAGGAAAAATCTTTAAAAATCTTCTCAAGAACAGCAAAGCCATGATGGGTCATATTTACATGGAAGCATCCTCAGGTAGTGTAGATTCAAGTTTGTTCAAATCATGACCCCCGGGGGTCGGGTGGGGCCACAATGGGCAATCAAACTTTTACATAGGAATATATAGGAAAAATCTTTAAAAATCTTCTTCTCAAGAACAGCAAAGCCATGATTGGTCATATTTATATGGTAGCATCCTCAGATAGTGTAGATTCAAGTTTGTTCAAATCATGACCCCCGGGGGTTGGGTGGGGCCACAATGGGCGATCAAAGTTTAACATAGGAATATATAGGAATAATCTTTAAAAATCTTCTACTCAAGAACAGCAAAGCCATGATTGGTCATATTCATGTGGTAGCATCCTCAGATAGTGTAGATTCAAGTTTGTTCAAATCATGACCCCGGGGGGTCGGGTGGGGCCAAAATGGGCAATCAAAGTTTTACATGGGAATACATAGGAAAATTTTTTAAAAATCTTCTTCTCAAGAACAGCAAAGCCATGTTTGGTCATATTTACATGGAAGCATCCTCAGGTAGTGTAGATTCAAGTTTGTTCAAATCATGACCCCTGGGGGTCAGGTTGGGCCACAATGGGCGATCAAAGTATATAGGAAAAATCTTTAAAAATCTTCTTCTCAAGAACAGCAAAGCCATGATTGGTCATATTTACATGGAAGCATCCTCAGGTAGTGTAGATTCAAGTTTGTTCAAATCATGACCCCTGGGGGGTCGGGTGGGGCCACAATGGGCAATCAAAGTTTTACATAGGAATATAAAGGAAAAATTTTAAAAAATCTTCTTCTCAAGAACAGCAAAGCCATGATTGGTCATATTTATATGGTAGCATCCTCAGATAGTGTAGATTCAAGTTTGTTCAAATCATGACCCCCGGGGGTCGGGTGGGGCCACAATGGGCAATCAAAGTTTTACATGGGAATATATAGGAAAAATTTTTAAAAATCTTCTTCTCAAGAACAGCAAAGCCATGATTGGTCATATTTACATGGAAGCATCCTCAGGTAGTGTAGATTCAAATTTGTTCAAATCATGACCCCTGGGGGTCGGATGGGGCCACAATGGGCGATCAAAGTTTTACATAGGAATACATAGGTTAATTCTTTAAAAATCTTCTACTCAAGAACAGCAAAGCCATGATTGGTCATATTTAAATGGAAGCATCCTCAGATAATGTAGATTCAAATTTGTTCAATTCATGCCCCCCCCCCCCCCCACCCCCCACCCCCCACCCCACCCCGAACCACTTTTTTATTTAAACTTTTCAACCTTTCAAGACTGAACTGATTTCTGCTTTTTCCTAGCCATAGTGCTCAGGTGAGCGATGTGGCCCCTGGGCCTCTTGTTTTATTCTCTTATGGATCCTGTACATTGTTGAATTGTACTCAGGTGACTGTTAAGGCCCTTGGGCCCTTTGTTTTAAGAGAGAAGCATTGAATACAGTAGGTTTAAAAAAAAAATCCACACAAACCAATATATGTCCCTCAGACTACAAAAATTTGACCCCACAAATATATGTGATTTTACATTAATAGGAGGTAATGTAGACAATAAAGGACAGATGCAAAATTTTAACTTAAGATAGGTTGATCTTCAAGTGTTTTTAGGCATTTGTGTCAGGTCCTCATATAGATAAGTAAATGCTATAACCATCAGTCATGGTGTATATGTCTGAAACATTTAATTTTTTTTATTTTGATAGCACCAACACATGGCCATGTTAAAGTTAAAGTTCATGATGAGGCGTATGCCAGAGTCCATCTTGGCTTCATTGGAAAAAACATTGAGTTTTTTCTGGCCAGAGTTTGCTTTAAAGGAGGAGCTGAATACAGCATAAATATTCTTCAGGTATAAAGTAATTTTAAATGAGCTAAAATCTTTTTTTATATTACAGCTTTAACTTCAACCAGAAAAATATTTCTAGCTCACCTGCACTGTAAGTTCGTTTTCTGATCACCATAAAATCAAGTGTAAACCTACAAAATGGGGTAACTATGGTAATTGTGATTTTTAGGGAAATGATATGAAGAAAATAATAAAGCTGGCAGCCAATTTCTCTAAGAAGTTGAAGGAGATTGTGGAAGGAATCAAGGAGGGTGTTCAACTCTTCAAAGACGTCATATCTGGGAGACTGAACATTAAGGATATCATTAAAGAGCTGATTCAGGCCATCACTAGTTTGCCACAAAAGGTTATAATCTAAGATAAATATTTGTGATCTCTTCCTTGCAGATTTATATAATGAATACTTCAGCCTATTAAAATTCATTTTTTTTTAAAACATTTTGACTGCTAGATAGGTAAATACATGTATTTGTATTTGTATTTCACATTTGTTTCAACACAGATCTGTAGTACAAATTTAAGTTGTAATTTATGATCTGGCTTTGTTTTTGTCAAAATCTGACTGCTTTTGACTGAATTACGAACCTTATCCAATGTCCAATCAACCAAAATTTGTTTTTCAGATTCCCATAAAGTTCATTGAATATTTTTGTACTACATGTATGTAAAAGTTACAGATTAAAGATTGTACTTCAAAGAATTCTGTATAAATATTACAGATAATTCATTTGATCTTTCATGAACAGAAATTACATGTACCGGTAGTAGATTTAATCTCAAACTATCTACAGTATACATGTACTTTAATGTTTAATTTTCCTCTGTATACATTTACTTCTAGATTTTGAAACTGAGGGACATTGCATCTTCAGCCATGAAAAAGATCGGAAGTTTTGATCCGGCAGACTTACCAGTGGAGTTCCAGCCAGTGATAAACTTTGTCCACAAAGTGACCAAGTTATTTAATGACATCAAAACAGATGTAATGGGGTTTGTGCATGTATGTATATTAACAAATTATGCACATTCTAGATCTTCTTAGTCAAAGATTTTACTTAGCCATATGATTTCGTCTTTATTTTATAGGAAATTGAACAGGCAATTAATGTTGTTATTCCAAAGCAAGGAAAAGACATTTTTGATGCAGTGAAAGATATAATTGATGGCTTTAAAAATATTCTTAAAAATCCCAAAGAGGCATTGATGAAAATTGGAGGGAGCATTTTTAAGTAAGTTTTTTTCATTTATCTATATTATAGTATAGGGTGATATTTTTCTTAATGAATGCAAGGATATATATTGAAAACAACTGGGACCCGTTTTACAAAAGAACTTACGACTAAGACCAAAATTTAATTCTGCTAATAACTTTCTAATTTACTTTACATAGAGAATGGTTTTATAATATTTTTAAAAGGTTTGTAGAAAAATACTTTTATGCTAGCAATTTTAAACACAATAATTAATTTTGCAAAATTTTACATCAATTGAAGTTTTTGGTCTTAGTCATAAGTTCTTTTGTAAAACGGGCCCCTGGTCTTTTAATGTGCATCAAGATCAAAATAGACTTTTATTCACAATTACAGTATATGATTGTTCACTAAAATCAACCAACTTGTTTACTTAAAGCAGGAAGATTTATATGATTATGTTATTTTAAAATAACAAAACATCTGCATAGATACATTTCATCAGGGTTATACACATGTACATCTTAATTATTTTGTAGGATTTATCAAGCTGTAAAAATTGTTCTTGAACAGAAAGACAAAATTCAAGATGCTTGTTTCTTTCTGAGAGGTAAGTGTAGGAATTGTTTCCTTGTTCATTTTGACAGTCAGGTCTGATAATTAAATTACATTGCCTCTGTATACTACTTTGCACTTTTCAAGCTCAGACGTTAAAGACCATTTTCTAGCTTTCATTATACATAAATGTTGCTGTTACTGTAAGTTGTGTTACATTCATCACTGTAAGATCATGTAATTTTATCTAAGGTTTGCAAGTCAATGAATGCTTGTGTAACTTAATTAAATGGGCATTTTGGCTTTTTGCTTTTTTTTATTGTGTTGGGCATGCATCAGTATCACATTTTGTTTCATCATCTACATGTATATTGTGTTATAGATGACAAGCCATACTGGTTTGATGTAGCAGGGTTAGTGTCTGAGTACAGTGACATGGCAGCCAAGGCGTTTAGAAGTTTAGAGACATCAGGTACAGAGTGGATAAGTGAGAAAGTTGACGAAGCAGAGGATGCAGTGATAAAGTTTTCTAAGGGAAAGTTCTCCATGGTAAAGATTTTTGAAACTTTCATTTCTTGATGAGTGAAAGTGGCAGTAAAAGTTTGACAATAATTAAAGTTTCTCTCTCCATGTGTTTTTCACTTTGGTTATATGGAAACTATTAGCAGTAAATTTCAAGGTGTCATTTTCACTTGGGAGGAAATACGATTTAAGTTTTCATTTTCAAGGTCAATAATTGGTTTGATAAGCACATCTGTGAAATTCCCTACTATTCTTTTACACTCGTGTTCAAAGTACTACAAGGCTTTTTATCAAAATCTTCATGTGATGTGATGTTTTGTTTTTTCAGCAATCTATGAAAAAAGAGGTGGTAGATTTATTGAAAACAATAAAAGAAGAGTTGATGGACCCATTTAAAGGTTTAATTGGAATGGCTGATACATTTATTAACAAGTATGGGAAGGTTTTCAACATTATCAAGTCCGTAAAAGATGCATATGATATTCTGAAGGAAGGGTGAGTATATATTATTGAGTGTGATCGTATACTTCTTTTTAAAGAGAAAGAAAGAACTTTATATCTGGTATAAAGCCTTCAGTAGAAGTAATTGTTGTTAGTTAGTACTTTGAACCATTCACCCACACGTAAATCACTTCATGTATCTTCTTTTTCGTCAACTTTTTTGTAAATAATTGATGAAACAATTGCTGGAAAAAGAACATCAAAACAAGATTTAGTAGTTACTTATTGGACAAGCAATATCCCACTCATACAAAAAGCAATGTCAATAGATTGAAATTTACAAAATAGTTAAACTTTGGTATCTTGGAAATTAGTATCTAAAATACTTCATACAGTAAAACACGCTTAGAACGAAGTGCCAGGGATGACAATTTTGCTTCATTTTAAGCGTAATTCTTTATATCCATTAAGTTTACAACACGTTTTAAAGTCACGGTGAATGAAAATCACTTCACTTTAAACATCAATTCATTATAAGCATGTTTTACTGTAGTTAGTTTTAAGGTTCAAAGACTCTTTCTTATCTATTTTAACCTCAATATCTTGAATACATGAATATCTCAAAGTTTTTTCTTGGCTCCATTAAGATCGATAACAAATTTGACTGTAGTTGTTCATTAGAGATACAGGCCTTGTTTGTTGTCTGTAACCAGTTAGTGAGGGTCTGAGGCCCACTGGTAATAGCCAAGTAGAAAAAAAATTAAGATTAAATTGTTTCTTTTTTTTTTAAAATAAGACTGAATTTGTTTTTTAATAGATGTAAGTATTCAAGTCTTTTCTATAGGTATGAAACAGCCAGAGGAATAATAGACTCCCTGTTTGGAACCAGAACACATGGGCGTTTCCCTGTAGTTCGCAGAGAAAAGGATGACCAGTGTAGTGGCAGTGGAGAATATCCGTCAAGTCTTGGAAGTGGCCATACAAATTACAGGCATGAAGGAGTGGACATTGTTATAGACAGTGGGAAAACAGTATGTCTTGTTTCATTTTCATTGCTTCAGATTTTTTCGAATCAAGAGCATTTCATTTGATAGTTAAAAACTGTTTTTAGCTCACCTGAGCCACAGACTCAAGTGAGTGGACCTTCATATTGTCAGATTGTCTGTGTATCTATATTTAAAAAAACACCCAGAGGGCAACTTCTCTGCCCTCTTTACAATAACTTAACAATATTTTAAAAAAAATGTATCAAAGACAAGGGGAGGTCTGCAAGCTGGAATAGATGAGTGAACAATAATCATTCATGAACAGTCTGACTGAATTGGACAAATGGCAATGCCTATACATTTCCTCTCTACAGAATAAAACAGAGAATCTAATCAGATTCCAGCATAGTACATGTACATATAACTAATGTTACTGCTTACCAATCACTGAGTCTTTTATTGTTCCATGTATAATGTATGATAATTTATAAGAACCGTTTCAATTGTTTATAATCTTTAACATGAGCATATGATGAATTAAGTATGAAATATATCATAAATCACAGATTGTTGCCCCATTTGCTGGAGAGGTCACAAGAGAAGATGGAGACACAGTAAAGCTAGTGGTACAGGGAGGCTCACTGAAGGAGGCCATCATATATATCACCAATATTGAACCAAAATCTAATATAGAAGAAGAGGAGCCTAGATCTGTAAGATCTTATGTTTCATTTTTATTTGTACCATTAAAATTCCCTTTATGACAGAATGAAATACGGACCCATATGCTCTATTTTGGGAAGTTTTTTGGTCTCCTGAGTCATTGAAGTGAACTACCATGTATTATCATCCATTTCTTCTGTCATCATTAATAGTGGAAAATTCTTAAACCTCTGAACATATTAAGCTTCTACTCAGAAACTACAGAAACAATATCAACCAAATTTTAAGTATATACATGTAACTTCAAGGAGATAGGAACAAAAATTATAAATGCCAAAATCTGTTTATCCGTGGGACTCTAAGGGTGGGACCAAAGCCGGAAATATTGACAGTTTTCTTCTTCACTCTTTGACATCTAATAGACAAACTGTTTGCAACCCATATCGGACACTGCAAGAAATCTTATTCAAATTGCCACTAGATACAGTAAAACACGCTTATAACAAAGTGACAGGGATGGAAGATTTTGCTTTGTTTTAAGCGTAATTCGTTGTTATAGCTAAAAAATTTACAACATATTTTAAAATATGGGGAATGAAAATCACTTAACTATAAGCGTCAGCTGGTTACAAGCGTGTTCGCTATAAGCATATTTTACTGTACATAGCAGACAAATATCATTTAGTTACAACGAGCATTCAACCCCCTTCCATATTTGAGAACAACATGACCCCTAAGTCCAAGTTTGTGCTTCAGAGTGGGGCTGTGAAAATACATAATTAAAGAAAAAAAGCTTTAATTCTCTAAGTACTGCGCACTATTACTTGTTCCTTATAAGTAACAAGTTTGTCTGGACCAAAATTGCATGGATACTTCATCTAGAAATACCAGTAGATTCAAACTGTATTGCTCCAAGAGCTGCAAGTATCCTTTATTTTCTAGATAGATGGCTAAATTAAAGATTTTTTTAAGAAAGGCCCATTTCTAAGATTCTATGAGACTAATTGTAACAAAAGACGAGCTCACTTTTGATCTCAGTCTCACTTTTACCAAAGGAATTAATAGTGGAAAATTGAGACTGAGATCAAAAGTGAGCTCGTCTATGTTTAATGGCCCCCAGGCCTGGGGTTTATAGGATTGGTCTGTGTTGAATCTACAGTGAAAAGGCATTGTTTCTTTGAAAATCTTTTCTGTCTCTGAGCATCTTGAAGGCAAATTAATACAGTAAACTTTCAAAAAGCAATGGTTTTTAAACCCAGATTTTTGAAATTCTGAACCATTTGGTCAAGTGTTCTGGTGCTGGCCAGGGCTCTATTATTTTGCATTCTACGAGAGAAGTTATTCCACTTTGCCATTCACGTTTGATAATTAATCACTAGCTGTAAGTAGATTGTAATGTATTTGAAAGGTTAATAGAATAAGAGAATTATGCAAGAATTTGTATTGTGCAATACAGAAAAGTACTTTCCCAGTTTTAATGATGAGGTAGACTTGTAAATAATAAATAAATAAAAATGAGTCAAAAAACTTATTTTATTAAATGTTCTTCAAAGACCAAGAGAGGCCAATGTTAGAGGTTGTAAAATAATACTGAAGAACCGTTGTTTTGTTAATTGTCTCTATGGTGATAATGATGAGGTCAAGAACTGCTACTGAGTGCGATACTACACTAATTTTCGTTGATCCTGATCATTCTATTTCTCTTGGGTTTGTGCAATAAAGATTCATCTATCAGTTTATTTTATACTTTCAAGGATCCTCTAAATTGTTGTATTATATTCAGGTGACCGTTAAGGCCCTTGGGCCTCTTGTTTGTATGTTTTGTATTAATTATATATTTTATAGTGTTTGCGGATAAAAAACAAAAAAAAGTTTCTACAAATATGTACTGCATTTCATGTACTAAAGAGGAACGTTCCTTCAATGCTTTATGCATGCATAGAGAGGAATGTTCTTCCAATGTGTCATATGTAAACATACAGTGTAAGATGTTTAAAGATATGGGAAAATTTGAGAGAGGAACGTTCCTCAAATGCCTGATGTTTGATCATGCATGAGTTGTCTACAGATATGTAAATTTGAGAGAGGAACGTTCCTCAAATGCAAGTCTTAAGCTTCACAAGATATAGTACTCAACAGCAATGCAACCATTTGTGAGAGGAACGTTCCTCAAATGCCTGCTGTAATAAACTTTATGAATAAGGTATCAACAGATAGAAATCTGAGAGAGGAATGTTCCTCGCATGTGAATGTCTATAAGATGTTTAAAGATATAGGTAAATTTCAGAGAGGAACGTTCCTCGAACGCCTTATGTTTGATCATTTATGAGGTGTATACAGATATGTGAACTTAAGAGAGGAACGTTCCTCAAATGCCGGATGTGTTAAGATTCATGAGGTATTTAAAAATACAAGTTTATAAGAGAGAGGAACGTTCCTCTCTCTGCCTGATGTGGTAAGATTCATATGGTATTTAAAAATACGAGTTTGTAAGAGAGAGGAACGTTCCTCTCTCTGCCTGATGTGGTAAGATTCGTGGTATTTAAAAATACGAGTCTATAAGAGAGAGGAACGTTCCTCAAATGCCTTATTGTAACAAATAATTTGAAATGTATAGAGAGGAATGTTCCTCAAAAACCTAAAAAAAATCACCAAAAAGTGAACTTGTGGAGACACCTGTAAGGTTTTTCAGACCAAAATGACTTCAGATTGTAAAAACTGGTTAAAAAAAGGAATTTTGATTTCCTCTTTTTGATTTGGATTGTGTTATTTTATTTTTACTTAGATTTTTTTTTGAGCCCCCCCCCCCAATTGATTTCAATGAAAGGTGTTGCCATGGTTACTGAAAATAGAAATTTCTGTGAAATACTTTAAAAACTCTACTCCTCCTACAGTTTTGGTCTAACATCAGCATATCTTGGCACATAAGTAGACTATACCAAGATACATAATTCTGTGTATCGGTTTTGGATTTCAATGAATGGTGTTGCCATGGTTACTAAAAATAGAAATTTCTGTGAAATCAAAACGCTACTCCCCCTACAGTTTTGATCTCATTTCAATATAACTTGGCACACAAGTATACTACAAAAAGATACATAATTCTGTATATCGGTTTTTGATTTTTTATGAACGGTGTTGCCATGGTTACTAAAAATAGAAATTTCCTTGAAATACTTTCAAAATGCTACTCCTCCTAGAGTTTTGTTCTGATTTTAGTATAACTTCAAACACAAATAGACTACACTAAGATACATAATTCTGTGTACCAGTTTTGGATTTTAATGAACGGTGTTGCTATGGTTACTAAAAATAGAATTTTTTTGATATACATGTACATTCAAAACGCTACTCCTCCTATATGTTTTGTCTGATTTCAGTATAACTTGGCATACAAGTAGACTACACTGAGATACGTAATTGTCATTAATGCTTTTTGATTTTGCTGAATGATGTTGCCATGGTTACTTAAATCGAAATTTCTGTAAAATTATTTTAAAAGGCTATTCCTCCTACAGTTTTAGTCTGATTGCAATAAATCTTGCCACAAAAACAGACTAAACCAAGGATCATTATTCAATTTATTGCTGTTGCAAAGTTTCAAGTCCAAGTGCTACTTTTATCTTCCTTTATAAGTACAACAAGTAGAGCTACAGTCTCATCAGAGACTTCTGGTTGATTAACTTGTTTGTAACTTGAAAGTGTAATTGACTATGGTCTAGTATAGAGATAGAAGAATCACAAAGAATAACATTTTAAAAATTTTAAATCTTGAAAGGAAGGAATTAGGAAAGAAAATCAGCTTTCAGAAGGTGTGACGATGAATGATATGATTTTTTTTTAAGTAATCAGTGTTTCCAAATGACTTCTTTGGCTTCAAAATGGCAAAAATATGAACTGTAATGAAAGCTGTATGTTAAGTTTTTTCTTTGAAGTGCAGTTGAAGTTAAATATAATTTCTGAAAAGCTGATTAATATTTTAACATCTTTGCCTAATTGGTTGGTTGCCTGCAAATGCATAAGTTATGGTGTGTAAATGAACACAGTTTTTTATTTACCCAGAATTGATGCATCAAAGATTCTTAGTTTTCATGCATATCAGGCGCTGGGGCCGTAAAGCTTAGATGAGCTTTTACAAAACAAATATAATAATATAGTGGAAAAGTAAGACTGAGATCAAAAGTGAGGTCATCTAAGTTTTTTGGTCCTGGAGCCAGATTACTGATGTCTTGATTCAAATTTAGGTAATTAAGTCTTGCATGTTTGGTGTGGTTGGTGTGGAAGCATAGATTAAATAGATTTTTATATTGTATGGGCTAAAGTCCTGGTGACACAAGTGGACTTTATGGTTCATGTAACTTTTTTCTAAAATTTAGTTTGCAGCAGGTCAACCCATTGGAACAGCTAAGCAGTCAAAGTGCAAAAATCATATACATGTGTCCTTCCACAAAGATGGTGAATATATAGATCCTACGAAATATTTGGAATTTAAGCCTGTAACAATGCCAGAATGGAAACAACAGTGTGATGATTATAAACTAGTGCTGATGGTAAGTTGTTTTTAGTCATGTATGTGATTATTCTTTCTGCTTATACATGTACCTTCAAAGTGATCTATGTATTTGAATTTCATGGCGATACCTAAATATTTTGGATAATAAGAGACTTAGAATCATCAAACTTTGTCCTTGGAGTATTTCAACCAAAAAGTAGATCACATTAACCCCCTTTCTGGAATTTCACATTCAACATTTAGGATACTGTTAATCAAAAAATTTTCTCAACACCTTATTTTCAGGAGAAAAGTATTTGGCATTAATAAGTGAGATAAATTTTTGACAAATATTGTTTTTATTGTAAATAATCCTTTTTAAGATTCAAGTGAATAAAATTTTTTGAGCAGATCGTCTCCCGTAAATACATGAAAATAAGGTTCTCATTAATAAAAAGTGAATTTCAAGCCTTTATCTATATATCTAGGATACTAAGAGGCTTAGAATAAAAGTGACAGGATTGTACAATTTATCTGAAGAGTGATTCTAGGCCCTTGGGCCTTTTTTTTTTTTGACTACCAATAGACAACTGTTTGCAGTGGCTATGTTAAGCAAAGAAACCTCTATTGATTTTTATCCCCACCATGAATATGGCCAGGGCATATAGTGTTTGTCATGTCATCTTACGTTCTTCCATCCTTCTGTCCTTCCATCACACTTTGCACTTAGCTCAGTTTCAAAGAAACTATTCAGGATGATATTTTATCAAACCTTAAATGCTGATAGATACTGTTAAGAACTATTCAACTGCATTAACATTTTGACCTTGACCTTTCCTTTGACCTTGCCTTCATTTTTCTTAAAATTGTGTTCAGCTAAGTTTCAAAGAAACTATTCAAGATATTTATTAAACTTCATGTGCTGATGCTAACTGAGGAGAGCTATTCAACTTCATCAACATCTTTTGACCTTGACCTTTCTTTTGACCCTAACCTCACTTTTCTCAAATTTGTGTTTAGCTTAGTTTCAAAGAAACTCTTCAAGATATTTTGTATGCAAGCTTATATACTGATACATTATTTGGTATGACCTTCCCAATGACTTTGACTTAACTATTTTTTTGTGTATTAAACTCAGTTTTATAGAAACAATTCAAGATATTTTCATCAAACTTCATACACTAATACAAATTTTCATGTTGCATTACTAATGAACCCTGGGTGGGGCATTCATGTATTATGGACATCTTTCCATTTTATTTTTATTTTTTTTTTGATTCATGACCTGTTAATACATTGTTTTCCCTCTTTCAAAGTTGACATTTATCAGATTAGGAGTTGAGGTTTCAGTCAGTCTGACTCTGTTCAGGGCTTCAGACATCAGGGTGTAATAAACTAAAAATTAGAAAGGAAATATTCCTCTAAAAATATTGATATCTTTAATTTTGAAATTTTATTACATTATTATATATGCATCTACTTACAGTATATCCAAACTATGAAAAAAAATCCATTTATTGGTTTACATTTGTTACATAGGCATCACCAGCAGTGGCAGATTTAAGGGAGGGTGCACCTGGCACGCACCCCCCCTAAAATTGTCAAAGTTAGCGTAAATCATAGTTTCGTCAAGAAAATGTAAAAATGTCTTCTCGGTAGACGTCATTTTTACACTTCAAAATCTCTAGAATCCAGAATCTTCCGGAGGCTTCGCCCCCTGGGCCCCCACCAGAGAATCCAGGAGCCTCAAGGCGGCCCCCAGACCCCCTGCCTACTTCTTGCGCCCCCCCCCCCCAACTTCAATTCCTGGATCCGTGATTGACCTGTTAATTTATTGCAAAATTTGACTGGGTTTTAACTAAAAAATCTAGAAAAATTAGATCTTCATACTGACTATAAGTATAATCAAGGGTCTCTAACAGAAAGGATTCAATATAATTTTTTTAAGATTAGTGGAAGGAAAAACTAAGTTACAGCTTGAGGTTTTTGTTTAGTGAAAAAAAAATTGAGAAATTTATTTGGATCATAGACTTCTGGCAGAGCAGGTAGATTAGATAGACTTCTAACAGAGCAGGCAGATTAGATAGACTTCTAACAGAGCAGGCAGATTAGATTCTTAGAGATTATGTGGAAATACTAATGATATCCAGATGAGTGTCAAGACCAATAGGCCTCTTGTTGTCTTTATAGGATGAAACACTTGCTGCTGGATTCATTGTTGGACTAGGTGGCCAACAGCCAGAAAATAATGACCCCAAGCTGGAAAACACAGAAGTAGCTGCAGAAATACCTGACCTGCCATCATCTTTTGATCCTGATTTCACAACTGATATTAAAGGTATATAAGTTATATATTCTGCTGTCACAAAAGTATTGTTAAGACCATTAGATGTGGTACTGTGAATTTGAATAATTTATGCAATGCTACAATAATGGTACTGTGGAATCATTAAAATTTGTGGGAGCCAATTTTTGTGGATTACTTAAATTTGACAGGTTCATTGGGATGTAATTTTGTGTACTTTCTTATACTTACAAGAGGGAATATGAATTTGTAACCCCAGTTTATCAATTCATGGAGGAAGTTAATTTGTTGTTGAGAGGTACAAAAGAATTCTATGAAAATTAAGCCTCCATGAAATCTAATGATTCCACAGTAATTCATGAAGTGAAATTTAAGGAGGAAGCTGTTCAATGTGAACATGCTTTGAATGTTGATAAAAAAGAATTTATTATAATTCTCACAATTTTTTCTAATTTTAATTAATAGATGATCCGGACAGTGCTTACAATGCCATGCAAGACCAGTCGACAAATTCTGATGTCTTGGAGATTGATGATCAGGAAGATATGTGTCCAGCTTTGATGGGGACTAATTCTCCAGTGACCACTACCACAACAACAGTTGCTCCTGCCAAGACTGGAAAAGGTGTCAAAATTAACAGCAAAAAAAATTATGAAATATTCTAAGAAGTTTTAATTCAAAAACTGTAAAGTGTCTCATTTTCTGTGATATCTTTATAGGTTTCTTCTCCAAACTTCTGAAGGCTGCAGACAAATTCCTGCAGAAATTCAACATTCGTCGTCTTAAGTTTGGGACAATCATTGAGTTTCTAGACAAGCTTAAAATGGTCAAAAGTAAAGAGGCAATGGCTAAAGTGATGATAACTATCAAAGTATGTAAACAATTTTCTAAAGATAGGTAGATATTTTGTTTCCTTGCTTTTCAGAACAACTTGGGTTAAAATGTTGATTAGTAGTATACAAATTGGGCTACTAGATACTAAGTCAAAATCCTCTTCAGATATTGTAATTGTAAAACTTTACAGTGCATTAATGTTCTGGAATATTGTTCCAACCCTACATTGTTATTGATATACATGTAAGTACTTATTTACTGTTAATTGTATCAAGAAAAAATTATAAATTAGTACCTCATTTTTGTTCAGGAACTCATAGAAAATAAACCCTGTGTAAGCCCACATGAAATGACGGAAGATCAGCTTACGAATGAGTTGATGGAAAGAGGCAAAGATGCATCAGGTTCAAGAGAGGACATGGTGGCCAGACTTCTGGAGCTTGACCAAAGTATGTTTATTGAGTTTTATTGTTATTTATAATAGTGTACTATGTGAGACTTGATAATACTAACAAGTTAATGTTTTGTTTTCTACACTTCAGGCTGTCCATTGATGTCCTTCACCATGCCAAAGAATGTATACTGTACCTTTGACAGTCATTGCTTGGGAGTGGAATGTTGCATCAATGTTAAAATTGCCATGTTCCTTAAAGTCTTCAAGTTCTGGGCCAGATTTGATCCATGTTCAGAACCAATGCAATTTGTGATGGCATTTGACAAGTTCAATTACACAATCAAAATAAAAGGCAGTCTAAACTTTGATGGTAAGGACTTAATTTTTTTTATATGTGGGAAAATAGTCTTTGTACATGGAATGTAGAGCCATATATTTATTTTCTTCAGGTTTTGAAAATGAACTGAGAACAGGGATCAAGATAAATCTTATGGGCGGCATTGAATTGATTGTCAAGTAAGTTGCTGAAAATCTGAATTAAAAGATTTACTATATGAAATCTCAATAATACACACAATCACAAATGTATCACACAACTATTTAACACAAAGTCTATTATGAATAACTTTTCAATGTAAACTCAACTTGCATTTATAAGGATGAAGACTTAACATGTATATATTTGGGGTTTTACTTATTTTGAGAGTTTGACAATTCTACAGATACAGTATTACTAAAGGAAAGGAAGCAGCGTTGGCCACATTTGGTGTAGGCTTCTGTAGTTATGAAGACATTAACGACTGTATTCTGTTTGTCAACTTACTGGACAATGCAGTTCTGCCCATTCCAATTTGTCGGCCAGATGGAACTCTTGTATGGCCAGAATGTAAGAGCTTTATTTTTAGATATATGGTAAAACATGCCTATAGCCAAGTGCCAGGGACGTGCAATTATGATTCATTATAAACATAATTTGTTATATCCGTTAAGATCATAATACATTTTAAAACCATGAAGTTTGAAAATCACTGTAAGTGTGAATCATCAATATATAAGTGTGTTCACTATAACCATGTTTTACTGTACTATGGTACAACACCACTCAGGAACATAACTGGTTAATGGTCTTTATTTCATTGTAGTATTGTTATTATCATGTGTATATTTATGGAATTTCAGTGGACTTTACAAAGCTATTTGACAAAGAAGCACTTATCAAAAGAATAAAGGAGCAAGGGAAAGCCCTGACTAAATTGGTTGTCTCAGAACTTATGGATGAGTTTTTAAAATTGCTTCACATTCCGAAGGTCAGAAATAATGAAGAAAAATAATACATGTACATGAAAAGAAACCTTATATACATGCATTTAGCAAAGATTTACTGAGTAGCTGTTTAGAATTTCTGAAGCCACCTATTATAAGTTTATCATTATCATTTTTGAGACTATTTTATATGTATATAATAGGCTATGCTGCTTGACAGTGAACCCTCTCCAAGACCAGAAAAAATGACATTAGGACAAATACAGGCATCATTGATGTCAAGAAATTTATCAACAAATGGAAAGAGAGACATTCTTAACCATAGGTTACTGGAAGATGATTTGTGTAAGTGTCTTTGATTTGCATACAGATATATGTCTTAATACTTGTTATAACTTATTCAAGTGAGTTTTTCTGATTGAGAAGTGACCATCTGTCTTTAGCTGCTGTGTGTCATCTGTAAACTTCTCAAATTTTGACTTCTTCAGAACCGCTGGAGTAATTTCAGTAAAGCTTATCATGAAATAACCATGGATGAAGGAGATATAAGTTTTGTAAACTAAAGTGCCCCACCCTTTTCAACGAGAGATAATTTAAGTTACATAACTTAAATTTTAGTTATGGTGACGCTGCAACTGGAGGTCAAAATTTAGCAGGGGTATACATGTATATGAAAAATCTCTAAAAAATCTTCTCAAGAACAGCAGAGCCTTAGTATAGGATTTAAAATGCATGCACACATCCCCGTAGATTGCTTCTATAGAGGGTCAAAGTTTAACATTAGAATACAAAAATATTTTGAAAACTCTAGAATAGCAGGGCCATAATTACCGGGTAGTCATATTGATATGCAAGCATTCCCATAGAGTTTAAATTCAAGGTTGCTCAAATCATGATCCCCCTTCTAAAATACATTTTTAAGTCCATAATAATAAATAAATAAAACATGGTGTTTCAGGACATCGGGAGAAGTCTGGGGCGTGGAAAACATCCTCTGTTTTGGAGCCTTTAAAGTCCGATGCCGAGTCAAGTTTCTCCGACTAGATTTCTCAACATTGTTTAAAAACTCATATTTTTGTTGTCAAGAAACATCTATAATGTATAATTCCCTGATTTTATTAAAGTTTTCATCGCCAGAAAGATTAGACATTTTGTTGTTAACCGCCATTTTGCTTTCTTCTTTGTTTTCTTCAGGATTCATCTAATTTTCCTTATTTTTCCGTGATTTTCGCCTGTGGTCCGCCATACGGATGTTTATATCCATCTACCCATAATTCATAGCGAAAGTTCTTGCACAGAGAATACTTTCTATTTCTAAGAAGAAATGTTTACTTTCAGTTTTGTGTCTGAGACCGCTCAATCGCTCTACCGTGTTCCAAGACGAAATTTTATCAGACCGATGTATCGGTCTACAGTGTTGAAAGGGTTAAGTGCCACGTACAGATCTAAATTTGCAGTCGGCCATCAGTACTTGGTGGTGTCTCAATATTAGTGAAAAATTCTCAAAGGGATACATGTGTAAAGCAAACTATTTACAAACAATCAAATCATGCCCCCCTGGGGCTGTAAGGGGCCCCTGTAAGGTTCATAGTTTTGCATTAAAGTATGTAAACAAGAACAAGAAGCAAGAACAACTGAATATTTCTCAATTATTAGTTGCTGTGAATGAACATTTTTTAAAAATGAATCCCTTTATTTTGACAGCATGTACCATTCTGAAGAAGGATGTCAATCTACCTGAAATTTCTGGAGAACTTGGGAAAATTCTGTATTATGCAATACAGAATGACTGCATGAGGGTAGACGCTTGGGCAGATATCACAGTATCACTTCTTGGACAAACCTACACCAAGACCCTAAGAGCATATGTAGAATTGGATCCCTGTAGCTTTATTTTCCAAGTGGCATTTGAGGGGTTTTCATACACAAAGGTTCTTCTGAGTTATGACTGGGGTATGTTTAACTTTTTATAAAATTGATGCTTATATGCCTACAGTTTTTTATGCCTCCATAAACAAAGATTCAGGGGCATACACATGTATAGTTTTGTTCTGTCTGTCTAGCTGTCTCTTTGTCCAACTGTCTGTCTGTTTGTTTGTCCATAAAAACTGTAACCTTGGTCATTAGTTTTGAATGTTGGCACCAAGGCTTTCATATTTTACATCTGTATTCCTTGTGTCAAGGCCTTATTAGTTTGAAAATGAATTTCAAACTAGAATTTCAAATCCAATGTTTTCTCAGATGTGCGTGTCAAATTGTACCCGCCCATTTCATTGTCTATAATCAAATGTTTTGACTGTAAGAGACTGAAATGACATAAGCTGCATATTTCCAATCTTGCCAGTTAATGTTCTGCAGTCTTATTTCTTATTCTTATGTAAATGAAATGATTGAAACAAAATCTCTGTATCCACCTTTTTCTCTCTGGTTCCAAGTCTTTGCCTGCAAATTATGTTTTACTTAAAGAGGATCAAAATTAACTACCCAGTTGAACAGTTTTTTTAGCTAAGCTGAGCTGAAAGTTCGAGTGAGCTTTTCTGATCACCCATTGTCCATCGTCCATCCGTCTATAAACTTTCACATTTTCAACTTCTTCTCAAGAACCACTGGGCCAATTTTAACCAAAGTTGGTACAAAACATCCTTGGGTGAAGAGGAGTATAAATTGTTAAAATGAAGGGCCAAGCCCTCTTACAAAGGGAAAAAAATCAAGAAAAGACAAAAATAGGGTGGGGTCATTAAAAAATCTTCTTCTCAAGAACCACTGGGTCAGAAAAGCTGAAACTTATGTGGAAGCTTTCTGTCTGGGGTAGAGTAGATTCTAAATTGTTCAAACCATGGCCCCCGGGGTAGAGTGGGGCCACAATAGGGAATAAAAGTTTTATGTTGAAAATATATAGGAAAAATCTTTAAAAGTCTTCATTTCAAGAACCATTGGGCCAGAAAAGTTGAAACTTATTTGGAAGCCTCATGATGTAATGAGATTCTAAATTGTTCAACTCATGGCCCCCAGGGGAAGGTTGGGGCTACAAAAGGGAAAATCTTTAAAAATCTTCTTCTCAAGAACCACTGGGCCAGAAAAAGTAAAACTTTTGGAAGCTTCCTGAGGTCGTGTAGATTCTAAATTGTTCAAATCATGACCCCCGGAGGTAGGATGGGGCCACAGTAAGTATTACAAGGGGGGAAATCGGGGGCCCGTTTTACAAAAGAACTTATGACTAAGACCAAAATTTAATTCTGCTTGTAACTTTTTAACTTGCATTATATTAAAATAGTTTTAATCTTTTTGATAGGAATGTAGTAAGATGTTTTTACGCTAGCAATTTAAAAAAAAATCATTCATTTTGCAAAATTTTACAATCAATTTAAGTTTTTGGTCTTAGTCGTAAATTCTTTTGTAAAATGGGCCCCTGGTGAAAAACAGCAGGGCCAAAGTTACTCAGGTGAGCATTGTGGCCCATGGGCCTCTCATTTTTAGTTCCTCTGAGTTTGAGATAAGAAGGTTTTACTCTACAGAATATTTTTTTTTTCTTTTAATTTTACAGGGACGGATGAAACTGCAGAAATTTCAAAGCATGTCATTGTCAAGTAAGTTAATTTTTGTCCCGCTTAATTAAGATTAAAGAGCAGCTAGAGACTATTTTTGTTTTCTTCTTTGCATATGTTTTTTTGTTTTGTTTTTTTTTGGTTACTTTTCTTGTATGTCTATCCACAACTTCAAAATTTGCCATAACTTCTTTACTCCAGTGTTTAGAGCTTTTTATTTAACCATTTATAAACTTAAAGTCATATATATATATTTTTTGGACATGTAAATTCTTGTGCATATATTCTACAACTTGAATGCATTTTGGTTTTCTTTTAGATACAAAATTGATAGAGATGTTGAAGAAGGCATATTTCTTGTGAGTTTTGGACTGAAGATTTGTGCTGGAGAGTGCTTTTTAAATGATTATTTTCTGAAGAACATTAAAATTCCTATTCCACTGTGTGGAGAATTTGTCCTTCCAGGTAATTAAAGAAAACATAAAATAATAAATGCACATTGAGTTTTTGACAAATGAATGTAATGATTGATGTTCAGCTGAACAAATTTAATTTAAGGTGGAGGGTCATTCAGTGGCCTGTTACAAACAATTGGAGGGAAAATGACAGAAGAAGCATTTGAGCTTGTGTTAAAAAAGTTTGATCTTGATGTAAGTATGACTTGTTCTCTATGGTAACAGGTATAATCTTGATGTAAGTATGGCTTGTTCTCTATGGGAACAGGTATAATCTTGATGCAAGTATGACTTGTTCTCTATGGTAACAGGTATAATCTTGATGTAAATAGGACTCGTTCTCTATGGGAACAGATATAATCTTGATGTAAGTATGACTTGTTCACTATGGTAACAGGTATAATCTTGATGTAAATAGGACTCGTTCTCTATGGGAACAGATGTAATCTTGATGTAAGTATGACTTGTTCTCTATGGTAACAGGTATAATCTTGATGTATGTATGACTTGTTCTCTATGGGAACAGGTATAATCTTGATGCAAGTATGGCTTGTTCTCTATGGGAACAGGTATAATCTTCATGTAAGTATGGCTTGTTCTCTATGGGAGCAGGTATAATCTTGATGTAAAAAGGACTCGTTCTCCATGGGAACAGATATAATTTTGATGTAAGTATGACTCGTTCTCTATGGGAACAGATATAATCTTGATGTAAGTATGACTTGTTCTCTATGGTAACAGGTATAATCTTGATGTAAGTATGACTTGTTCTCTATGGGAACAGGTATAATCTTGATGTAAGTATGGCTTGTTCTCTATGGTAACAGATATAATCTTGATGTAAGTATGACTCGTTCTCTATGGGAACAGGTATAATCTTGATGTAAATAGGACTCGTTCTCTATGGTAACAGATATAATCTTGATGTAAGTATGACTTGTTCTCTATGGTAACAGGTATAATCTTGATGTATGTATGACTTGTTCTCTATGGGAACAGGTATAATCTTGATGTAAGTATGGCTTGTTCTCTATGGTAACAGATATAATCTTGATGTAAGTATGACTTGTTCTCTATGGGAACAGGTATAATCTTGATGTAAATAGGACTCATTCTCCATAGGAACAGATATAATCTTGATGTAAGTATGACTTGTTCTCTATGGTAACAGATATAATCTTGATGTAAGTATGTCTTGTTCTCTATGGTAACAGGTATAATCTTGATGTAAGTATGACTTGTTCTCTATGGGAACAGATATAATCTTGATGTAAATATGACTTGTTCTCTATGGTAACAGGTATAATCTTGATGTAAGTATGGCTTGTTCTCTATGGGAGCAGTTATAATCTTGATGTAAATAGGACTCGTTCTCCATGGGAACAGATATAATTTTGATGTAAGTATGACTCGTTCTCTATGGGAACAGGTATAATCTTGATGTAAGTATGGCTTGTTCTCTATGGGAACAGGTATAATCTTGATGTAAATAGGACTCGTTCTCTATGGGAACAGATATAATCTTGATGTAAGTATGACTTGTTCTCTATGGTAACAGGTATAATCTTGATGTAAGTATGACTTGTTCTCTATGGGAACAGGTATAATCTTGATGTATATAGGACTCGTTCTCTATGGGAACAGATATAATCTTGATGTAAGTATTACTTGTTCTCTATAGTAACAGGTATAATCTAGATGTAAGTATGGCTTTTTCTCTATGGGAACAGATATAATGTTGATGTAGTTATAATTCTCAATAATTGCTGGGGTTATATTCCCAGTTTAAATGCCATTGAACTTCAGTTTCTGTCTGCCTAGATAGATGTTAATGGTGATAGGCAATCCATTGAATTTAAAAGTTTTATAAAATTGTTTGTATCACTAGAATAAGAGTTGCTACATATCTTGTGTCATAAAAAAATTGTATCAGGAGTACTGGACAAAAGAGGGGATGCAACATAGTCCTGTGAAGGTATAAAGATGGGGTTGTAAATACATGTATGATTGTGTAAAATATATTTTATACTTCAGATGGTTTTTAAATCTGGACCAGTGCAGCTACCACCAGGACCAGATGGTAAGTTTCAGTCAGTTCTAATTTTTGTAAATTATATATAGTATAACAAGCTGCAAGGAATCCATACTATCTTGCTTTTTAAACATACTATAGTACATGTATTTCAACTTGAAAAAATTATAATTAACTTCATATCATTTTCAATTTCCAATATTTTTTATTGTAGATTGTCCTATTTCTTTTAACTTCCGACAGTATCTACCCCCTGCAATAAAAAATATGGTGACTTGTGTGCAGCCACCTAACTGTTGGGGGATAGACTGTAGCCTGGATTTGACATTTACCATTCCTCTAGGAAACATTCAAATCACAAAGAATATTCCTTTCTGGTTCAAACTGGACCCTTGCGATTTTGGCATTGATATTGGGTTTGGAACACAAACTTTGTTAAAAACCCGCCTTCTTCAATATGAGTTTGGTATGAATCCATTTCAAGTAGCCTGATAATTTTCAAAACTATTTTTGTTCATGTACTCTGCATAAATGCTTAATTTTGTTGTACGACTGATATTTCTTTCAGAAGAATTATAAATGATTTTGTATTAATGATAGATTATTGAAATACTGCATGGGATTTATATATGATATGTATGTGATCACAAATTTTCCACTGAATTTTGTCTTAGCAGACTTAAAAAGCATTTAAGACATACAATAGCAATAAAAAAATCTGCATAATTTTCTAACTTTCATGTACTCTGTATTAAAACGGCACTGAAAAAGGGCCCATTCCCTATAGCTTAAATGCACTTGTCCTTTAGTGTATTTTATTATGAACCTGTATGTGTACTATATATTCCCAGGTAAAGAGAAGTCTCTGACACTTGGATCAGGAAATCCTGCACCTATTGAAATCATGTAAGGAAACTGAGAAAAAGGTCACAAACCTTCAGTCACTATTTAGCTCTTTATGTGAACAAAATATGTAACTTTTTAACATCCAGCACACATAGAGTAAAGACTTAAAATAAACAATATTTACATGTAGATATAAGATTGAAAAAATGGAAGGAAACAAAGGCTTTATTGTGGATGTCAAGGTGATGATATGTCTACCTATGGATGGGAAGAAGTACTGTATTCCAACTGAAGAAGGTCTACAGCTGCTCCAAAATCAGGAAATCCCAGTGTGTGACCAGAGAGCTCTCATCAACTTCAAAAGTTTGTATTTATAACTGTAAAATATGCATTTCATTTGAAAGTCTAAGTGTAACCTTTAGAAAATTTTTTTCCTTTTGTGGAACTCCTGAGTCAATATAATCCAAACTAATCTCTGAGTGTCCTATTGTAAGGGTCATTAAGATTTTTACCAAAGAGTGGCTATGCCCTTTTAATTTGTATATAATTTAGAGATAGTTTATGGATCATTATTGAAAATAGCCCTCACGGTAAGTCAGGGATCCAAAGTTTATTGTATTTGAATGTGTGGGAAAATCTTGAGAGATCTTCTCAACAGTTGCAAATGGACATATTAATTTGCAAAGTTCCTTATGCAGTATTAATGTGCACCTTATGTAATGTAAATTCAGAATTATTTAAATCAAAGCCTTCTGGTGACAAATGATACAGTAATTCTGGGAAGAATATAATCTGCAATACCTACAAAAAGTTATATATGTATAAAAAAAAATGTTATGCTTTGTATTGTACTTAAACATATAAAGTTCTTAATGTTCTGTAATGTTATTGACCTTTGATGTTTCCATTCAGACTTTTCCATCTCTGACTGGTTTAAAGATAAGGCATTGGACATTGGAGAGCAGCTAGGAGAGGGAGCAAAGATGTTATTGTTAGAAGAACTGAACCTGACAAATTTCTTCCAGAAAACTAAATGTGACAGAACAAGATCACCTTACATTCCATCTGTAGAGGGGATGCACAACAGTATGGCTTCATTTGTGTTAGGGATCATTTTATCCCATCTTTATGCCTTTATCCAGAAATCAGTCACTGGGACAAATTTTCAGATTCCTTACTTTAATCCTTCACTAAGTGGTCTCAAAGCCATTTATCCAGACACCAAACAGGGGAAATCTTATAAAGGAGATGGGCAAACATAGCGTGCAGAAAGCCTATAGCTTCAGATATATAAAAATCATGTTCAGTTTGTGAATTTAGTATTTAGAGTAAAGTTCTCATTATTGAACTTTATGAAATTATAATTAACAACACTTTTTTGAGGAAAATTTTATCGTTCAAATTTATTCTTTTATTAAGAAATAATGTGGTATTCGTGAGGTTCGAACCCTAGCAATAAAAATCCTGAGTATCATTTTCTTTCGAGACTAGCACGCTAACCACTAGACTACAGAAGTTCTGATGAAGAGTGGCATTTAAATCAGGTTTGTGATATGACCCTTGACTTAATGGACTTCAAGTATTTCTCGAAAAGATGCGAATGTTATGTCATAAAAGTATTTTTTTAAGGTATAGTGGGTCATTGCTCCATATTTTTGGTAACAAAAAATGTATATCTTTATGCAAACTTTGAGGATTAACTTTCAAAAAGGTGGAGCGAAGACCCACTCATATCGAAAAATAGTGCTATAGTATGAGAAAATGATTCTTTTTGCCCGCTTTAATGTGTGTATAATATTTCATAGGGAAATAATTTCAATCTTTGAGGGATTTTTGCAAATTGTAGAGATTTTACATAAAGTATATTTTAATGTTAGACGAAATATCAAGGAAAATTTTGATATAATTGAAATTTAATTTTTCACCTTCATATTTGTTACACTATAGGCTTATTGCTCGTCATGTTCACCCATCTTCTTTATTATATTTGTTGGATCATGATAAACTCATTAATCACTAAAAATGCTTGAAATTAGACAGATAGATTAGAGATATACATGTAGTATAGATATATATCTTTTCACCATAAATAATTTCCTTTTATATTTTCTTTTTATAGTATGTCCCAAAACCATAGCATTTTTGCCCTCCAAGATTCCTGATCCCATGTCTTGCTACATCCCTGACTATTGCACGGGTATAGAATGCTGTGCTGAGATCCCAGGTCTGGGATTAGGATTACATTTGTTCTTGAATTTGGATCTAGACAAACTAGAACTGAGTTATGGATTTGAGAACTTGAAAACAAAGATTAAACTCCTTGACTATGTTTGGGGAGATGAAATTAAAGTTGAAGTGGCCGGAGGACTCATTAAATTTCTGTAAGTACAGATTGTTATCATTAGAATTAAGCTCAGTTTTTTTTTAACTTTTTACAGGTAAGTTGATAAAATTATATACCGGTACATTAATTTTATTTTGGGTCAAGTTTGTCAAATTTGGGATGCTGTACTTTGGAAAGAATGTTTTTTGAAATGAGATCCAAGACATTTTTACTCTGATGGGAGCAACACTCCATTTAAAAAAGAAAGATGTTCCTCTTCCAGGAATAAATTTTATTTAAGGTATAATCACAAGTGAAGGATAATATGTATATTATTTTCTAGATTCAACATAAAACCCATAACAGATGAGAATGTTTATGTTTTCAATGCCCGTGCAGCTGTTTGTTTGGAGGGTGGAAAATGTTCCATTGACATTCCCGTGTTTACTAATACTAGGCTGCCTTCTATAAGAGCTCTAGTGACTGGAGAATTCAGTGAGTACATCATTTTGAATTGGAACAGAAACAACAGATGAATTTCTACTAACGTGTTTGTGTGAAATACATAACTTTATACTGTAAAATAATACAATCACATATTTTCATGGGGTCAGATATTCGAGGTTCAAGGAAAAATTATTGGTTTATGGAGATTTGATTTTGTTGGTGAAGAAGTGCTGAGTCGTTATGTATATGACATTTTACATTTCATGGTGGACATGAATTCACGGGTCTCTTCATACCTCAAAAACAGCAAAAATTAAACCCCCACAAAAAACGGTTATTTCACAGTATGTGAAAAACAATAGATAACAGAATAATGTGTATGTTTCCTATTGTGTAGATTTCTCCATGTCCAATTGGCTGGAAAATATGGGAATTCCATCACTGGATGACTTAAAGGACAGTGCTAAAACAATGTTAATCCAACAATTAGGTGTGAACAAGTTTTTACTGGATAAGCCCTGTGATATATCTGGTGACTTGTATTCTCCAAGTGTCCAGGGATGGAAAAATGGTAAAAACTGAATCATTTGATAATTACTGGTTTCTGTACATTCTACAGATTAATTCCCAGCCCATATTAAACTGATCTTTAATTGATACAGTTTTGTGTATCTAATATAAAGCCTGGGAGTAATATTTTAATTGGAAGTTAGTCAACAAATCTTCTCGCATATTTGATAATACGTACTCTGTATTGTAGAGTGCCCATTGGATTGGGTAGTACCACCAGCGATTCCATTCCAAAATGTAAAGTGTGCTCTAACAGAGAACTGTACCAGGATTGACTGTTGTGTGGACTTTAGTCTTCTGAACCTTCAGCTTCACTTCTTCCTCCATTTTGACAGGTGTAATTATGTCATCTCTGGTGGAATAGAGAAGAAAACCTTCTCATATGGACTACTGGATTTCAACAACTTTTGGGGTAAAATTCATTACAAAATGGATATGTTCCAGATGCTTTAAATGTTTTTGTACAATTCATTATACTTTGAGCTAGTTTTAACTAATGTTCCAGTCGTTTAATGATTGATGAAATGCTTTTCATATATTTGCAGGGAAAGAGATCAAAACTGACATTGCAAACATCATTTTTATCAAGTGAGTTTAAACTTTCTAATTCTATTTCTTAAATTGTTTTGTAATATGGCTCAATATTTGTTTTTCATTGGTGCTTAATATTACATTATTTAGATTTAAGGCCAGTCAGTTAGAAGTGTCCAAGAAATATGTCCTTGACCTTGGAGTTTCTGTATGTCTGGAGCCCAATAAATGTGAGCTAGATGTCCCAGTATTCAACCAAGTCCTTATTCCTGTCCTTAACTGTGACCTTGCAATGGATTTCTCATTAAAAGGTGAAATAATGCTATCACTATCATTAAAAGCTTCTTGAAAATTATAAAAGGGGGGAAATGTATAAATTTGAGAAAAATTAATGAATTTGAAAATGAATCAAATCCACCTTTTGTCTCTTTAATGATTCCATTCACTTTAATATAACATTGCATCTATAGTACATGTAACTGTATATTGTAACTATTCTACTTTTTTGGTTTAAAAAGGCTTTTCTCTGACAAAGTGGATGAATGAGCAAGGGTTGTCACTGGAGGGAAGTCTGTCTACAGCTTTGTCCAACTCTCTGTTCAAGTTACTGGGCATTGATTCATTCATGAAAGAGAAATCCTGTTCTCGTTCAGAGCCACCTTACAGTATCAACAGGTTACAAGAAAATGGCTGGTCTTCAGGTCTGTACATGTATATCTCCTCAATCAAAGTTATTCTAACCCTTTATAAGCCAGAGGATTTTAGCAACTCTTAATGAATTCCAGCCTTATATGATTATTGTAAATAATATACAATGCATGTATTACATACAAGTTTAAAAGAAAAAATAATTTCTTATATTAGAAAATTGATCTTGAATCAACACATTTCTTTTATAGAATGTCCAACAAAATTGCCACTTTTCAAAATTCGAGGAACGACATCCTGTAACATTAAGGAGTCCTGCACTGCTGTATCTTGCTGTATAGAAGTGGGCAAAATAGGGAGGACATTTGAAGTAGAGCTGGACATAGACTTTTGTAACCAGAAAATAACATTTGGGATTGAGAAACTGACGGAAACCCTCTCTCTACAGCTCTTTGAATTTGGTAAATAAGTGTACAGAAAACATCATGATGGATATGTACTGCACCACCAAGACAATTCTGCTTCATTGAAGTCATCATGCAGTGTTGAATTATCCAATTAATATTTATAATTTTGTACTAGGGGTTGACATTTAAAAAGCATAAATTCACTTTGAAAGAGTTTGCTGTAAGTCATTTTTTTTTGTTTACTGTATTTGGTACAGAAACATCATGGTAGATATTCCTCACAAAGTAGATGTGAGTGTTCACATTTTTCATGTATCATCAACTTCAGTACATATATGTATATGAATGCAATTATGTTCAAGAAACTATAGAAAATGATATGCTTATCCCTTTTCATTTTAGGAGTAAGGAAAGAAGTTGTTATCAAGGGAGTTGTAAAATTTGGGTAACAAGTTTTTCTATTTAGTTTGAGCTTATGAAATTACAACTGAATTTGATTTGGTAGTTAATTAATGGCATTGATTGCTGCTGCAGTTACACCATCTGGGATCATGCTGGAGAAGGGGTGTATGTGGTGACTGTAGATTTGGCAATATGCCTAGAGGATGGAGGAGATTGCTTAATTAATGTCAACATACTTGATCAAGCCAAGCTTTCCAAGCAAATCTGTCAATGGGGCACAGGTTTCCTTAACCCTGGTAAGAAGAGTTTTGTGAGAAGTTTATTTAATTCTTGTTATTTTATTATGTCCCAAAAATATATAAATGTACATTATTTTTAGTGTAATCTACCAGATTTTGTATGCAATTCACAGATACAAATTAATTTGTTGAAATATTTCAGTTTTGAGTGTATCTACCAGTGTTTTTTATGCAATTTGCATATACAAATTTATTGAAATATTTCAGTTTTGTATAAATTATTTATTTTTTGTCTTACAAAGGTTTTACTCTGGATAGTTTCATGAAGGAAAATGCCTTAACAGCATTTGATCAAATAAAAGGCTTGGTCCTGGATGAACTCAAGGAATCTTTAGGTTTACCTCAGTATCTGAATGACCCACCCTGCTCATTATCCAACCAGATGTACATTCCAAACCACAATGGACTCAAAAACTGTATGTATAACTTGTATAAATGTTAATATTAATAAGGACTTTTATAATAATGATTTTCCTATAATGTAACCTATATTTGTTATAGATAAATATAAATCTAATTGGAATGTGATATTATATAAATAGTGCACTATTTATTTTATAATACTGAATGTCTTATTGATTTCGGATATCATAAAAAAAATTCGGAGATCATCGTTAAGTTCACGCTTAGAAAGCTTTCAAACTCCCCGTTTCTATTTTTCTCAATAAGAAAGCTTCGGAAAAGAGTTACCAACCTCTTTATTGTTTATTTGCTACTCAAAAAGTCCTTTATCATCTTAAGTTTGCACTCGCAAGGATGTTTCGTATGTCGTTTGTTGTTTTCACGTAAGCTACATCGGACACAAGCTTTTATTGATGTCGTTTATTCAGCTTCTTTCAAACGCACAACCGACGTTTTGAGAATTCTACGGTGAACCGTACACGCATCATTTGAACGCATGTGACATTTTCGTAATGTTACCCGTTGTCAAGTGTGTTGCTAACGCCGAGGGTAACATTACGGATTGTTAAATGCGTCTAAACCAATCAGATTTTAGTATTTAACATGAAAGTATAATAAAATTATTTGTGACATATGAGTCTATTATCTAACATTGAAGCTTGTTCTAAACCCATTGGATCATTGCCTTCACTTCCCTCCAACATGAGATGTGCTATGTCAGAGTCCTGTACTGGGATAGACTGTTGTATAGGAGCAGCACCAATTCATCACAACTTCCATACATATCTAGATATTGATCCCTGCAGTCTTAAGATGAAGTTTGGAATTGATAAATTACAGTTCCAACTTTATTTACAAGAATTTAAGTTTGGTGTTGAGAAAGATGTCAGGCTGGTCAACGTTGTCAGAATGAAGTAAGTTGAAGCTGAATTAATGACATTAAAAAATATTAGATATGTTTACATTTTTTTGTAATTAAAATGATTTTAAGATTTATGTGAAAAGTTAGCAACTACTTTATTATCTAAGCCATAGAGGGGTGTGAAGTCTAAAATGATGCTAGGTCATTTCTTCATTAATTTTTTTTCATCACAAAACTGCATGCAACATATGAAAATTAATCTTTCTAGCCATAAAAGTTTAGTTTTCATGAAAATATGAATGCTCTGTGTTTTAAATTGGAAACAACTTGATTATAGATGTATGTTTTATGACCACAGTTCAGTTTATTTGGTGTAATTTTAAAGGTTAAAACTGGAATAATAGACCTTACTCTCTTCAAAAACCCATTCATTTGTGTGTTAATTTGGTTTCATCTGCATTTAACCAATTACAGCTTGTTTTTTTTGTCAATGTACATTCATTAAAGAAATGTGATTGTATTTTTGTAGATTTAAGATATGGGACTTGGCAGCTGAGAACCAGTATTTGGTAGATCTGAGATTTAGTGTATGCTTTGATTCAGCATCTCAGTGTATATTGGAAGTTCCTATATTCCAACAACAACGTCTTCCAAAGAATCTCTGTGATTTTGCTGCAAGCTTTTCAAGTAATATTTTTTAATGATAAAGAGTATTTGCTTTTATGAATTATTTTTCTCACCATAGATGTTTTTTTTTTTCTCAAATACTCTGTTAACCAGTATCTTCCTGGTGATTTATTGTGCAGATTTTTCATTGGATGGCTGGAAGTCCTCGATGGGTTTTACCATGGATAAGTTAACATCATTGGCTACTGACCAGCTGATGGAGTATCTTGGTATTGCTGGTTACCTGAAGAAAAATCAGTGCAGTGTACAGAGTGGAAATAGGACCATCAAGGGTTGGAATGATGGTAAGATGTTTTTCAGTTCAATTGGACAAAGTCCATGTGCTTATATAAGGCACTGGTAAGGTATCGGTTGCCTATTTTCTATCCCCCTGCCTGTCTAGTTTTTCTGGCATGTGTAAAAGTTTTTGAAATGCTCCCTCACTTTTTGTCCAATTTCAGTGAAAGTTGGTATGCACAAAAATACACGAAGATTCATAAGTACCTAATTTTTCCAATGAATTTTTTCCCCGGCTACTCATTTACAAATAGAATGAAAAATTATTAAAGTTCAATGGAAAATTTTGCTGGTACAAATATCATCAATACAAATTGGGACTTTTCTTTATACATCAAAAGATGAAATAGAGAGAAAAAAAATTGTGTGCTTTGAAATAAAAATCATATTATTTGCTTAAAAATATATGTGAATTAATAAATAATATCTGGGTTTTTTAGCTCACCTGAGCTGAAAGCTCAAGTGAGCTTTTCTGATCACCCGTTGTCCGTCGTCCGTCGTCCGTCCGTCTGTCCGTCCGTCTGTAAACTTTTCACATTTTCAACTTCTTCTCAAGAACCACTGGGGCAATTTTAACCAAACTTGGTACAAAGTATCCTTGGGTGAAGGGGAGTGTGAATTGTTAAGATAAAGGGCCAAGTCCCCTTACAAGGGGAGATAATCAAGAAAAGACAAAAATAGGGTGGGGTCATTAAAAAATCTTCTTCTCAAGAACCACTGGGCCAGAAAAGCTGAAACTTATGTGGAAGCATCCTGGGATAGTGAAGATTCTAAATTGTTAAAATCATGACCCCCGGGGGTAGGGCGGGGCCACAATAGGGAATCCAAGTTTTACATTGAAATATATAAGAAAAATCTTTAAAAATCTTCTTCTCAAGAACCACTGGGCCAGAAAAGCTGAAACTTATTTGGAAGCATCCTGGGGTAGTGTAGAATCTAAATTGTTCAAATCATGACCCCCGGGGGTAGGGCAGGGCCACAATAGGGAATCCAAGTTTTACATTGAAATATATAAGAAAATTTTTTACAAATCTTCTTCTCAAGAACCACTGGGCTAGAAATACTGAAACTTACGCGGAAGCATCCTGGGGTAGGGTAGAATCTAAGTTATTCAAATCATGACCCCCGGGGGTAGGACGGGGCCACAATAGGGAATCCAAGTTTTACATTGAAATATATAGGAAAAATCTTAAAAAATCTTCTTCTGAAGAACCACTGGGCCAGAAAAGCTGAAACTTATGTGGAAGCATCCTGGGATAGTGTAGATTCTAAATTGTTCAAATCATGACCCCCGGGGGTAGGGCAGGGCCACAATAGGGAATCCAAGTTTTACATTGAAATATATAAGAAAAATCTTTAAAATTCTTCTTCTCAAGAACCACTGGGCCAGAAAAGCTGAAACTTATATGGAAGCATCCTGGGGTAGTGTAGATTCTAAATTGTTCAAATCATGACCCCCGGGGGTAGGACGGGGCCACAATAGGGAATCCAAGTTTTACATTGAAATATATAAGAAAATTTTTTACAAATCTTCTTCTTAAGAACCACATAGCCAGAAAAGCTGAAACTTATGTGGAAGCATCCTGGGGTAGTGTAGATTCTATATTGTTCAAATCATGACCCCTGGGGGTAGGGTGGGGCCACAATAGAGAATCCAAGTTTTACATTGAAATACATCAGAAAAATCTTAAAAAATCTTCTTCTCAAGAACCACTGGGCCAGAAAAACTGAAACTTATATGGAAGCATCCTGGGGTAGTGTAGATTCTAAATTTTTAAAATCATGACCCATGGGGGTAGGGCGGAGCCACAATAGGGAATCCAAGTTTTACATTGAAATATATAGGAAAAATCTTTTAAAAATCTTCTTCTCAAGAACCACTGGGCCAGAAAAGCTGAAACTTAAGTGGAAGCATCCATTGTTCAAATCATGACTCCTGGGGGTAGGGCGGAGCCACAATAGGGAATCCAAGTTTTACATTGAAATATATAAGAAAAATCTTTAAAAATCTTCTCAAGAACCACTGGACCAATAAAGCTGAAACTTATTTGGAAGCATCCTGAGGTAGTGTAGATTCTAAATTGTTCAAATCATGACCCCCGGGGGTAGGGCGGGGCCACAATAGTATATTAAAAGGGGGAAATCTGGTAAAGAACAGCATGGCCAAAGTTACTCAGGTGAGCGATGTGGCCCATGGGCCTCTTGTTTTAATACATGTAATATGTTTCTTAGATCTCATGTGTTTTCACCAAACATTCCAGATTGTCCCAAGTCTTCCTCCTATCAGAAGCCTGATTTATCATCATTGCCTGTGCTGTGCTCCATATCCTCCAAATGTACACAGATCCACTGCTGTTTAGCCATGGAATCTATTGGGAGGAACTTTGAGACTTTCATTGACTTAGATCCATGCCTCAAAACTCTTGAATTAGGAATAGAAGATTACAGAACTAAAATCAATTTGTTGACATACTCATTTGGTATTTAAGATTATTATAGATTTTGTGTACTTGCATCTCATTTGTTTAAAATTTTTATGTAACTTCAAGTGTGGGTTTAATGATTCTCTAATTATTTATTCTATGTGTTTTTTAAGGATCAAAGAAAAGTTTTTGGATGAAGGATGTGATAAGAATAGAGTAAGCAGTTATTTCCTATCTTAGAATTTCTTTTTGATTTGAACTTTAAAGAAATATAGAAATTCATATGATGTAAGCCAAATAAATACTCAGTCTATATTTAACAGGTACAGTATTGAAGATCTTGAAGCCAAATACCTTGTGAACATGAAAGTGGAGATTTGTCTTGAACAGGGACAGCCATGTCTTATCTCCCATGATGTTGCTAAAGATGTGTACCTACCAAAACCTGGCTGTGATTGGTCATTTGACTTCTCAGGTGTGCCATTCTGCTTCATTGATAATATATTTTACAAGTCGTAGAAAATTGTACACTTTGATTTATTTTCCTTGTGTTCAAATTATTTGAAATATAATGAAATATTGAATAAAAAAGTCAGACAAACAAGCATGTCCACTATTGTGCTACTGCTGCATATACATGTATAAAGATCTTTGTTGTAGGATTTTCCATTTCTGGGTGGTATAAGAACATGTCCCTGTCACCTGGTTCAGTGTTGTCAACCACTTATCTGTCCATGCTAAAAGAGAGTCTTGGAATCACCAATTTCCTGCTGCCCAAGGAAAAGCAGTGTAACAGGAGGTCAGCTGCTTATCTTCCACAGACAGAGGGTCAGACTGGATGGAAAATTGGTGAGTGTGACAAAAATGGATGGTGACATAAGGGAGACAAATCTTGTACATAATACCAATATTTAAATAGTTTTATGAAATTAATAAAGCCATATTGTTTTCAGACTGTCCCCTTGATGTGGGTAACATGACCCAGTTAACTAGTTCCCTTCCCATCAGCTGTCACCTGATGAGTCACTGCACAGCTGTGGAATGTTGTCTGGATTTTCAGGATCCTCTACAACAGACAATCCATTTTTTCCTGGATCTGGATCTTTGTCTCCAGACATTGAAAGTGGGAATAGAGAACTTATTCTATGAAAAGACACTGTTTTCTTACCAGTATGGTAAATGAAATACTTAAAAACAATTGTTTTATTGAAATGGTTCTGCATATTACATGTATATTCTGAAAACTCATTATTATTTGATGATATGAAGAGATTCACTTTTCATTTAAGAGGCCATTTACATTTTCCTTTGATTTTTTGAAATTGAGCAACAAGTTGATAATTTTTTAAGCCCTCCATTCTATTTACTTGATATTTTAAAAGTATAAGAATCTTTATTGTAATGTATAGGTGTGGAAGACAGCTTCAGCTTGATGGATGTGGTCCAATTGAGGTAAGTACAGTAACAACGTACTGCATAGTAATTATTTCCGTGTGTATTTTACATGTGCTTGCTATTGTATCAAAGCACTGTATCCTGTCCAGATGTAAATTTCATGAGGTTGTTTTGCTAATTTACATTAAACAGGTACAGGATTGAAGATGTTGATAGGAGTAACTTAGAGTTAACAGCAAAAATAAAGATTTGTCTTGAGGAGAGAACTTGTATATACGAGTCTGTATTGTTTGACAAACAGAGGATACCAAAACCAGGATGTAACTGGAACCTTAACTTTACATTACCAGGTTTGTCATCTTTGGAAATCACTGCTTTTTAGCTTACCTTAACAAAGCTAAGATGAGTTTATGCTAAATCCCTGAGGTCCGCATCTCAAATTTTTGTAGCTGGTCAATTTTCAAAGTGACTGTACTATAAGCCTTACATGAACACTAGACTTGTAGCTATGATGCATCTAGAAATATTCTCCAGGTCATGCTTGATGTGCTGCCTCTGACCTATGTTTTTAGCTCACCTGAGTTTAAAACTCAGGTGAGCTTTTCTGATCATATTTTGTAGTCTGTTCGTCTGTAAACTTTTCACATTTTTGACTTCTTCTCCAGAACCACTGGGCCAATTTCAACCAAACTTGCCACAAGGCATCCTTGGGTGAAGGGGATTCAAGTTTGTTCAAATGAAGGGCCACACCCTCATTCAAGGGGAGATAATTCAGAAATTGTGAACATTTGGTGGCATGTTTTAAAAATCTTCTTCTCAACAATCACTGGGCCAAAAAAGTTTAAACGTATAGAAAACCTTCTTTACATAGTGTAGATTCAAGTTTGTTCAAATCAAGACCCCTGGGGATAGGGTTGGGCCACAGTGGGAGATCAAAGTTTTACATTTTACAAGAACAGAAAAACCATAATTAGTCATATTGATATGGAAGCATCCTCAGATAGTGTAGATTCAATTTTGTTTAAATGATGACCCCTGGGGGTAGGGGTATCAAATTTTTACATAAGAATTTATAAGAAAAAAATCTTCAAAAATCTTCTGTTCAAGAATAGCAAAGCCATTTGTTATATTGTTATGGAAGCATCCTCAGGAAGTTTAAAATCAAGTCCCCCCCCCCCCCCCCGTAAACATTTCAATACTGATTTGTGCCTTTTCCTAGTCAATGTGTGCAGTGTGCAGGTCAGTGATGTGGCCCATGGGCCTCTTGTTTCAGATATGGAGCAAGATTAGTTTTGGGAAGGATCTCATTCTTAATAATTGTAAGTCCTACTGTGACCAAACTTGCATGGATGATACATGTGCATGTACGTTGTATGAAAATTTATTACCAATCAGGTTTTGGATGCTTCACCTGATCATTTCTTTTCCAATGTTTGGACAGCTGTAAACTATTAAAGCAGGTCTATTTCCAAGTAAATTTAGGCCCTTATTCTTACTTCCAGCAGATCTTGAATGTTACATCTGACCTACATGTATATTGCCAGTCAATTTTAAGGTTTTTGAGCAGGTCTATTTCAAAGTAACTGTCAGCACCACCCGACCAAACTTGCATAAATGATGCAAGGGATGTTTACCTTTAATGTTGCTTCTGATCAACATTTTATGGATGAATGATAAGCATTATGTTCCTAGGGCAAGTCCATTCCCAAGTATCTATGCTTCATCTGAACCAACCTTGAAAATGATGCATTAAGGGTTGCATCTGAACTATATGTTTCTTTAAGATAGTCCAAGTTTTGGAGCAGGCCTATTCCCAAATAACTGTAAGTTCTACGACTTGATTACTTTTGTATTAGAAATTGGGTGCTGCATTTGACCTAAATTTTTTGGAGGAGTGGTCAGACTTGTTTGGAGCAGATCAACTCATATAACTGTAAGCCCTACTAGGATCAAATATGCAATGGTGATGTACTGCATACAGGGTTATTTTTACTCAGTGTTATTTTCAACCAATCACACCCATGATGATGACTCATTTTAAATTCACCTTGAGACAGCTGAATCTGTCTTCAGTAACTTTGCCCCATTTTGAATTCATCCACTTGCCCACAGGGCAAATGGGCAAAAATCAAACAGAAAAAAATTTCTTGGCAGCCTTGCTCCAGATGCTTTATTTATAATAAGAAAGTCACTCAAATGACCTATTACAGTATAACTATCTGCTCAGTCTTCCCTTCTCAATTTTTAACCCACATTTTATTCTTTACAAATGTATATACATGTAAATGTAAAAAAAAAAAAAAAAAACATTGATGGGGCTTGCTAGCTGGCTAAGTCAATTTGAGCCCTTCCCATGGGTTTGTATATTTATAGTCTTGTTTTTATATACTACATGTAGATTTCTCCTTGGCAAACTGGTACAACAGTATAGGTGCTGCTATTGGATCCCAGCTCTCCACCCTGAATGCTGCTAAACTTCTAGAAGAACTTGGTATTGCCAAATACATGCAGGAGATTCCTTGTCATAGATCTGGTCCAGTATACAGTCCTGCTGTCAGTGGGTGGAAAAAAGGTCAAAGCTTTTACATAATTATCAGTAATTAATAAAATCAAATAAAGGCATGCAGTGTATTGAAGGTTAAGTATTTTCTAAATATGGTTAAGAGATACATTTATTTCTGAGGTATACGATCACTGTAATTGATTAAGTCATAGAAAGCTGTATTAGTTCATATGTTTATTACATTCCAAATTCCATAGGCAACTAACACTTCTACCATAATTGTAGACTGCCAGTTGGAAGTTGCTATGATGCCAATCTCTGACTCAGTCACATGTCTGGTAAAGGACACCTGTACCTCAGTCAGTTGTTGTATGGATGTTGGATTCATGAAGACATCATTTGAGACTTATTTAACATTGGATGCCTGTAACTATTGGATGGAAGTTGGTATTGAGAAGCTGTCATTTAACATCAGTCTCAAAGATGTAACATTTGGTTGGTATCATGAAAGAATTAATTTGTAATGTATTAAATGTAAAGTTGTTTCATTTGTCAATGCATGTGCTTTTTTTCTGACATTTGCTGAGAATTAAACATGTATCTCTAGCTACCTTGTGTTATTTTTTATTTATTTTCAGGTGTGAAGAACCAGTTTTACTTGAACAGTGTGATTCGTATTGAGTAAGTTATGATTATACCCCCCCCCCCCCCCCCCATTTTCAGCAAAATTTGCTTCTTAGCCTTCAATTCCTAAAAGACTCTTTGCATGAACACTGTTTTATGACTTCTTTATTATATAGTTACATGATTGAAGATTTGACTGTGGAGAGGCAGTTTAGAGTATCCCTGACACTGAAAGCTTGTTTTGAGGCCTCTGATGATAGTAAATGTTTGATCAACGTTGATGTCTTGAAGAACACCCTGGTGCCAAAATCAATCTGTGACTGGACCGCAAGTTTTTCTACACCAAGTATGGCATTTCTTGCTAAAAAAGAATGCTGTGTGATTAAACAAATAAGAAAATGAGCATTCTTATTTATCATGTTAATATTTGCCTTTTCAGATTTTGACCATGGGTCTTATTTATCATGTAAATATATGCCTTTAATTACAGATTTTGACCTTGGTTCTTATTTATCATGTTAATATTTGCCTTTACAGATTTTGACCTTGGTGCCTGGTACAATAATCTTGGTATCAGTCCAGGATCAGTTCTCTCCCTTGTCAATAAAGACAAGCTGTTAAATGAGCTGGGAATCAGATCTTATTTAAGTTCCGATCCTTGTTCATTTACTTCTCTGACCTTTAGTCCAGCCAACAGTAATGGATGGAAAAATGGTAAACATAACATTAGTCCTTCTGTTTGTAAAATTTGTTTGTTCTGATCTTTCATTTGTCTCACTAACATAATGCTACCCATTAGTTTAAAGTACATTCTTCAATTTGCACTTTCATAGACTGTAAGAAGGACTTAACCAATGCTCTCCCCACCTTTCCATCCAATGTGAGATGTAACATCCCTTCCTTCTGCACTGGAGTAACTTGTTGTATTGAAGAAAATAAAGTATTAAGGAGTCACCTCACTGTGGGAGTGGAACTAGATGACTGTAACCATGTCCTGACATTCCAAGTAGAACAACTCAAAATCAAAATACAGCTCCATGACTATTCTTTTGGTAAAGTATTTCTCTGCCTTTAATAACAACTAGATGTATTTTATTTCACATGTAAGACTTAAATAAGTCCAAACTTGGGTAGTCTTATGAAAGCATGTAAAACAGAAATAAGTCAGAACTCATAAAGTTTTATGAAATCCAGAGCTGCATGTATTCATGTACTACATGTAGTACAAATTTTAGCAGATTTTCTTGTATATTAAATATTTGTTACAACTGCAAGTTAAATCAAATTATTCTTGTTTTGGCATCATTTATGCTTGTTTGAAACCATGTTGAATGACAAGGCTATTGGAAATCTTTGATTTACTTTTCAAAAGAATGGTTTCTTTGAATTTACAGGTGTAACTGAGAAAAGATACTTGATGAGTGTAATTCAGTTTGAGTAAGTTTTATTTTACAATATATATATATATATATATATATATATATATATATATATATATATATATATATATATATATATATATATATATATATATATATTCATAAATTATACTGCATTGTGAATGGAGGATACAAGAATTCAAACCTTTTGACTTGGAAATTCCCCCTTTGAATAGTTGTCAAAATTAAGTTATGTAAAAGGAATAATTAAGGCTTCTTTAAAGGAAAAAAAAAGTAACTGATGCTCATATCCATTGTAATACATGTACATATCATTATTACATAATGTAAATGTATTCTTCAGTATTGAAATTTCCTATTTATTTTAAAAATTCAGGTTTAAAATTGAGGACATCCCAGCAAAGAAAGCTTACAAAATATCAGCCACCCTGAGTGTATGTTATGGAGTAGGACCCTGTGTCTTAGATTCCCTAGACTTGCTCAAGGACTTCGAACTTCCCAAAACACTTTGTGAATGGGGCACTGGCTTTCAGATAGGTACAGTACAAATTTAACATTTTTGTGTGAAAATAAAACTCACTGTATAGTCAAATAGGTTGTCATGAATGAAAAGTGTCAATAAATATCATGATCTATGTAGAATTCCCTGACATCTACATTTTGCCCTTCATGCAATCCACATGACACTTTTTAATGTTCCATTCCAGATTTTTCTGGAACCTCCTGGTTGTTGGACAAAGGTTTAAGTATTGACTCAGCCCTGTCAACAGCAGATGCTTCTGAACTATTATCGACATTAGGAATACAGGACTTCCTTAAAACAACTGATCAGTGTGACCGCAGTAGTTCTCTATACAGGCCAAACATCAATGGATGGAAGAATGGTTGGTATTATTGTTTTAAGTAAAACACATTGATATTTTGAAGCAGTGGTTGTTTGCTGCATTTTAATTCAAAAATGTGAATACATTATTGGGACAAAGCTTAATGAACTAACTGTTGAATGAACAAAGAGTATTATCTTATTATATAGAGTGTCCAAATACTGGTGTTCCATCACCGCTGCCAAGTTCAGTCTCCTGTCAGATCCCACAAGTCTGTACTGGGATTGACTGCTGTGCAGAGATTGGTTTCCTGGGAGGTAGAACTATCAACGTACAGGTCCTACTGGATCCTTGTGAAGCCGTCATGAGTCTTAACATAGAAAAGATGCAATACAACTTGACTCTCTTTGACTACGACTTTGGAACAACAGATCATTTTACACTGCAGGGAGCCATAAGAATTGAGTATGTACAAATTATATATATGTCATATCTTGAAATGTTATTCTTCAGTGTAATTGACAAATTAGGTGTATAGACTGAAAAAAATTATATCCCTGGATTATAACAATACATATGTTGAGAAAGTTGAAAGTTCATTTTGAATGGCGCACCAAGTATTCACTCATGTATCTCTCACTTAAATTCAAGCTTTTAAAATCTCGCTGTTCATGCCAAAACAACATCAAATTTTGTAACTAACAAGTTCATGTATTTGTATATAACATAAGGACATATGTTCCACATTCAATAAATTGTGTTTTTGCTTTACAAAGTTTCAACGTCCAGAATTTGGTCATAAAAAGAAAGTACTTGATAAACATGAACCTGAGTGTATGCTTAGAGTCATCAAATCCAACAGCCTGTGTGTACTCAGCCACTATCTTCAAAAACACTCTGCTACCAAAGAAACCATGTAATATGAACCTCGACTTTATCAATCCAAGTAAGATTATTCAATCAAATAACTGGTAAATTGTTACATGTATTTTCTTTGTCTCTGATGAAATTTTTTTTATTTATTCATTTTAAAAGTTGTTTAAATCATATCAAAGGTTTTGACCTGACATCATGGAAAACCTTGAATAACTTTGGCCCTACCCTGACTCCTGAGGAGACTAAGTTCCTGTGGAGAGAGATTGGTGTAGAGGAATATGTAGGGGTGGGATGTTCTAGGTCATCCCCACCCTACAGTCCACAGACACATCCGGGCTGGAATGTCCCCACAAGTAAGATTCATGTTTATCAGACATTTGGAATTTTTCATGTGAGACTTTATAATGATCCCCAGGCCTTGAAAAAAGGGGCATATTGGTTTGCACCTATTGATCGGTCAGTAGATTTGTAGACCTACAGGCATTCAGAATATTGTACGCAAGGCTTTATTTTATTTTTCACAAAATGCAATCTCAATACAGAATAGTTACCAAACACTTTCTCTTTTGTGCAAGAAGTCTTTGAAAGATTTGCTATTTGCATTATAAACTTTTAAAATATAGTAAACTAGTAATTCAACTGCTAAAGATGTTATCAATTTAGCAGTAATAAATATGATGTAGCAGTATTTGGTTCTAATCAACTTCTGACTTTTCTCTAAAGAGTGTGCAGTGAATCCTCCAAAACAAGCCAGTAACCACCTGAACTGTCACATCACGTCCAACTGTACAGGAATCTCTTGCTGTATGGATGACCCTGTTACTGGAATGGCCTACCAGTTCTCTATTGACATCAGTGCTTGTGATGAAAAACTGACCATCACACTGGAGAAAATGACATTTACATTGTCTCTGTTTGATTATACCATTGGAACAAAAGAGACAGTGAGATTGTTTGGAGTCCTAGATCTAGAGTAAGTGGTCAACTGTTTTATATCTTTATTAGCTCACCTGAGCCGAAGGCTCAAGTGAGCTTTTCTGATCACATTTTGTCTGTAGTCCGTCTGTCCATCTGTCTGTCCGTCTGTAAACTTTTCACATTTTCGACTTCTTCTCCAGAACCACTGGGCCAATTTCAACCAAACTTGCCACAAAGTATCCTTGGGTAAAGGGGATTCAAGTTTGTTCAAATGAAGGGCCACACCTTCTTCCAAGGGGAGATAATTAAGAATTCGTGAAAAATTAATGGCATCATTAAAAAATCTTCTTCTCAAGAACCACTGTGCTTGAAAATATGAAACTTATGTGGAAGCATCCTCAGGTACATGTAGTGTACATTCAAGTTTGTTCAAATCATGACCCTCAGGGGTCGGGTGGGGCCACAATGGGCGATCAAAGTTTTACATAGGAATATATAGGAAAAATCTTTAAAAATCTTCTTCTCAAGAACAGCAAAGCCATGATTGGTCATATTTACATGGAAGCATCCTCAGGTAGTGTACATTCTAGTTTGTTCAAATCATGACCCCCGGGGGTAGGATGGGGCCACAATAGGCGATCAAAGTTTTACATAGGAATACATAGTAAAAATCTTTAAAAAAAACTATTTCTTAAGAATAGCAAAGCCATGATTGGTCATATTTATATGGAAGCATTCTTAGATAGTGTACATTCAAGTTTGTTCAAACATGACCCCTGGGGGTAAGGTGGGGCCACAATGGGTGATCAAAGTTTTACATAGGAATACATAGGTTAAATCTTTAAAAATCTTCTACTCAAGAACAGCAAAGCCATGATTGGTCATATTTGAATGGAAGCATCCTCAGATAATGTAGATTCAAATTTGTTCCAATTCAGGTGAGCGATGTGGCCCCTGGGCCTCTTGTTTTTTAATTTTTAACAATTTCAGGTATTGCTTTAACTTGTATTGATGTGTATTACTGTTGATCTTTGTTTTTTCCTAACTTATTACTGTGTAAATTTTAATGTTTTTCATGTCTTCTATTAATTCATTATAGATACTTGATTGATGATCTAACACTGAGTGGTGAATTTGTTGTGGATCTAAGGATCAAGTTGTGTTACACCAAGGGTCAGAGTTGTGAACAAGATGTTAAAGCTGTGACAGGACTAAGACTGCCTAAATCACTGTGTCAGCTACAGACAGGACAGTTCCCAATTCCAGGTATCAGCCCAATATTTTTATTTCATACATTTACATTCTGGGAGTAGGGACAAGTGTTTGTCTTTAACTTGCCTTTTCAAAGGATTGAATTTTTGAGGTAATGAAATAGATTTGTTTTACTATATCATATGGATGTTTTAGAATGCCAAACTAAGTATTGGTAATAGCAATCATTGAATCTAGACATCTGAAATTATGAGCTTTGGATCATTGCTTTCAGGTTTCTCACTCAGTAAATGGATGAAAGATAAGATTGATGGACCAGTCTTACAGCAGTGGGCTGTAGATCTTCTCAAGTCAGAACTAAAGTTATCTTCTTATCTCACTGAACCTATGTGTAAAAGGACTGACCTTTCTCAAGAAACCAGCAACTGGAATGTTAAAGGTTAGAAAGTAATCATTTACAAAATAGTCAAAACTTAGCAAGAGTCTCATGTCACTGCTCTGTATCCATATAATGGTCTGAGAAAAGCAGAAGATTCAGATACTGTGAAATCACTCATTTTTGTAGGGGTTAATTTCATTGCTTTTGAGGTATAAAGAGGCCCACAAATTCATACCTACCATGAAATATAGAATTCCTTATAGAAAACTACTCAACAGAGATCTTCATCCTCAAAATCAAATACGAACAAACCCAAATTTTTTCCTCCAACCTCGAAAATATGACCCCATGAAAATATGTGATTTTACAGCGATTAACAATGACAACTTGTTTCCAGATTGTAGTGAAAGCATCGCAGTTCCAGCTCTGCCAGCCCACACTTCCTGTAAACTCTCTGACTCGTGTTCTGCTGTAAAGTGTTGTACGGATCTAGACTTACTGAAAACATCAGTCCAGTATGAAGTCAATGTAGACAGGTGTAAAGGAAAAGTGTTCATCAAAGTGGAGAAATTGGAGATTGTGATCCTCCTTACAGAATTTGAATTTTCAAAATGGCAGAGACAGTCAATACAAAATGTTTTTACAATTCAGTAAGTAGTTCAGAGTGTTTATGCATTTTTAGGTCACCTGAGTCACTTAGGTGACCTATTGCTATCCATTGTCATCCGTTGTGTGTTAACATTTAAACATTTTCAGCTTCTTCTCTGAAACCGCTCAACCAACTTCAACCAATTTTGGCATATAGCATCTATGGATGAAGGGAGACAAAAATTTTTAATTTCATGGTCCCCCCCCCCCCCCCCAGGGCCTGAGGGGTGGGGCTAAAACCACCAAAATTTATGCAATCTTTAAAAATCTTCTTTACTCCTGGACATCAAGCAGTCAAACTGTTGGCAAGATTGTAATAAGCATTGAGCCCTCTACCAAAAATGTGAAATTCATAGTCCCAGGGTCAGGGGTTCTGGTGCTAGGGTGGGGCTCTATTGATTATGTAGTGAAAATGCATTATTTCTTTGAAAATCTTCCTCTCTGCTCCTGGATATTAAATAAACTAACTACATGTAAGTACATAGTTATGATGAGCATGGCTGCCTCTTCCAAAATTGTGAATTTCATGGCCCCAGGGTCAGGGGTTCTGGTGTTAGGGCGGGGCTCTATTGATTATATAGTGAAAATGCATTAAATCTTTGAAAATCTTCTTCTCTACTCATGGGTATTAAATAAACTAACTAAGTACATAGTTATGTTGAGAGAGAGTGCCTCTTCAGAAAGTTTGAATTTCATGGCCCCTGGGTCAGGGGTTCTGGTGTTAGGGCGGGGCTCTATTGATTATATAGTGAAAATGCATTATTTCTTTGAAAATCTTCTCTGCTCCTGGGTATAAAATAAACAAACTAAGTACATAGTTATGATGAGTGAGAGTGCCTCTTCAGAAATTGTGATTTTTCGTGGCCCTAGGGTCAGGGGTTCTGGTGTTAGGGTGGGGCTCTATTGATTATATAGTGAAAATGCATTAAATCTTTGAAAATCTTCTTCTCTACTCATGGGTATTAAATAAACTAACTAAGTACATAGTTATGTTGAGTAAGAGTGCCTCTTCGAAAATTTTGAATTTCATGGTCCCTGGGTCAGGGGTTCTGGTGTTAGGGCGGGGCTCTATTGATTATATAGTGAAAATGCATTATTTCTTTGAAAATCTTCTCTGCTCCTGGGCATTAAATAAACTAACTAAGTACATAGTTATGATGAGTGAGAGTGCCTCTTCAGAAATTGTGAATTTCATGGCCCTAGGGTCAGGGGTTCTGGTGTTAGGGTGGGGCTCTATTGATTATATAGTGAAAGTGCATCAATTCTTTGAAAATCTTCTTCTCTGCTCCTGGGTATTATTTAAACAAAGGAAGTGCATGGTTATGATAAGCAAGAATACCTCTTCCAAAATTGTGAAATTAATGTCCCCAGGGTCAGGGGTTCTGGTGAAAGGGGGGGGGGGGGGCTCTATTGATTATGTAGTGAAAATTCATAATTTCTTTCAAAATATTATTTCTACTCCTGGTTATAAAGCAAAGAAACAAGTGTATAGTTATGATGAGCAAGGATGCTTTTACAAAATTTTAAAACTTGTGGTCCCAGGGGTTCTGTTGTGTCTGTGGGGGGGGGGGGGGGGGGGGGGGGGGCTCTATTGATAATATAGTGAAAATGGGTGAATTCTTTGAAAATCATCAACTACATGTAATTGCATAGTTATGATGATGAGGGTACCTCTTCCAAATTTGTAAATTTGGTGTTAGGGTAGGGCTGTGTTAAATAGTGAAAATGCGTTATTTCTTTGAAGATCTTTTCTGCTCCTGGGCTTATTGGAGGCAAACAGAGTAAAAAGTTTTAATAAGCAAGGGTATTTTTACCAGAATTTTGAACATCTGGACCATTTAGTCAAGTGTTCTGGTCCTGGCCAGGGCTCTATTAATTTGAATTCTACTGAGTGAAGTTATTCCCCTTTGCCATTCACCTTTGATGATTAATCACTGTAGATAATGTATTTGAAAGGTTAATAGAATAAGAGAATTATGCAAGAACATTTATTGTATAATACAGAAAGTACTTTCTAAGTCTAAATGATCAGGTAGACTTGGAAATAATACATGAATAAAAATGAAACAAAAATAACATCTTTTTAAATGTTCTTCAAAGGCCAAGTGAGGTCAATGTGAGAGGTAATAGACATTTTGTTAAAAGTCTGCATGGTAATAGTGATAAATGGGGGACAGATAAATAGATACTAGATCAATTATTTTGTTGATCTTAATCATACTATTTTTCTTGCTTTTTTGCAACAAAGCTTCATTTATCAGTTTATGGATCCTCTAAATTGTTGTACTCAGGTGACTCTTAAGGCCCTTGGGCCTCTTGTAATTTTTTTTACAAGCAAATTTATCAGTCCTTAGTGTTGGTAAAAGAAATAGTAAACTGTAAAGTTAGAAATATTGAAGAAAATAAAGTTAAAATAAGATTTTGCAGTAGTACTTACAGAGTGTTTACTTTTTGAACAAGTTTTGCAGTGTTACATCTACCTATCTTTCTTAAATCAACCATAGGTATAAAGTTGACTATGTTTTGGCTGAGAAGGCATTCTTGTTCAGTGTGAACTTCAGTGCGTGTTTTGAGACAAGCGGTGATTGCATGCTAAACTTTCCTATTATGACAAATACCAAAATCCCGATGCTGGATTGCAACTTCAAAAACCTGTCATTTGCCATACCAGGTTGGTTTAGATTTTAGTGAATTTCAGACTTGAATTTTAATGATGTCTTTGATGATATTAAATAAAAAGTTCATATCAAATTTTTATCAAGGTCAATCGTAATTTTGAAAAGTAAAGACAAAGCAAAAAAGATACTTGATGACACAGTATAGGAATGCACAAGGTATATTGCATTGGAAAAGGAGATAATGAAATTCAATATCAATATTTTTCAGGGTTTGATTTCAACAGTTTCTTGACAAGCAAAGGTATTTCTACATCCCTGACAACACTTCCAGATTTACTGTCAGAGCAGTTACTGGAAACTCTTGGAGTAAAGGGATTCTTCAGCAGTAATCCCTGTAATAGATCTGACTACACAGCAACATCATCAGGATTTGAAATTGGTTTGTTAAATGATTAATCCTAACATTAGGTACATGCCAACTGAGAATACATCAGAAGTGATTGTTTAACATTTTATGCCCTTGTTTACAGCTAACACTGTATGCCCTTGTTTACAGCTAACACTGTATGCCCTTGTTTACAGCTAACATTGTGTGTCCTTGTTTACAGCTAACATTGTATGTCCTTGTTTACAGCTAACATTGTGTGTCCTTCTTTACAGTTAACAATGATGCCCTTGTTTACAGCTAACATTGTGTGTCCTTGTTTACAGCTAACATTGTGTGTCCTTCTTTACAGCTAACACTGTATGCCCTTGTTTACAGTTAACATTGTATGTCCTTGTTTACAGCTAACATTGTATGTCCTTGTTTACAGCTAACATTGTATGCCCTTGTTTACAGCTAACATTGTGTGCCCTTGTTTACAGCTAGCATTGTATGTTCTTGTTTACAGCTTCCAGTTGTACAGAGAACATCTCTCCTTTCCTATCCCCTCTGTCCAGTGACACTAACTGTCGAGTGTCTACTTCCTGTATGGACATTCAGTGCTGTACAGACATGACAATCATTGGGAGAACCCTAAACTACAGAATCAGTGTGGATGCCTGTGAACTTTCTCTCAATATCCAGATAGAGGAATTCAAGTTTGAGCTGTCTCTGATTAATTTCCAGTTTGGAGTGCCTCAGAAATTCAGCATAGATCAAGTTTTCTCCCTAGAGTAAAGTTTTTACTTTTGAAAATTGGAGAAGAATTTTTGTTCTTGACATTCAATAGTTTTAGAGTACATGTATTAACCTTTCTATTTTGTATGTTTTAGATACCTCATCAGAGATTTGAGTGGACAGAGACAGTACATTATAGATGCTACATTGACAGTATGCTTCAGTGACTCTCCATCTTGTGTGATCAGGAACAACATATTACAAAATTATTTGGTAACCAAACCAGTGTGTGCATGGTACACAGGATTTGCAAATCCAGGTAGTTATTGCAAACACAGAGCTCCATAATCATGAATATCTTCAGGTGTGGTGCCTGATATTTTGTATGGATTTGTAGATCTACCTTTCTCCGCATCTTCGCTAGCCAAGGGTTTCTGATACGCTACTCTCCTCATAAGCCCTTGGCATACGGTGTTAAAAAAAAGTTGGGATTTTTTTCTCAAGCTGTGATTGGAGTTGATCGACATCATTCGACCAATCAGCAATTGTTTTTTGTAAATGACGATATTTGCGTTCAGGATATATCTTGACTCTTTAATATCGGGAATGAAAAACGCAAGTAAACAACGATCCGTAAGATAACATGCCATTTATGAATAGCTATATGGTGTCATCCAATATCTTAAGGTACGTGCAAAATATGTGATTAAGAATTTATACTGAAGATGTAAATTTGCATTTTAACATGTTTAATAACAAATTAACATAACTCAATACCTTCTTGTTAATTATTCTTTAAAAAACATTATATTTTTAAATACGCTTTTTATTTCTGTCGATGACGCAGTCTGTGCGTACCTGGTAAGAAGCGTGATCATGTGACGAAAACAATCCCGTCTTTTGTCAGCACCGTATGCCAAGGGTTTATGAGGAGAGTAGCGTATCAGAAACCCTTGGCTAGCGAAGATGCCTTTCTCCGTTGTTTAAATATATTTTGAAGTTTTTGTTAGAGATGTGAAACAAGAAGACAGGTCATACAATCTGTATAAGTTTCAATTTCAAACTTTGATCTTTCCTATTCTCATATTTTCTTAAAGGTTTTTCATATTCATCATGGTTAACAACAAACAGTTTACCAACATCTGGACTACTAGATAGCACACATCTACCTAAATTATTGGAGGCACTTAGCATATCTAAATACATCAAAACTCCATCCTGTGACAAAGACAAAGGAATCTATAGGAATTCATTTAATGGATGGAACTCAGGTCATAGATTTTCTAAATGGCATTATCATAACTTCATTCATGGAATATTGATTAAGAATAATTAAAGGGTATTTTTAAATTTTGATATTTTTTGAAAAATCAAAATTAATTTCATCTGTAGTAGAAGTGAAAAATCATTGCAAGTCAGAATCAAACAATTGAATATCTACAGATTGCCATCTTGATGACAGCATCAGCAGACCCTCTATAGATAAGAATCTGGCCACCTGTTTTCTGGACAAGACTTGTACAGGAGTTCAGTGTTGTATGCATGTCCCCAGAGTTGGACTGTCTGTAGAAGCTTTTGTGGAAGTCAGCGCTTGTGACCATCAGCTCAGAGTGGGCATTGAAAACCTAAAATTTAACAGAAGTTTGCACAGTTACAGATTTGGAGAATTGGAGAAATTTGATTTGTTTGGATTTTTTGAGATAGAGTAAGTTTTCTCATCATGTTTTTCCTACTAGATCAAATCACTTGAATTTGTATATTATAACATTTATCATTCTTGAAATATACACTTACATATAAAAAAGCCTTAACATTTATAGACTAAGCAAAGTTTTGTATTGGCAACTTGCCATATTAAGTCTAAGTTGGTATTTGTAGTTTTGTGATAACAGACCTAGCTTACAATGGTGAAGGTGGAGAATATCTTGTAAACTTGAACATGAGTGTCTGCATGGAGTCAGGACAACCCTGTCATCCCATTGTACCAGTATTCAGCAATACAGTTCTACCAAAGGGAGTGTGCAACAGAAATCAAGATTTCAGAGACAAAGGTTAGATTCTATAACACATAATACATAAGACAACATTCTATATTGTAGACAATATTCACAATATTTTAGAGGACCTTGTGTTGTTTGTAAATTAAGAGAACCATATATAAATTATAACGAATTTAAACAATCAAAACAGGTGTACCAAATTTTATACCAGGTATTCCAAGTGTTTTTTTTATTTGTTTCAATACAGTACATGCATACATGTATATTACAAATATCATGAAGATGTACGATAATCTGCAAATACATGTACATAAATCAATATTGGATATGCTTGTTGATAGCGTTCTCACTGAAAACATGGAAAACTACTCATGGAGTGGGATCATCTTTGGATATCCACCATGTTAAACAACTGTTTCAAGATCTTGGTGTGGGTCCATATCTACTGAGTCCATTAGAGAAGTGTGACTGGAATGAATTCCCATATAAAGCAGCCAATTCTACTGGATGGGTCGATGGTATGACGATGAAATTACATATCCTAGGGTGAATGTTTGAAATATCAGAAAAGTATGACTATGAAAGAAAGTCTGTGTTCTTTTGTAGGTTGTGCAACAGAAACCAAGGGCTTGAGTTCATTGGGAACACACACAAGATGTGGGATATCCAGGTCATGTAGTGAAGTTAAATGCTGCCTGCACTCAGATGTCCTTGACATGAATTTGAATACTTTCATTAACATTGATACCTGTAATGGTAAAATATATGTAGGAATTGAGAAATACCAATGGAGCCATAAACTTCTGGGATACAAATTCGGAGAGTTGAGACATGTGTCCTTGTATGGAATGCTTAATATGGAGTAAGTAATGAACTTTCAATGTGTTTGCATATAATTCAATTAAAAAATAAGTATTAGGATAGAATTTGTTGTGGACATTGCTTACAATATCGTTAACATTCTGTTTTAGCTACATGATAACAGACTTGGTAACATCTTATGGAGTGAGCCTAAACTTGAGTGTATGCTTTGAGTCATCTGGGGCATGTGAAATCAGTATCCCTGTTTTAAAGGAAAACAAACTTGTACAGTCTTCATGTAACTGGACCAGGGACTTTGTTATTAATGGTTTGTATGAAAATAGTTCTTATAAAAGTGGAATATGTACTCCATAAAGAATTCATGATTCAAGAGCAGGGATTTTCTTGCCAAGAAGTCTTAATAGTAATGTTTCTAATACTCTTTGTTAGATTTCTCCTTGGAGAGTTGGTTGGACATGAAAGGTTACAAAGTTGATGCCATGCTACCTTCCTTTGCTGTGTCCGAGTTGATGCATGACCTTGACATCGTTCAGTATCTGGGAGACTCCAGCTGCAATAGAAAAACTATTCCTTTCCATCCTAGCAAAAATGGCTGGAACAATGGTCAGTCTAGACAGTGTAGAATTATAAGAAATAATTTTGTTGGATGCTGTTTTATCAATCTACTGAATCATCTTGAGGAGTGTCCTATGCTATAAGATTGATTAATCACCATCTCCTTTTTAAAATTCTTCATTATCATGACTTGTTTCTAAGTTTGTCTTGTAGGTTATACTACATTTTCTTTTTACCTCCATTTTCTCTTTGAATATTTTCATATTACAGAAATTTCATTTTAGTGAGCAGAATATTTTTAGATTTTATGCTGAACTTTACTGCAGGGTTTCTGTGAATACTGTAATAATTCTATATTTATCTGCAGGCTGTGATCAGTATGTGTCACTGACTTCCATCAGCTCTAACACAACCTGCCACCTTTATGAGTTCTGTACTGGAGTGAGATGCTGCTCTGATCTCCCTGTATTGGGGAGGTCTATCAATTCCTGGATGATACTGGACCACTGTAACTACAGACTCAGTGTGGGGTTTGAGAAGTTCTCTGTCAATATTAGTCTTCACACATACTCTTTTGGAACACAACAAACTATAAATGTTAATGGAGTCATGAGACTGAGGCAAGATATTATTGATATTTATGATGTTTATTTTTGGTAAAAAGTCAATGCAAATTTCACAATATAGATGAACATTTGGTGTACTTAATTGTAGCATTAGGCAGGTGCCAAAAACATGTCTGTATATATTGAATATCTTACATACTAAGCATGTGTCCATTGTATTTGTAAATTTTGAATTCATTATCATTCCTGAAAAACTTGGGAAAACCAAGTACATGTACTATCCCAAGGAGATTGCTTGGGTCTTGCATGTTACAAATTACAGATTTTTGAAATTCTTGGGCAACATTGTTTCATCTGTCAGTTAATTTTGTTTAATACTTCTATGGATGCTTTACAGTGCTGTATTATACTCAGGTGACTGTTAAGGCCCTTGGGCCTCTTGTTAATTAAAAAGAATCTTCATATTGGTATTGTGAATATGATAGTTTTACTCTTTTTTTTAAAACAGATTTACTATTGATGATCTAACAAGTGAGCGGAAATATCTTGTAAACCTAAACCTACAGATTTGTTTTGAGACATCCAAAGCTTGTATTGTTAATGTAGATGTGTTCACAAACACAAAACTGCCAAAGAAACCTTGTGATTGGACCACAGATTTTCTTGATGACAGTAAGCTTTACACATTATTTGAATCAATTACTCAGTGCACCTTGTAAATATACCAGTAAAAGAAAATTAATTTCATAGTTGTTTCATTATTGAATTTTGATGACATCAATGCTTGATGTAGGTTTTTCCTACAATATTTGGAGACTTGGGAAGAGAATCTCTACACCTGGCTTGTCTGAGAATAACCTTGCACAGCTCATGCAAGATCTAGGTCTGTCTCAGTTTGTGTACAAAGGCAGGGAAAGATGTAGCCACGTAAAGTCACCATTCATTGGTGCAACAAATAACTGGATCAGTGGTGAGTCTATTTCATTTGATTTGGGATTTATTGGGGCTCTGCATCAAATAAAAATAACCATTTCTTTCTTTTAAGAATTTTGTGTTCCATTACTTGAATACCTCTCAGTCTATATAGCTGTACTTCATATTATTACAAAGGCACAGAGTGCTTGTCATGGTTACTGTACATGTTGAAAAGGGCCAGTATTAGTACCATAATTACTCATCTATCAAATGAAACATGATATCTGCAAGCATCTTCATTAAGTTTAGATTATGGTTGTTCAAACCTGGAACAATGGATGGAGACAAAAAGAGTCAAGAAAAATGTTTCTGTAGGAAAAAAAAAATATAAAATTGTATTTGAAGAAATTCTGGAATACAAATTGTCCAACTCCCTTGCCCTGGGGTAGGAGTGAGACCACAAAGGGGGGTCCAAAGTTTTACATAATAGAAACTTCTTGGAAAAATCTTCATATGAAGTACAAAGGCTCAAATTGTGAGATTTTTATGCAGTCATCATGTAGTAAACACTTAAATTTGATCCGAACATGTACCTTTGGAGAATGAAAAAGTCTGACCTGAGCAGTGATCTTTATTATTTATATAAATATATATAATAAATGTTTGACAGAAACTTCTGAAATCGGTGAATGTTATGACTATTTTCAGAGTGTAACCAGACACTGATTCAGCCTCTCCCATCCCTGTCTGGTACCCCAGCGATCTGTCACATCTCCACTTCCTGTGCTGACATCCAGTGTTGTGTGGACGTACCTGCCATCAGTTCCTCCTTCTTTACAAAACTAGAAATTGACCCTTGTACTTTCCAAATGGTTGTCAGCATTGATCAACTAAGCTTCTCCAAGAACTTGTTTGATTATGAATGGGGACAAGAAGAAGAAATGTGGCTCTTTGGAGTAGTCAGAATGACGTAAGTTTAACTTACATATAAATCAGAATGCATTCTTCTAAATTACTCCTGATGAAAACTTATATTTGGATTTTAAATTACCCAGGTTCCAGGCATTTGATATGTACACAGATGGGTACTTCATCATAAACCTGAGACTGGATGTGTGTTTAGAAGCCCTGAAGGTCCCTAATTGCAATGTCTCTGTTAATGTACTGAAAGATTACTATCTACCCAAAAAAGTTTGCAAATGGGATGCCTCCTTCATCATATCAGGTAACCTTTTTTTGTGCTTTCACTGTAAATGAAATGTACTTAATATTTCTAATCTTTCAATTGGTGTAATTTATGTACCAAAAAAAGAAGTATGTATTGATACCTTCACACTTTTCTTTAGATGGGTAGAATTTTATACTCAGTATGAATTTTACTTTACTCTTTTAACAACTGTATACTAATATGAAGACTCAATTTAAAAATAATTTCTTAATACTGGGGTGTGATATGCAATATACAGAAATTATCCAGGTCTGTTTTATTTACAAAAGTATTAACAGATGCTTTTGGTTTTCTAGGATTTTCTTTAGATGAATGGAAAGCAAGTGAAGGTGTGGCCAACACAACCCCTTTGGAGAGTGGAGCAGTGGATAACCTTCTGTCCCACCTCAGTGTGGCCGCGTTCATGCTTTACCCAGCGTGTTCATCCACTGATTCTGTCTATAATGGTGCTGCAGAAAAATGGATCAAATGTAAGTACATGTACATACTAGGACAGTTTTCAGTTTAATTTAAACCTTATTTTATTCACTTTCTAAATGTACACTGAATGGGATGAAGCATTAGGCTAACCCTTATCATGTTGAAACTCTGGGAAAACAGTGATACAAATATGAGTAATTTGTATATCTATAATCAAAATGAAGTCTATTTGAGAAGAGCCAGTATATATATGCAGTAAATCGATCTGAAACACAGAAATTTCAAGTTCTGATATTTTTTTTAAAGATTGTCCCCTGGATGTTCAGAGGTCCTTAGAGGAAGTGAGGGACAGAGCACTATGTTCAGTATCTACGACATGTTCAGACATTAAATGCTGCATCAGTGTTCCCCTGTTAAACAGGACCTTTGAAGTAGGAATCAACATTGACTATTCTTATCAGAAGTTGGTGGTACATGTTGAGAAGATGTATCGTAAACATTCCTTTGTTGGGTTTGAGTTTGGAAAAGATTATTTGCTGAGTGTATCTGGAGTTTTAAAATTCAGGTAATTTATCAATATAATTAGAAGAAAAGGTTATGATGAATTAACTTGTATTAACTAGAAACTCATTACTAGCTGGCACACCAAAGTCTCTTCTAGAGGAAATGAAATCTCATGAACAGACGTGAATTTTTCCAAAAATATTTAAGTAAACATTGGATAATAATTATATATTATAAGAGTGGGTCTTCCATTAAACTACATCTAACATGGAAGACCTTAATTAGCAATAGTCATACTTGATCATGTATAAATATATAACTATACAGTACAGTCAGATAGCTGTGTATTTTTTATTATATTTTTCTTTTTTCCCCTTGCTTGAAAAGCCAGGGGGATGGGGGGATGCATATGATATATGATGGGGGTCCGTAACACTAGGGGGTATCCATTTTTTATTTGCAACACTTCCTATACCTCCTTTATCACTAAATAAAATTTAATGAAACTTTCACAGAATAACATAGTGCCATTGTACTCCTCCTCACAATGAAGTTGGAGTTGTGTGGGTGAATCAGTGAGTGCATGTGGAAGTTACGCAAACTATAATTTGTATTGAAATCAATGTGCTTTTTTGCGAGGGGATGCTCCACTTTGTGGTGCCCTTGTTTGTTTTCATTTTTGATATGCAATTTATTACCATGTCTTTAGAATTTGTCTACATTTATTAAATGCATTATATTATTATCTTGATTTATTAGATACAAGTTAAATGATCTTTCTGATGGAGATGTGCTGGATATTTCAATGTCAGCAGAAGCTTGCTTTGAGGATGGATCTTGTGTATTGAATATTCCAATCCTCAATAATGTGCTGATACAAAAGAACCAGAAAAGATGGGATTCACTCTTTTCAATTCAAGGCAAGGCCAATGGAAAAAAAAATTATTTTTAAGAAGTTTCTTTTTAATGACTGCAGGAAATGTTAAGTAAAAACTTAGGTTTATGATATAATTTTTCAGATTTTTCAATAACGCAGTGGTTGAGTGAGATGTATATACCGGAGGGGGAAGTTTTACAGAAACACCAGTCAGATGAACTTTTTGAGAGCCTTTCCCTCAGACCCTATCTCAAACCTGACTTGATGTGTAGTACAATCAAATCTGCTGCTGATGGAACAGGCTGGCTTAATGGTAATCTGTTTATAAGTTTGTTCCCCAATCTTTATGTTTGTGTTTCCTGATAAAATTTTCAAAATATAAAGGGTGAATGAAAGCAAAATAGCAGGACTTTAGTGTGGTGCATTCAGTCATTCATTAGGGCCCCGCAAGGATTTGCGGGTGCCCTATAGTAATCACTCTGTCTGTCTGTCCGTCTGTCTGTCCGTCTGTCATTCTTCGGTCCACAAATTTTCTGTTTTTTTCTAATAACTTTTTTTATAGTTGACCAATTAAGTTTAAATTTGGTATGTTGGTTGAAGAGGCAGTAAGACATATTTTGATGCTAAGTTTGGTTCTCTATGTCATCTAGTTTGGAGCTGGGGTGGTGGAGTAGATTCCTTAACTTTACATTAGAATGAATGCCAGGGCAAAGAGAGATAACTGCTGAGAATGTTCCTATTGTAAAGTATGAAAGCTGCAACTAGTCCCATGGGATTAATTAGCTTTCCTCTAGAAGAAAGTCCAAAGCATTATCTGTTTCTGTCAAATTGAGATTAATTAACACCTCTGTCTGCAAATGAAGTTTGTTTTGAAGTTAAGGTCAATTCTGAATGATGTTTACATTCTCTGAAATGTGGATTTAAATAATGTTCATACTTTATTTTGGTAAAATACACAATGAGTTATGATTTTATTGAATTCTAAAGACAAGATATACTTCAAGATATGTTTTTTTTTATTATTTATTTATTCATTTTTTTTTTGTTTTTTTGCTGCCTTATCATGCTTATGTAAATTCAAGAATACATGTACTATTAATTTTAACAGGTAGTCCTATAATGAACTCATTCTATCATTACTGAAAAAGTTCTTATTGTAAACTTGGAAGAAAAGGATGAGAGAGCAGTACAATTAATCCCCTGGGATTAATTATCTTGTCTGGGGCAGAAAATTTTCCAAGTTTATCTTTATTTGTCACTTTAAGATAAATTAACCTTTGTCTGCAACTGATGTTTGTTTTGAAGTTAAGGTCAAGCCTGGGTGATATTTGCATTCACTGAAGGCTGGCATTTTATAAAACACATGCTTTATTCTTGTTTAAATATACATTTAATTGAGTTATTATAGATATGTTTTTTACTGCCTTATGTAAATACAGGGATACTCTTTACAGGTTGTTGGATATTTAGGAATTATCTTTAAATTTTATAAATACAGTTGTTATTGCATATTCTTCTTCATATATTTTTTAATTTTTGTAATCAATTAAAATTCTCATTCTGTAAGCTGCACCCTTATATTTCTACCCCTCGGCGGGGCCCTTACTGACTGGTCAGTTTTCTAGTTTTGCCACAAAGCATCCTTGAAAGAAAGAGATTCAAGTTTGTTCAAATGAAGTGCCACACCCTCTTTCAAGGGGAGATAATTAAGATTTAGTGAAAATTTAATGAGATCTTTTAAAGATCTTCTTCTCTATAACCAATTGGCCAGAAAAGATGAAACTAATGTGAAAGCTTCATTACATGTTGTAGATGAAGTTTGCAAATCTTGACCTTTAAGGGTAGGCTATCAAAGTTTTACAAAGGAATACATAGGAAAAAATCTTTAAATATCTTCTCAAGGACAGCAAACTTATGAATTGTCAAATTAATATGGAATCATACTCAGGAAATATAGACTGAAGTATGTTCAATCATGACCCTCTGGGGCTAGAGTGGGGCCACATTAGGTGGTCAAAGTTTTACGTAGGAATATGCAGGAAAAAAAATCTTTGAAGATCTTCTTCTCAAGAACAGCAAAGCTATGATTTATCATATTTATGTGAAAGCTTAGTATAGATTTAAGTTTGTTCAAATCGTGAGTCCTGGGGAGGGGAATGGGAGGGGGGCATAATGGGTAATCAAAATTTTTATGTAGGAATATGTTTGAAAAATCTTTAAAAAACTATCTCCTCAAGAACAGCAAAGCCATGATAAGTCACATTTATATGGAAAGATCCTCAGGTAGTGTAGATTAAAGTTTGTTCAAATCATGACCCCTGAGGATAGGATGGGGCCACAGTGGGCAATCAAAATTTTACATAGGAATATATTGGGAAAAATCTGCTGGAGTACAGCAAAGCCATTTTTAGTCATATTAATGTGGAAGCATCCTCAGGTAGCGAAGATTTTTTTTTCTCTAATGTCATCAAAGCCATGATTAGGCATATTAATATGCAAGCATTCTCATGAAGTTTAGATTTAAGTTTGTTCAGATCAGGCCCTCGAGAATAGTTTGAGACTACAATAGGGGGATCCGAGTTTTACAAGGGAGTACATAGGACAGAATCTTTAAAAGAGTTTCAAGATCACACTTAATCTTATCAATAAGCAAAGCATACCTAAGATGTGTAGAGTATTTTTTATTATGAGCCCTGGGGTTAGAGTTGAGCCAAAATCGAAGATTCAAATTTTACATAATGCTTGTGTTCTGGAAAAAAAATCTCCAAAACGGCAGGACCATGTTGATCTTACTGGTATTAAAGCATCCAAATGGTACATTGAAATCTTAACTCCTTTAGGTCTAGATTTTGGTCTACAACATGGAGTCAAAGTATTTATGAAATTAAAGAGGGAAAATTAAAAAAAAAATTTTGTCGGGCCAAAATCACTCAGGTGAGCATTGTGCCCCATGGGCCTTTTTTTTATTTTTCAGATTGCATGGACATAACAAGCATGTCCTCCCTGACCTCTTACCCTTTGACCTGTGAACTTGACAGAACCTGTAACAAAGTCACATGTTGTGTAGAATCCGAGCTAACAAATTCTACATTTAAAGTCACCCTGGACATTAATCCTTGCACCAGGACTCTCCATCTGGAAGTAGAAAATCTAAAAGCCATAATTCCATTCTCAGACATTGCATGGGGTATGTATATGGGGAACTTAAATTTTCTTAAATTTAAGTGCTTTTAAACAATTATATCCAAATGAGTATTAATTTAAAATATAAATTCATTCATTAGATTTGTTTTATGCAGAATTAAAGAGGTAGACTAGCAGCTACTGTACACATTGAATTTCTACACTTCCAAGCATTACATTTTTTTTTCTTTTAGGAGAAGAACAAACATTTTATCTGTTTGGAGTTATTCGTATGGAGTGAGTTACTTTACATGATACTTTTTCTTTGATATTATACATATAAATATGAAGAATGTGATAACAATACCTGTGTGTCAGCATGCACTTGTAAACATTTCAGTATCTATCTTTTGGATCTCTTGCCCTCTCTATTGTTTATTTGTTTGATTTTGTTCTCATATGCCCTTCATGGGCCCAAAATTGGAAATAAAGAATTTACTTACTTACTTTCAGTTACAAAGTCTATGATCTTTCTGCTGAGAACATATTTCTGGTGGACCTTAAAGTGTCGCTTTGTTGGGAGAGATATAAACCATGCACTTTTATTGCAAATGTTTTCAAAAACTCCATGCTTCCAAAAAGGAATTGCAAAGGAAAGCTGTCCTATGAAAAACCAGGTATGTTTCACTAGATGACAGCTACATGGCACTACTTAGCTTTTTTTACTGTAAGATTATATATAGAAACTTGTTTTGTTGTATGCAGGTTTCTCACTGACAAACTACAGTACAGAGAACAGTCTTCATCTGAACAATATGACTGACAGGGATTTGGTTTATCTATATGACTATATGGGAGTTTCCAGTTACATCACTAGTCCTTCCTGTAACAGATCAGATGGTCAATTTCTTCCCAATACAAATGGATGGAAAAATGGTAAACACTGAACTCCATGCACATCTGAGTAATTTGAAAAATAGCTAGAAATCAAAACTTTAGGATGCACTACTTAATATTGACAAGTATGTTTAAAAAAAATCAACATTTAAACATTTCTTTCTTTAGAGTGTCCTTTCACAATAACCCCGGGACTGTCATCTTTGCCTGACTTTGTAACCTGTCATATGATGTCTAGCTGTATCAGTGTGAGATGTTGTATGGACATTACCAGGCTAAAATCTCAGTCAGTCCAGTTTTATCTTATGATGGACTCATGTGAATGGGTGATTGAGTACGGAATTGATAAATTTGTGGTAAAACCATCTGCTATGTATGGATTGGAGTTCAATGTCTGGCAGGACTATTGGATGAAGGGGATATACAGACTTAGGTAGGAATCTAGAGAAAATATGAAGAGAGGGTCAATATAGTAGAAAGAAATAACAGAATAATGTTTTTTTTAACTTTCAAGCTGCCATCAATTACATTTTTAAAATCTTCCTATTTCATTGAAAGAGTTATTAAGATAACCATGTTTGTCAGCATTCAGCAACATTGAAAGAACTTACATGTTCTTGTTTTACAAGTAATGATAGAATGGTACCTTATTTAGTTTTAGCAGAGTTTGAATTCTATTCTTAAATAAGGAAATTCTTGTTTTAAAGTAGTTACATCTGATGAAGAAATTTATTGTTAAATTTCAGGTTTAAGATAACAGACCTGCATGGAGCAGAGTATTTCCGAGTCAGTCTTACATTCATGGTCTGTCTAGAAGATGGACTGCCTTGTGAACAGGAAGTTTCTGTATTAAATAACACACTTTTGCATAAACCTTCTTGTGATTGGAAAATAGGAACAGGGATCAAAGGTCAGTTAAAAAGAAATATTAAAGGCTGAAATATAAAAAAATAAAAAGATAGATAATCTAAGATTATTTCAATGTTGGTTTGTTGTTCATTGGTTTTTACAGATTTCACATTCAGTTCATGGAAGACACAGAATAAGTATACAACAATGGAAGAACACAGCATTGCTAGACTGGAGGAAGAACTAGGAATGCATGGGTACCTGTATAACTCCACACAAGTCTGTGATAGGACATCAGGAATATTTGCTTCCCCTTCTGATGGATGGACTAATGGTAATTTTGAATGATTTATTGATATCTTATTTACATTGTATCATCAATGAACATGCATACAATGTTAAAAGTGCATGGTGAATTTAATTTCTTTCTTTTTACAAAAGCAAGCACATTTTGGTTAGAAGTCAGTTTAAAATTGATAAATTATATGAATTCTACTACAAAGATTGCCCTATTGCCCTTCCCAATAATGTACCTGTTGTAAGGGGAGCTATCAGCTGTAATCTTGGAACCTCCTGTTCTGATGTGGTGTGCTGCTTGTATGCTGAACCTCTGATGAAACATGTAACTATCCACCTCAGTCTGGATTACTGTCAAGACAGAATCAGTGTAGGGATAGACAAATTCATGAGAGAAATACAGCCTAGCTCATACAACAACTGGGGTAACTCTTCATTTAATCATTGAGAATAATTATTATGAATCATGTTGATTAATCTTCTGAAAGTAAAGATTTTAATCTTTGAATAATTTTTTTTATTTTTTAGGTAAAGAAGAAATGCTAGGCATGAGTGAAATTTATCAACTTAAGTAAGTTTTAGTTTCTAAACAATGAATTTAAGAATTGTAAACATTTAGTATCTTTCACTAAATCTTTACTACCTATCCTTGCATACCCCAGTGTGTGTATAAACCTCATACCAGGTACTTAGTGTTAAAGATACATGGACAACATTTTATCTTGTTCACAAAATAGTCATCCCTAGAGAGAAGTCGGAGTAATTAGAGTTATTCCCCTTTCTTACAGATACACACTAGAGGATCTACCAAATGCCAACATGTACTTGGTCAGTTTTTCCATTCTTTCTTGCTGGGAAGGTGCCTCTAATTGTGAGGAATACACTGTTCTCTCCAACAACAGGCTGCCAAAGTCCAGATCACAGCCATATTGTAACTGGAAATCAGAGGAACCTATTCCAGGTAAAGGATTCTGAACATCCGATAAAATTTAAATATACATCTCGTGATAAGCAAGTTGTTTGAATACAGTTAAGAAAACTGCTATTGGAAAAGGGTTGATTCTCTGCTTACAATAATAAAAAATTTTACATTCATGACAATTTTCTAATTTTATGAAGAAAACATGATTTATCAAATTCAGAGATTTCTCTCAGAGCACATTAGGTCCATCCCTCCTTAATTCAGTATTTGGATTAATGGAGACAAAGGGGAAAGGACTTGATTCTTTTCAAGCTAAAAACTGTTGTTCAGTGGTTATGGGGGCATTAGGCACTTACTGGGGTGAATACACTATTGTTTTTGCACACAAAGTGCATTAAATGAACATTCTGTGGAGTATATACTTAATTATTGTGGTTTTGATAAATGTATGCTATTTTAAAGGTTTCTCTACCAAGGCTTGGCTGGCCACCAATGGATATCCTGATTTAACACCACTGAAGGGAAATGCATTACAGGATTTGATGGAAGTCTTGCAAATTTCCAGGTTTAAGGAAAATGACTGTAAAATAACTGGAGCTCCATTTGTTCCTGTCAACAGTATTGGCTGGAATGCAGGCAATATAAATAAACACTTACAGATTCCTCAAGATTTCAAAATTAATATCAATTCTTGTTTAATTAGAGTCTGCATCAAGATATGGTGCCTTATAGTAATCACCCTGTCTGGCTCTCCGTTCCTCTGTCAGCACTTTTATGTGATGCAATAACTAGGGTACCTTAAGTTCTTTCAATCTACAGACTTCATGTTTAGTATATAGATGGAGAAAGTTTAGAGGAGTGTGCCTCAGAAAAATACCCTTTTCAATATGATTTTGCAGTCGCTTTATACAATGTCAGGGTCAAGATTAATGATAAAAATGGTTGGAAGAAGACTTCTATGATTTTGATGTCCCTTGAACAAGCTAGTTCATACACATATTATTAAGCTAAAAGGTTCATTTTCATTATATTGGTAAACAAAGCTTACGGAGTGACACATATGGATTTTGAAGTCATTCACTCATGCTCAGGGTCAAGATTTTTAACACTGATGTGGCCTACTGGAAAAAAAAAACTTGAGAATATTTTAACTAAGTCTTGCAAACTTTTACCACACAATTAAAAGAGAAATCAAACGATTTGTAGGCCAAATGTGGAAAAGTCAAACTAGTAAGCCAAGAGCCTATTTGTAACTCTGTCCATTTTCTAGTTGAAAATTAAAACTTGTTATATGTAATCAAATAAAATCTTTTAAATTTCATTTGTTTATACATTCAGAGTGTCCAGACAACCTCACATTAACTAGCCTTCCAACTGCCTCTGCCTGCCATATTCCTAGTTACTGTACAGGAGTTAAGTGCTGTATACCAAGTTCTACTCTAGGAAGAACCTTCCACACTTACCTGGATATAGATCCCTGTACAACAAAGATCACTGTAGGGATAGATAAATGGAAATTTACAGAAGTCTCCCTGGAAACTGACAAGCTCTTATCTACTAGTAAGTCTGGTAACAAAATGAAATGTTTAACAATTTTTTTTTCAGAATTGCTTCCCAAAATCATAAAATCTCTTATTAATTTTTGATATTTGATGATTTTTATTTTTACATAGCTATGAAAAAAAGTGTATGGTTGCAAGGGGTTGTTCGTATGGAGTAAGTTTTTTTGTTGTTGTTGAAATAATAAAAGGAAAAACCTTTACTGTGTGCATTTATATTGTACAATATAAGACAAACATTATTCTAAGTTGAATTTATTTTGTCTTTATAGATTTGACATTAAGAGCTTACAACACACAAATAAATATTTGATCAACATGAATATAAGTGTGTGTACAGAGAGTTCAGAAATGTGTGAAATTGCCAACCAAACAATATTTAGCAATACTCTGCTGTCCAAAAGCAACTGTCAGCACGATCAACAGCTACCACCAGGTACTCTACAATCATGTACTTGTTAATAAACATTGTATACAGGGAGAAGGGGTTCCAAATTATAAGAAATTTCTGCTCAGTCTCTTGATCTGCACATGTACTCAAATTTCAATAAAATAATTATGTGCAAAATAAAACATAAATAAAAGTCTCATTGAGAGAACTTGTATATAATTTTTTGAATTTCTCTCCAGGTATTTGATGTTTTATGTATACATGTACTTAAGGGTTTTCACTGTTGTCCTGGAAGATTAACAATAGTTATGCAGCTAATGCTAGACTACCAGACTACCTCAGAGGAAAAGTGGAAGATTTCCTGGGATTGCCCGGATATAGAAAGCCCTCCAAATGTAGTAGAAATGTTTCACCATATTGGCCAACTTATAATGGCTGGAATCATGATAGTGGTATCGATTACTTTTCTTTACCTGAAATTACTATGAGAATTTAACTCAGTATATTTGAAGACAGAAAATTGGTACTTGTTTTACATGTTTTAGAAAAATGCATAGAAATAAAAATTGTAAATACAGTAAAACTCTGTTATAACAAAGTCGCTGGGACTTGTGAAATTACTTCGCTGTATCTGTAATTCGTTATATCCGTATAAGGAATTTGTAAAATTTACATAGCTGGGGATCCAGAAACACTTTGCTATATCCGTGAATTCGCTTTATCTGTGTTCGTACTAAACGAGTTTTACTGTATGTTTCTAAAAGTTTGTATATCAAATCATAAAATTTTTAGCTTGCCGAATATCGGGACTTCCATACAACATGAAGAAGAAGACCTACTGTGTGGTGGGAGCCAGCTGTACATCTATGACATGCTGTACTGAGGATTCAGAGATGGATACCACCTTTACTTGGTTTATTGATGTAGATTCTTGTAATCTAAAATTCACTGTAGGCATAGAAAACAGGAAACAAGAAGAATTTCTTCTAGACTTTAACTTTGGTAAACATCTACATTTATCTTTTGTGTTTGTGGTTTTATTTTGATCCTGCTGAAATTTGAACAGGTTCAGAAAATGAAAATGAGAGTTAATGTGCTTTGATATGTAATTATAACTTGAACAATAAAAATTGCTTTATGAATAAATAAGATTATGGTGTTTTCTTCCAATTAACTCCTTTTGATTTACTTTGTATTCTTTGTATAGGTGAACAGAAGCATTTCAGTCTTCAAGGAGTGTATAGGATAAGGTATGGAATTTTAGTATCTTGTTTTCTGTCCTTCATTATTTATATGATATTATTTTCAGGAAATACAACTTTCTGTCTATTTTTTAAATTTTATAGCTACATCATCTTTGACTTGGTCAGTGACTCTCACTACATGATGAGTGTAAATATCAGTGTGTGTTATGAACCAGACAATTGCACCTTGACAGAAACCATTGTGGAAAACATGATGTTTCCAAAGCCTGTCTGTGATTTCAAGAGCAAAGATTTTGTCCTCTCAAGTAAATATATATAATAAATTATAGGTATTTTTATATTGTTTAATCTACACACTCCGGTTGATAAAAAACAATTATGTTTGCTTTGGTAGGTGTACAGGTTGTATTTTTTTTTCAGGTTTCTCAATGTCTAGTTGGTTGGCAGAACATGCTTTCACACCTCATTCCACATTACCATTATATGGTCAGTTAGAACTACTGGAGGACCTGGGACTGACTCAGTACATGAAGGACATGCAGTGTGGAGAAACAGATAACATTTACAGAAATCAAACAGATGGATGGACTAAAGGTCAGTTTTTACTGTGTACAAACTGTAAATTATATATAAATTGAAATATTTGTATCAGTTAAGTGTTTTGATGGCAGAATTTGAGAGTCCATACTGTGTAGAGTGTTAATCCATGTATTAATGCCTTGTTCCTAACTCTGTACAGATTGTCCACTTGGTGTGTTGACCAGTTCCCTTCCAGCAGGACTCCTGTGTCACATACCCTCCACATGTACATCTGTCCACTGCTGTATAACTATAAACACACCACTACAGAAAACTTTCAGCACTGTCTTAGACCTGGACACTTGTAACCAAAGGATTTCACTGGGCATTGAAAACTTTGTTCATCAAATCTCACTTTATGACTTTCAGTTTGGTGAGAATGAAATTTCAACTTAAAAAAAAGAAATTGTTTCAAGGATTTTTTCTTTTAATTAAAAACAATTCTTTTTATTGCAGGAAAAGAGCATCATTTCTTCTTGAACAATGTTGTCCGCATGCTGTGAGTTGAATATATAATATAGTATAGCAATACTTTAAAGTTGTTTTCATGACATCTTGTTAATGAACTACTTTTTTAAGACTGTGTCACAATATATTATACATTTTGTAAGAATGTATAATATTTTTTTTTCAAATAAGGTATAAAGTGTATGACCTGAAAGCTGACAGGAAATACCAAGTGAGCCTCAACATCAGTCTGTGTCTGGAGTCTTCAGGACCCTGTGTGCTAGAAACCATGGTGTTTGATAATGCTTTATTGCCAAAGAAGCCTTGCAGCTTGTATACAGGATTTGTACAAAGGAGTATGTAAACCGTTTATAGCTGACCTCACTAAAGCTGCATGAAGAAAGCTTTATTTCATATAATCCAAGGTTTAATGTTTCTATGAGCAGGTATATTTGCCCAAAGGATAAGCCTTACATCATTTCTATGGATGGTGCCTCTATGAATATACATTTAAATACTAGTCTTGATATACATGCAGCATTTTGCATGTTAATATCTTCTCGATGAGTTGCCAGTTTAAAGTTTCTGGGGCAGCTCCCTTCTCCAGTAATTGTAAGCTCTAGTTTGATCCATTACTTACAAGTGTGAGCATTTACAGATTCCACCTTCTTCAGCTGCTGCATCTGACTATATTTTCCAGAGAAAGTTTCACGTGAAAATCTCATTCTGGAAGCCCTTCCTTCACCATACTTGCATGGATGATGGAGGAAGGAATGCAGACTACCAGTCTTGCTTTACATGATCTATTTGACCTATATTTTCTAAAGATGAGTGACCAAGTTTAAGATTTTGGAGCAGGTCCATTCGTAAGTATATAGGGCCTACCTAGACCAAACTTGATGGTTCAAGTAGGGATGCAGTTGACCAATTTGTCAGATGCTGTTTTCATCAGATAATACTCTAATGAGTTACTTTGTGTATCTTACTGAATGTTCAAGTGGTATAGAACTTTATATATACATGTAGATGACATTTGTTGAGGTGAGCTATGTAATCTTTGATTACCTAACTTTTGTTCTCTCTAAATGATCACATTGTTACAAACTACTTAAGTGTAATAAATATTTGTTTTATTAACACTCATGTTTTTAGGTCACCTGAGTCGCTCAGGTGACCTATTGCTATCCGTTCTCGTCCGTCGGCGTGCGTCGTGTGTTAACAATTGAACATTTTTAGCTTCTTCTCTGAAACTGCTTAACGAATTTCAACCAAATTTGGCATATAGCATCTATGAGTGAAGGGGAACAAAAATTGTGAATTTCATGGTCCCTGCCCCCCTGGGGCCTGAGGGGTGGGGCTAAAACCACCAAAAATAATGCAATATTTAAAAATCTTCTTCTTTACACCAAGACATCAAGCAGTCAAACTGTTGGCATCATTGTAATAAGCATTGAGCCCTCTACCAAAATTGTGAAATTCATAACCCCAGGGTCAGGGGTTCTGGCCCCAGGGTGGGGCTATATAGATCAACTAGTGAAAGTGCATTATTTCTTTGAAAATTTTCTTCTCTGCTCCTGGGTATTAAATAAAGTAACTAAGTACATAGTTATGATGAGCAAGAGTGCTTCTACCAAAATTGTGAATTTCATGGCCCCAGGGTCAGGGGTTCTGGTGTTAGGGCGGGGCTCTATTGATTATATAGTGAAAATGCATTGATTCTTTGAAAATCTTCTTCTCTGCTCCTGGGTATTAAATAAAGTAACTAAGTACATAATTATGATGAGCAAGAGAGCCTCTTCCAAAATTGTGAATTTCATGGCCCCAGGGTCAGGGGTTCTGGTGTTAGAGCGGGGCTCTATTGATTATATCGTGAAAATGCATTAATTCTTTGAAAATCTTCTTCTCTGCTCCTGGGTATTAAATAAAGTAACTAAGTACATAGTTATGATGAGCAAGAGTGCCTCTTCCAAAATTGTGAAATTCATGGCCCCAGGGTCAGGGGTTCTGGCCCCAGGGTGGGGCTCTATTGATTATATAGTGAAAGTGCATTATTTCTTTGAAAATCTTCTTCTCTGCTCCTGGGTATTAAATAAAGTATCTAAGTACATAGTTATGAAGAGCAAGAGTGCCTCTTCCAAAATTGTGAAATTCATGGCCCCAGTGTCAGGGGTTCTGGTTTTAGGGCGGGGCTCTATTGATTATATAGTGAAAATGCATTAATTCTTTGAAAATCTTCTTCTCTGCTCCTGCATATTAAATAAAGTAACTAAGTACATAGTTATGATGAGCAAGAGTGCCTCTTCCAAAATTGTGAAATTCATGGCTCCTGGGTCAGGGGTTCTGGCCCCAGCGTGGGGCTATATAGATCATATAGTGAAAGTGCATTATTTCTTTGAAAATCTTCTTCTCTGCTCCTGGGTATTAAATAATGTAACTAAGTACATAGTTATGAAGAGCAAGAGTGCCTCTTCCAAAATTGTGAATTTCATGGCCCCAGGGTCAGGGGTTCTGGTGTTAGGGCGGGGCTCTATTGATTATGTCGTGAAAATGCATTAATTCTTTGAAAATCTTCTTCTGTGCTCCTGGGTATTAAATAAAGTAACTATGTACATAGTTGTGATGAGCAAGAGTATCTCTTCCAAAATTGTGAATTTCTTGGCCCCAGGGTCAGGGGTTCTGGTGTTAGGGCGGGGCTCTATCGACTATATAGTGAAAATGCATTAATTCTTTGAAAATCTTCTCTTCTGCTCCTGGGCATTAAGGTGATAAACTAAGTACATAGTTATGATGAGCAAGAGAGCCTCTTCCAGAATTGTGAAAGCCATGGCCCCTGGGTCAGGGGTTCTGATGTTAGGACGGGGCTCTATTGATTATATAGTGAAAATGCATTAATTCTTTGAAAATCTTCTTCTCTGCTCCTGGGTATTAAATAAAGTAACTAAGTACATAGTTATGATGCATAAGGATGCCTTTTCAAAAATTGTGAATTTCATGGCCCCAGTGTCAGGGGTTCTGGTGTTAGGGCGGAGCTCTATTGATTATATAGTGAAAATACATTGATTCTTTGAAAATCTTCTTCTCTGCTACTAGAGATTATTTAAGCAAACTAAGTACATGGTATAATGCATAAGGATGCCTTTTCAAAAATTGTTAATTTCATTGCCCCAGGGTCAGGGGTTCTGGTGTTAGGACGGGGCTCTATTGATTATATAGTGAAAATGCAATGATTCTTTGAAAATCTTCTTCTCTGCTACTGGAGATTATTCAAACAAACCAAGTACATGATTATGATAGGCAAGGATGCCTCTTCCAAAATTTTCAAATATATGGCCTCAGTTTTTGGGGTTCTTGAGGAAGGGGGGGGGGGGGCTCTATTGATTATATAGTGAAAAAGCATTAATTCTATTAATTAATCCTTAATTAATCCTGTCTGCTCCTTGGCATTGAGCTGATAAATAAATTTTTTAGCTATGATGAAAATGGGAACTTCGAACAGAATTTTTAAATCTTGTGGTCCTAGGGTCAGGGGTTCTGGCATAACGAGGGGGGGGGGGGGGGGGGGCTTTTGATAATATAGCGGAAAAGTGTCAATTCTTTGAAGTCCATAGATATGATGATGAGGGTAACTCTTCCAAAGTTGTAAATTTCTTGACCCTTGGTCTTGGGTTCTGGTGTTAGGGTAAGGCTTTGTTGAATCTGTAGTGAAAATGCATTGTACCTGTGAAATTCTTCTCTACTTCTGGGCATATTGGAAGAAAACTGAGTAAAAGTTTAAATGATATAAGTAAGCATGTATCTACCAGATTTTTGAACATCTGGACCATTTGTCTAAGCATTCTAGTCCTGGGCAGGGCTCTATTAATTTGTTTTCTACTGAGAGAAGTTATTCCCCTTTTCCATTCACCTTTGATAATTAATCACTGTAAATAATGTATTTGAAAGGTTAATAGAATAAGATAATTATGCAAGAATGTTTATCATATAATTCAAAAAGTATTTTCTTAGTTTTAATAATCAGGTAGACCTGTAAGTAATAGATAAATAAAAATGAGACAAAAATAACTTATCTTATTAAAAGTTTTTCAAAGACCATAAGAGAGGTCAATGCTAGAGGTCTTAATATGGGTTTAAAAATAGTACAGAAGCACTAATAGTTTGTTAATAGTCTGCATGGTGATAGTGTTAAGTGGGGGACAGATTAGAACTTAATTTATGAGTTGATACTGAATACTAGACTAATTATTTTGTTGATCCTGATCTTCCTACTTCTCTTGCTTTAGGGCAACAAAGCTTCATCTATCAGTGTATTTAACTTCTAAATTGTTGTATTATACTCAGGTGACCGTTAAAGCCCTTGGGCCTCTTGTTTTATAGACTTCTCACTGTCATCTTGGAAAGCTGAAAACCAAATTATGGCAACAGATATGAAAGCCCCAGAGATTGCTTTGTTGCAAGAGACACTTGGAATTGCTGAGTACCTCAAAGAACCTTGCTCCCGGCAGGCTGGAAACTACTTCCCACATAGAAATTATTGGAAGGATGGTATGTACATCAACTCTCCTTTGTGGCTAATATCCTAACCATACTGTCATATAGTATCTGTCCTCTGTTGTTTAAGACCTTGCTGTTTCAAATCTTTTTGAAACATGCAAAGGTTTGTAGCATATGAAGGAAAACTAATTTGCTGCATTTCATGGAAAGAAAGTGTATACATTGCTAAGAATTAGGTGATATATATACAGCTGAACTTCAATATTTTGAACACTGATATCTTGAATACCATGGATATGTCAAAGTGATTTGGAAGTCCCAACCACTTAATCTTTAAGTATTTTACCCCTGGTATCTCGAATCCTCAGATATCTCGAAGTTTTTTCTCGGTCCCATTGAGTTCCAGATAATGAGGTTTGACTGTATGTACATATATGTTGTGTTGTGAACAGTGCTAAGGAACTAGTTAATTTCAGAATGTGGCAAAGTGTCAGGAATGAGTCAAATCACAGAACCGGACCACATCAACTGTTACCTGTCTGACACCTGTACTACTACGTCCTGCTGTGTGGAGGACACTGTACTCAAAAGGAATATAGAGACCAGGGTCAGCATCGACTCGTGTAAATTCTCCATGAAACTAGAGATAGAAAAACTGCAGTTCAATGTCAGTCTGATGAACTTTAAGTGGGGTATGTTTAGCTTTGGGGTTTCATCAACGATCTAATACATATTCTAATTCAAACTCATAAAAAATTAAATCTTGTACTTTCATTTGTATTGCATTTATTTAGGTGAAACTGTGCGGATGGACTTTTATGGAATATATATTCTGAGGTAAACAAATTCTGCCTTTAGCAAATGATAGAACTGTCTTTAAGGAATTAACTTCTGGTCTGTAAAAGTTGTTAAGGTTGGCTAAGATACACGTATGTTGTGTTTTTTTTTACAGCTTCACTATGGAGAATTTCTACAATGATCGGAAGTATTTGTTGAACATGAACATAAGCCAATGCTATGAATCCAATGGAAGTTGTTCATTGCACCTTGGTCTCTTTAAAGATTCCTTGATACCTAAAGGTGTATGTGAGTGGTCCATGGGTTACAACATCAAAGGTATAAATCTATACTGTGGACATGAAACTAAAATACTCACAAAGCAAATTAAACTCTTGTATTTATCTTCTATTTAATAAACAAAATCAAGTAAATGAATTTCCTTCATTTATTTTATCAGGGTTTTCCCTGTTCTCGTGGAAAGTTGATAGACGTCTTTCAACCTCACCTGGAAGCATTCCAGATGAATATCTGTTGCAGCTTCTGGATGAAACAGGTTTAGCTGGCTATGTCAAACATCCTATGTGTGAAAGAACAACTGGTATCTATAACGGTGCTGTCAATGGATGGACTAATGGTAAAACTTTTCTTAACATCAGAGTTTTGTGATTCTAATGAAGGTAAATACTTACATGACAGATTGTGCTTTTTTCTTGGACAGACTGTGGAATGAACACTACATTACCCTTGTTGAAGTCAGGCTTGGGATGTCACATGCTTCCTACATGTTCTGGACTCCAGTGCTGTGTCAGTTCTCCAGAACTGAGGAGAAACTATGAAGTGTATTTCAGTATAGACCATTGTAGTCATAGCCTCAACATTCAGATAGAAAAGGTGTTCCAGAACAAGACTCTAAATGATATAGAATGGGGTATGTAGCCTAAAAAGCACCCACTCATGTGTCATTTGTTTCATGTATTTGATATTTGAAGAGGACAGTACAAATTTTACTCTTGTACTGTTGTAACAAACTGTGTACTACTGACTTCTTTTGCAGGAGTTTCTGAGGAATTTGGTGTGCTTGGAATATACAGAGTTCGGTAAGATTAACAGGAAACAATGCCATCTATACTTAGATGATGTTTTGTGGTAGTTTGTGCTCTCAATGCCAATTATTAAATAATGAATTATTGTATCAGGTACACCATTGAAGACCTGCCTGAGGAAAGGTCATACCTAGTGTCACTTGAAGCTATGGACTGTTATGAAACAAGACCCCCTCAGTGCGATACTGGTTCCATATTTAAAATTTTAGACAGGGTGATGTTTCCAAAAGGACTTTGTTCTTGGGATCAGGGCTTTGTGGACCCAGGTAATTGTCTTTTGTTTGAACCGTAATTTTTTAAGAAGAAAAATACAGGACAATGAATAAAGAATTGGAGGGGGAAATATGGAGATTACATGTACTTTTTGGTAGATCCACAGACTTAATTTTTTTCATATAGATTAAAATATCATTATTCCTCTACCTTAATTCTTTGATTTCCCTTTTGTTATTTTTGGTTTTGATTGTTTATAGACTTCTCTCTGAAGACCTGGCTAGTAGAGAACCATATTGCCAATGTGTCAGAGCTAATGCAAACAGATTACAAAGTGTCCCAGCTGATGAATGAACTGGCTATCTCCCAGTATCTACACACCCAGTCTTGTTCCTTATCAAGTTACGCAGTTGATGGCTGGACGTCCTGTAAGTAATCTGCAAAACAGATAAGAGTTTTGAAATCATGTACATGTATGCTTACAACTTCCAACTAAGGCAAAATTGTAATGTTGGTTCTCGGGCCTGTGTATGTTCATTTTCAGGTAGCTGCATTGCAACTTTTTACATATTTTCAGTAAAGAGTTGATAATGCGGAGACTAATCCGGGAAAAAATTCTGCCCTCACTTTTGCATAGTTTTGCACTCTATTTCATTTTTGATAGCAATTTTGTAAAAGCATTGACATTGATATGGACACTGCGTCCACAAAAAATAAAAATATGCAAATATTTGGTAAGTTTGTGACATGTTTAATATATCTACAAGATGATTCCAGTATAATTATGAAGAAAGAATTTTCATTGTTAATTTAAAAAAAAAATTCTTGCGTTAAAAAAGCCTCCCATGTATATTTTTATCACCAACAAAAGGGAAAAAAACCACCTGCCCTTATCTGTTTTTTTTTTTTTTTTAGAAAAATTAGTCTGAGAACTATACTTTAAATTTTACTACTGTCAGTAAAACTTGGTTATAACGAAGTCACTGGGACCTGTGAAATTACTTTGCTATATACATTCGTTATATATGTATAAGGAATTAGTAAAATTTATTTAGCTGGGGATCCAAGAAAACTTCGCTTTATCCATGAATTCGCAATATCAGTGTTCATACTAAATGAGTTTTACTGTATATTTAATTCACAAAGATTTTCTCTGTTAGAAACCGGAAAATTTTCTCTTTAACATGTATATTGAATTTATAAACTTTTAAAGTAACATTGATTTGTAAACTACGAAAGCCCAATTAGGACCTATCAAAAAATATTTTCGAATTTGATATAACAAATTTTCTAATTCGTTATTACAAATTTTTGAATTCATAACAACAAATTTAACTTGTTATAACAGATTTGTTGAATTCGTTATAATAAATTCAAAAATTTGTTATAACAGGTTAAATTCTTTTAAACAAACTCTGAAATTTATTATAACAAATTAGATTTATTCAATCAAATTCAGCAATCAGGGCCTAAAGACAAATATATATGAATTCGATATAACAAATTGTCTAATTTGTTTAAAGGAATTTAAATCCTTATAACAAAGAATTTGTTTCAAAGAATTTAATTCATTAAAACAAATTTTAGAATTTGTTAAAATGAGTTTAATTTGTTATAAGAAATTTTTGAATTTGTTATAACAAATTCAACAAATTTGTTACAACAGATTAAGTTTATTATAACAAATTCAAAAAATTGTTACGACGAATTAAATTTGGTATCATGATGAATTCAATAATTCGTTATATCAAATTTTAAAATATTTTTTGATAGGTCCTAAATGGGCTTATGTAGGAAACATATAGCAATGTGAATACAGGATATTGATAAAAAGGTCAAAATGGTTTTGTCTTCAGTGCATGGAGGCATTGTTTTCACTATCATGTCTTTGGTTTTGGGTATAAATTGTAGTTACAGAGTACTGTAAGAACTCTCTAGCTGCAATCACATTTACTTAAATTTTAACAATCTCCATACTGCTTATTAATAAATCTGCTGCTTGTAAAGAGTGATCAAATTTCATTACAGCTTGTACAAAGACTGTAATCAAACCCAACATATCTGGGGCAGTATGCCAGGTTAAAGAGGACTGTACATCATCTGAATGTTGTGTGGAGATTAAGTATATGACTCGAAATATCAAGACCTACCTTAACATAGACCCATGTAGTTCAGAACTCCAAGTTGGCATAGAGAAATTCAGCAGGAACATTTCATTGGCACAATACAAATGGGGTAAAACAGCAAATTTTTCATAAAGCTATATATGATTGGAAGAACTAACATTTGGTATCTGGAATTCTGTGTGCATGTTTAGCTCTACTGGTCTCATATCAGAAAAGCTTATGCATTATGCATTAGTAGACTATATTATGATGCATCATTCTGTACTACTATATTGGTTTTTGATTTCAACAAAAACCTACAGTTTTGGTTGGATTTGAATTAGACAAATTATACCAAGATACATCTTTTTTAAGTATACACCAGTAGAGCTACAGTCTTGTCAGAAACTTCTGGTTTCTATGTGCTAAATAATTTTTTTTCAGGTCGAACAGAAAGGCATTGGTTAGCTGGAGTAGTGAGACTGGAGTAAGTTTATGTTTGCTATTGTTTAAATCACTGAAAGCAAAGGGCTATAGAAATCACTGTGTCAGTTAGTCCATTTGTCTATACGATAATGTCAAATGCCTTAATTTTAATATAAAGACATTGGAAATTTAAACAGGACACTGAGATTGCTTGTAACTTGAGAAGGTGTCCTGAACTTGACCCTTGTTCTTTTTGCCAAGTTGAAAGTCACTAGAAGAAGCAATTGTAAACTTACCAGTAGTTGATGTATCATGAACACAAGAGAGAAGAATTGAAAGTATGAAAATAAACTTCCTGTCCAAGTTATTACGCAAAATTATTGTCATGAGGATATATTTAAGGCTCATATTGTCACAAAAAATGTCTCATACCTGAGTGTGTTTCATAAATGTGCAGTAATGTGGTGGGTATTCACTAGTTATCTTGAAGATAACTACAACTTTGTAAATGGAAAAATTGGAAATTCATATTTATCTTAAGATTGCCTATGGCCTGTAGATTTGTCATGATCCCTTTATTCAAGGTTGTTTGAGCTAGTTCATAAACCATTTATTCAAGGTTGTTTAGGCTAGTTCATAAATATTTACCGAGTTCTATTCATGCTAAGTCCTTTCCTTTGTAAGTGAGAATTACATGTATTGGAACTTTGCACTTGAGTATGAATCTGAGGATGTAATTAGACCTTGGTTTAGTTTAATTAGGAAAGAAAGAGATTCTGGCAGAAAAAATTTGATTTAAAATTCATGTATGGGCCACGGTTCAATTATGGAGAAACTATAGGATATTAAACTTGAAACAAAAGTTACTCTGACCCAATCAAGGTCAATTAGGTATGGTCACGGTCACTGAAGAAAAAGTTTGAACTTTATTGACACATTGATTAAATCACACCAGATAACAAATTTTTATGAGCTTGTTCACCCATCTCTAATTTATAGAGTATTATAATAGGACTTTTGAATTTCCTTTAGTTTCACAATTGATGATTTCCAAGGAGAGAGACTTTACCTTGTCAACATGAACCTAAGTCTCTGCTTTGAAGCACATAGAGACTGTTTCAGAAGGATAGCCATATTCAGAGACACTATACTTCCAAAACAAAGATGCCCATGGGATGTTAATACAGGTGAGTTTATAATACTCAGTGTAGGGTAATATTTGCTACTTGCATGTGAGTTTGGCTGCCTCAAATCTTAAGAGATCAACTTGTGCTTACCATTGTATTTTATGTGTTCTTTCTCTGGATTTTTAAGGTTTTTCATTATCAAAATGGAAAAGAGATGAAAAGATTCCAACGGGAATTCAGTTTCCAGACTGGGCAAAATACCTACTTCTGGAGCACTTAGACATAGCGCAGTACATGCATCCTCTTCAATGTAAGAGAGGGGTTGGCATGTTTTATGACTGGAATTCTTACCAAAACTCCACCAATTCCACAGATGGAAGTATGAATGAAACACTGCATTCCATATACTCATCAAAAAGTAAGATAAATTTCTTATTGATTTTGTATTCCTTACTGCAGTTTTACATAAGATGCAATTAAAAATTTCAATTGCATCAAACTGAAACTTGCAATTTGAATTAGATCCATAAACGCACTTATGTACCTCCTGTCTGTGGCATATTCTTTATACATTTCTTAGTTCTCGAAATGGTTGCACTTGAAGATAACTTTGCAGTCCTAATGAAACATGAGATCTAACAGAAAAATTACAAATGCTTCTAACTACAACTATGAGAGAAGCACAGTAGTCTGAGGGGCTCCTTTAAATTTTATGTACCTTACTTGTGACAAGAAATTTCAGACTGCGCTATGACATTTGACCACATGACCTAGACCTTTAAGTTTGACTTTCAAAAAGTTATATCTTGGCCATAACATTTGCACCAGAAGATATTGCTTCCAAAATGCAAACTTTTTTTTTTGGATGATGGACAGACAAACAGTACAATATGCCTAAGTCACTGCACCCCAACCAATAAGACCCTGGAAAGCAAGGGTCCACAATTCTCTGATTTTATCTACTTTGTTAGTGTGCCAGCTGGATGTGAATTTGGTGAATCGATCATTGGATGCCAGATCCTCCACCCTAGTGTCCTGCTACCTTCCTTCACTGTGTACAGGGTTTCACTGCTGTGTAAATGTTCCTGACCTTAACATGTCCTTCAATGCTTATCTCTCTGTGGACCCCTGTACTTACATGTTCACTGTTGGCATCGAGAAGTTCACCTTCAACAAATCACTGGATCACTATACCTTTGGTGAGCAAGTTTAGAGTTTAAATAAATTTGTAAATTTGGATCTGATGAGTTTTTTAACATATTGTAATATACTCATATATGTTCTTAACATTATTTTTAAAGGTCAAGATGGTTTATTTTCCTTGGCTGGGATTTTGAAAATCACGTATGAAATACCTTAAATCTTCACATACAATTTGGAACATGAATTTTAATTTGTTATCTATTACAAAACATGCATTGTAGATGTTGAATTGTTTTACAGATACAACCTAAGAGACCTCCCTAATGAGAAAGTATATCTTGCAACAGTGAAGCTCAGTGTCTGTACAGAGAGCTCCTCCTGTGAAGCTAACCATACAATATTTGACAATGTACTGCTACCAAAACAACCTTGTGACTGGAATGAGGGATTTGTTAACTCAAGTATGTACTCTTTTAGTACAACTTCAAAAACATTAATCATTATGTAACAACAAATGACATAATTTATATTGCAAAAAGTGAAGATGAGGAACAGGGACTTCCTGCAATGTTGGGAGAAGTGTGTGTGTGCTTAGAGATTCTAATTGGTAGTTTGTTAAATTCACTCACTTTTGAATGTTTTAAGATTTCTCTGGATCTGCTTGGATGATTAACAATGGCTACACCCCTCCTCTAAATAAGCACCAATCAGCAGAAATGATGAGGGAGATGAAGGCCTCTCGTTATCTCATGGCTGAGTCTTGTTCACGTACAAATGAAATCTACTCAAACTTGAAAGATGGGTGGAATAGTTGTAAGTAGAATGAAAGTTTATTTTGAAATTTTCATTGTTGCATACAGTATCAGATGTGGTATAAATAGAATGCTTGCATTTTTTAGTATGTCCAGGTGATACCAGTCTAAGCAACCTGACCTCTGAACCTGTTGTTTGTTACTTGGATTACTCCTGCAGTCTCCTGAATTGTTGTGTTAGTGTGGAGAAGATTGGGAGGTCATTGAACATCCAGATTAAACTTGATCCATGCTCACAGAAAGTGACTGTTAATTTAGAAAGAATCAGCATTGAGGTTGACCTTCTGTCCATTGACTATGGTATGTGAATTTCTGCACAACTTGTATAGTTGTATCTTGGCACTGTAGAAGTACTTTTTCTGCATGGTATTAATTTACGCTATATATGCAGTCACATATTTTCCTCGAAATTTGTCTCAGCGTACTTAAAGTACATATTAAGAATATAGTGTCAATCTGAGAAATTTGCCTAATTTTCTACCTGCGGATTAAATAGAAATTGTGATTCCACGAAATTATGACCCCGTGGAAAAAAGTGTGTACAGTATATTGAGACCATTTATTTCTCATTAATTTATATCAAATGGTTGTTGATTTTAGGTAAAGTCCACACGTTTAGTCTTGTTGGCATGTTGAGCTTAGAGTAAGTATTCTTGAAAATATTATGTTATTTGAAATAAAAAAAAGATCAGTATTAAACTCCTTGACTGCATCTTTTGATATTTAAGTTGCATGTTTATTGAAAAGTTTTTAGAAAGAATTTTCTGAAAAATAATTTTGTAGTTTGGAACTCCACGATCTTCCATATCAGAAGAAATATCTGCTAGATCTGGCTGTAAGTGTGTGTTTTGAGAGTGATGGCAGCTGTGAAATTGTTGTTCCATTGCTGAAACATGCAGCTCTCCATAAAGCTAACTGTGATTGGTCACAGGGACTACAAGGTAACACACAGCTTTTAATTGTCAAAAAATATTCAAAATGCTGTTGTATTTTTAGCTCACCTGAACTAGAGGCTAAGGAGAGCTTTTCTGATTGTAAGCTTGTAAGGCAATCTGTTTGTGTTTAAACTTTTCACATTTTCATCTCCTTTGGAACTAAGAAGACAATTGCTACCAAACTTGCATCATCAAAGTATCTTTAGTTGAAGGGAATTATGTTAGCATAGTTGAAGTATTACTTACTTTCTAAAATGATAAAGAAATGGAGTGATTTAAAAAACAATTCTCAAGAGACACTAGACAGAAAAGAAAAAGAAGAAATGAAAGTTGACTGTATTAATGGGCGAAGGTTATAAACCCCACACTAAGCTGGCATAAAGCTACTTCATGGAGTTAAAGTTTCATATAATTATAAAGGTGAAATTTTGGAAATTTTAAAAATTCTGAAGAAAAGCAGTTACAGTTGTCAAATTTATATTCTTCCTAAAGTGGTGTAGATCCAAGTTTGTTTAACCATGGCCTCTGACTCCAAGATTTGGCACAACAGGAAGTCATAGACACACACAGAAATATTAAGAATTCTACAAGAACAAGAAGTTCATATTTTGTAACCCTGACATCAAGTCTCAATATGATGTAATTTGAAATTGCTTAAATTACAGACTTTAAGTTAATGAGCACCATACATATATACTTTCCATTTATCAATAAAATCATTTGTTCAGAATGAGAAAAGTGGCACAGGTGAGCATTGTTGGTCTTTGTCTCTTGTTACTTTAATATGAATTCCAGTAAAACAGCTCTGAGTCACTTGTACTACATGTATGTGGTTACCTTTCATTTTTTCATTTATTATTACTAGATGAGGGATTCCACTAGCATGATTGTGGATGTCAATAATTCTTGTTTAATCATGCCTCTGAATGAGAAAACTTAAATATTAGACTTGTTATACTGGATGTACTTTTTACATGCCACTTTATAATAAATGCTACAGTATAGAAAATAACTCAAATATCAGTGAAAGAAATTTGTAAAACCCCTTTAGAAGGAAAATATGAGCTTTGAATTATTTTACTGGCACTGCAATGAATCATGGATTGTGAGATGTATATACATACCAATTTTCATAAAATACCTGACAGTGTACAGTACACATTATTATCAACATTTATGTGATTTATACGGCACAGGAATGCAAAAATATTGTCATTCAATGCTGAAATGCTAGTGAATTGATTATGTTGGAAATCATTTGGTAAAATTATTAATTACAGATGAATTATCATACAGTTTGATGTAATACGTACCTCAGAAACTGAAGTAATTGAACTTTTCTCTTCTAAGGATTTTCACTGAAGAACTGGCTTGAAACTAAGGGAATAAATGCATCATCTTCGAGTCCATTGGAGCCATATTTGGAACATCTACTATTAGAGGATCGAGGAATAGCAAACATGTTATATGATGTACCTTGTAACAGATCTGATTCTTTTTATAATGGAACCATGCCTATAAATGGATGGATAACAGGTGATTTAAATATAACCTCTACCGTGAACAGAGAAAGCTTTTAATGAGATTGATTCAAGTTAGCATGTAAATTTTTATAAAAGTTTGAGTAATCTTCTGGTTCAAGTTAAATAATTATACAGAAATCATGGTACATATTTCTCTTCTATTATAGCATGTACTAGTAGTCCACACTTACCTCCCTTGCCTGATGGAATATCATGTTACAACCCTCTATCATGCAGTGCTGTGTCATGCTGCATGGAAATAACAAAACTGAACAACAGACCTGTGGAAGTGACAGTGGAATTTGATGAATGCTCCAATTTCTTGAAAATGACCATAGAAAGAATGCCAATGACCAGATATCTGCACAATTTTATATATGGTGACTATTTTTTCCCTTAACTTTTGATTTTTAGATCCCCAAATACAAACAAAACCACATGGTAAATATAAACAAAACTTTCCTGAGATCATCCTTGCAGAAGGGAAATTAAATCGTGTTCCAAAAAAGGATACTTTTTAAACCTTCCTCTTTAGAACCACATAGGTTAAAAATACATATTAATGTAAAAAAAGCCTTTTCAGTATTCATGCATTGCAAAGATTTAAATTTGTTCAAATATTGGTCACTAAGATCAGGATGGGGCCACTGAACGACAACTTACATATCAGTGGACTCCATGAACCTAAGCATCTAAGTAGAGCAAAACCCTTCCCCCAGTCTTGCAGACAAAGATGAGATGCGAAAGAGGTTCCAAGTTATGTGTTTTTCAGATGCCCTTTGTTGCCCTTCAAGCTAAACTTAAAAATTGTTCTCTGCCAATCATTGATCCTTCTTTTAAGCAGGAGAATATTATTTCACTTTATCTTTTAACAATTGAGTACATGCAATCATCATGGATGAGAAATTTTGATGGCAGGAATATTTCCAATATTTAAGTAGTTTATGTGCTCATTAAGTAATTCTTTCATTCTTAGATAACGAAGAACGATTTTCTCTGAAAGGAGTTTTTGAAGTCACGTAAGTACATAACTAATTCCTAAGTCAGCAGTTTTTATTTTGCCAGCCAGAGAGTGCATGATCTCTTTGTTCAGTCCCTTTCTTTTTTTGGGGGGGGGGGGGGGGGGGTTGCACTTATATTTTCGGAACATTTTATTGTGAGAAATAATCATGGAAGTTTAAGAAAGCAGTTATCACAGGGAGATGTATTATTACCTGTACCTAATGTACTCTTGAGATGATATCTAATATCACAGAACACGTATTGCCACAAAAGTTAAAACTACAGGAAGTATTTATCAAAGTCCCAAGGGACAAGAATCTGTTAGTGTTAAGTCTGGTATTTATATTATCTGCTCTTTTATCTTAAGATTTAGCTTGGAACTATCAAGTAAGACCCATTCCAACGAAACAGTGTTAAGTAGTAGAATAAATATCAAATCATAATGCACATGCTTCTTTAATATTTGTATGAATATAGGAATATTTTTATAGTTGCTGTTTATTATTTAATTATTAGTCATAAGATCTTATCATTTTAACAAAGATATTTTGTTACAATTTGTTAGGTACAAAATCACTCGTGATTCACAGAAGAGGCAGTACCTCTTTGACTTGAAAGTGTCAGCTTGTTACGAACCAATGATGTGTGACCAAAGTTTCACAATTTTCAATCAAACAACATTTGAAATGAAAAACTGCAACTATGAGAAGGATTATTTGAACTCAAGCAAGTATTTTATGCAATACTTCTATAGAAAGATATTTATTTTATCTTTCAAGATCTCACTGTAATAATACCTAGTAACTTTTTATTAGCTCACCTGAGCTGAAAGCTCAAGTGAGCTTTTCTGATCACCTGTTGTCCGTCGTCTGTCTGTGTGTAAACTTTTCACATTTTCAACTTCTTCTCGAGAACCACAGGGCTAATTTTAACTAATGTTGGTACAAAGCATCCTTGGATGAAAGGGGGTTTAAATAATTAAAATGAAGCACCAGGCCCCATTCCAACGGGGGATAATTAAGAAAGGATAGGAATAGGATGGGGTCATTGAAAAATCTTCTCAAAATCAACTGGGCCAGAAAAGCTGAAACTCACTTGAAAGATTTCTGGGGTAGTGTAGATTCTAAATTGTTCAAATCATGGCCCCCATGGCTAGGGTGGGCCCAGAATAGGGAGTCAGATTTTTACATTGAAACATATAGGAAAAATCTTTAAAAATCTTCTTCTCAAGAACCACTGGGCCAAAAAAGCTTACACTTATGTGGAAGCTTCCTGAGGTAGTGTAGATTTTAAATTGTTCAAATCATAGCCCTCCAGAGTAGGGTGGGGCCACAATAGGGAATCAAAGTTTTACATTGAAATAGAGAGGAAAAATCTTTAAAATTTTTTTTCTCAAGAACCACTGGGCCAGAAAAGCTGAAATTTATATGGAAGATTCCTGAGATAGTGCAGATTCTAAATTATTCAAATTATGACCCCCAGGGGTAGGATGGGGCCATAGTAAGTGTTACAAGTGGGAAAATTTGATGAAGAACAGAAGAGCTAAAGTTACTCAGGTGAGTGTTCTGGCCCATGGGCCTCTTGTTTATTTTAACTTTAATTAACTGAAGTATACTTTACTAGTATATAAAAACATTTCACTACTTTTTGTCCCTGCAGATTTTTCTTTAACGCAGTGGATGGCATCCCATTCCATCGATCGAGTAGAAAACATCAAATCTTCACAAGCTAGTGAATTGTTGCTGGAACTTGGACTAGACCATTTCTTGTCAGCTCCAGAAAAATGTACATTGTCAGATGGTATTTATGGATCAGTTGAAATAAATGGATGGAACAGTGGTATATTATCTTTCTCAGTAATTCTGATTTATACAATATCTCAGTATCAATTCTATTATAATTGTTTTCATGTGTTCTCGAGTATTTCATTACTGTATATGACTTAAAATGGCCATAATAATCTTGATAATGTCTGTTTTTTTGTGACATAGACATTGTAGATAAGTAAAACTTGTTTATGAGGAGGTACATTATATTCATTGTTAATTACTTTTGATTACAATTTTAGAGTGCATGATGTTTCCCAATGACACTTTAACCAACATCACAGACACAGTACGCTGTCATGTGCCGTCCTCCTGTGATAGGGTTATGTGTTGTGTGTACATACAGCCTGTACAGAGACATGTACAGATGGAGCTCATCATAGATACATGTACCTATGACATGGAAGGAGTCATTGATAATCTTAAAGTACCATACAGCATTTTCAACCGAGACTGGGGTAGGATGCTTCTTCATTGTACTCACTATATAAACTTAAGTTAGAAAATGGGGGAGGGGGATAATTGAATGTTTAACTGTTAGATAAGTATTACAATTTTCAAAATTCTGTTTACAGGTAAAAGGGAAGAAATTGGCATTCATGGTGTTGTCAGGTGGAGGTAAGTTATGGATCCATATTGATCAATTTAAAAATATTACAAGTGTATGTTTAACGGTATTAATTACAAGTGTACATTTATAGACTTTTAGACACTATGTAAATGACAATATCTCTACAATTATAGTTACCATGTGACTCCTGTTGGACCTATGAAGAAGTTTAAAGTGGATGGAGAAGTGAGACTTTGTTTTGAAAAGGGTCTCTGTGATACAAATCTGACTTTCACAGACCTACCCCTCCACTATCAAACATGTAATAGAACTGATGGAGAAATGCCATTCCAAGGTATATGTGTTTTTCTTTCCCCCCTAAGAATCCTCTTTTTCAGTTTATTTATATTCTAGGAACTTTTTACCTTTATTTCTAAATATATATTTTTATAGGTGTAAGTTATGATTTCTGGAGAGAAACACAATGTACAGCGACAGCTTTTGACCCAGCAGGTATGACAAAATCCAAAGTTTTGAAACAAGGAACAAAATAACAAGGAGATAAATCATATGAATTAATTTCAAAATGTGTATTTTAATATTCAGAGTATGTGTAGAAAAACACAAACATGCTTTAATATAATGAATTCACCCTTATAGCAAAATTTTAAAATATATTATGAACTCAATGGATCTGATACATGTATATAGCAAATTATATTTATAATGAATCAAAATTGATCGTTAATGGCACTTTGCTAAAATGTGGTATGGCAACACCCAATAAAGGGAAAAAATATTGAAAATATTAAGTAAAAATGTTAAGGAAAGTTAATGCAACTAACAACCTGTGAACAAGATTCATTGTAATTATAAAGCATGTGGACCAAGAACAGTTGAGAATGTAGCATCCGATGGCCAAAGTCACTGTAAATACCTCCCAGAATGTAATGGAATAGAGTGCTGTTTTGACAATGCCTTTTACCTGGGAAATAGAAGTGTTTACTTCATGCTGAAAATGGATTGTACAAATCTGGAGTTCCACTTAGAATCAAAGAAAATTATCAAATCACTAACAGCACTGAGTGATGGTGAGAACATTAATTCAAATGTCAACTCATTTTATCATAAAGTGGAACAGTTTAAACCTATTATACTTGTAAAATTTACTAACATCAATTTCTCTCTCTCTCTCCAGGTTATATGTCATTATTTTTAAGCTTGAAATTTTTATTGATTTATAGGTGTTGAGTATATAGAGAGTATTGGAAATCCACCAAGTTTTCAGTTAAATTACACCACAAAAAATAATGTTCAAAGTTACACTATAACTGCCAAATTAATGGTTGGTGGAGTAATTACTAATCAACAAGGGATAGAGATTTACAACTTATTGGATACCAACTCCAGAATATACAAACCTTCCACTTGCCCAACCAGTTCCTCAAGAAGAAGGAGGAAGAAGAGAATGATAGACATTAATAAGTTAGTTTTAGATACATGTTTAATGTTCAAGCTTTTTAGGTGTATTTGCAAATGTTTGTTAGAATGTACAAATTTTTTAAGCTCACCTGCGCTGAAGGCTCGAGTAAGCTATTCTGAGTGTTTGGTTGTTCTATTTTGTTCTCTTTGTTCTGTTGTCTGTAAACTTTTCACATTTTTGACCTCTTCTTAAGTACCACTGGGCCAGTTTCAACAAAACATGCCACAAAGCATACTTGGGTGAAGGAGATATATAATAAGTTTGTTCACAGGAAGAGCCACATACTCTTTCAAAGGGAAGTATTTAAGAATTTGTAAAAACTTGGTGGCATCTTTAAAAATCTCCTTCTCAAGAACCAGTGGACAAGAAAAGATGAAACTTGTGTGAAAGCAACATTACATACTCTAGATTCAAGTTTGTTCATATCATAACCCCCGGGAGTAGGGAAATGTCTCTAAAAATCTTATTCTCAAGAACAGGAAAACCATGATTAGTAATATTATTATAAAAGTATCCTCAGGTAGTGTAGATTCAAGTTTGATCAGAACATGACCCCTAGGGGTAGGGTGCAGACACAATAGGGGGTCAAAGTTTACCATAGGAATATATAGGAAATGTCTTTAAAAATCTTCTACTCAAGAACAGCTAAGCCATTATTAGTTATTTATACAGAAGTATCTTCAGGTAGTGTAGATTCAAGTTTGTTCAAATCATGGTCCCCAGGGGTAGGGCGGGGCCACAAAAGTGCTTCAAAGTTTGGGAATATAAAGGAAATATCTTTAAAAATCTTATTTTTAAGAACAAGGAAGCCATTATTAAACATATTTATACAGAAGCAATCTTAGTTATTGTAGAATCAAGTTCAGTCAAATTGTGGGGTTGTGGGGCAAAACAGTGGGTCAAAGTTTTACGTAAGAATTCTTCGATCTGCTCAAGAACAGCAAGTTCATGATTAGTCATATTATTATAGAAGCATCTTCGGGTAGTGTAGACTAATTTAAGGTGGGTATGGTGTGGCCCAAATGAGCGATCAGAATTTTACATTTAAATACACAGGGAAAAAAAATCTTAAGAATCCCCCCCATAAACTTTTCAATACTGAACTGACGTCTGCTTTTTTCCTAGCCAATGCTCAAGTGAGTGATGTGGCCCATGGGCTCTTGTTTTATTCCACTGTGGTAATTGTAGACTTGACCCGGCAAAATTCACAGAAGGGTTGAGGACACTGATAGAAACTAAAGCCTCCAATGAACAGATTGAGAGATTTACAAAGATGGTCCAGAGCCATAATGTGAGTAAATTTGACAACTATTTGAACTGTTGTAAAGATTCTCTTTTAGTAACACCTAAAGAGTATTATCAGAGAGCATTTACTCACATACAAAATGCATGTACAGTGTATGTAAGAATGGGCAAATGGTGTTTTTTGTATTATCTTTGGCCATTCCTTCTTCCTGTTCTTCCAACTGTTCCATTTACATTAAGCTAAGCTGTTTTTTAAAAAGAAGCTATTTAAGATATTTTCATCAACCTGTTCACATCTAATAGTGACTAACAATCCCTTCACTATGAGAAAATTCTTAATGGTTTTAGGATTCAGAACCCAGAATTGGCTTATTTTATCAGACAAACTATGAAAATGATTTTACTGAGCATGAACTACTGTCCAATATTTCGAAATTCATGGATCCCAGTGTCTAGAATTGGGCTTCAGAGTAGAAATGAGTTTTTTAAATATTGAAATTTATAGTTTCTTTAATAATACTTTGCCTTATTTTCTTGGCATTGGGCAGACAAACTGTTATTTTCAATGATAATATTCTTCTTATAAGAGTTAAAACAAATTCATGTCCCTGTGTAAGGGTTTTGCTCTAGATGTAAAGAATCTTTGTCAAATTTTCATGCCAGTCTTCAAATCTACAATTACACCCCAATGCATGTACCTTTCAAATGAAATTACTGTGATATGTGATTGACTGTATGAATTATATGACTGTATTATCTGCCTGTCCGTCACAGAGTCAACATTTAAAAATGGAGGGAAAAATAAATAATTCTTCACATTTAACAATAAAATAAAGTTTTAGTTTCCTATCTGTGATATACAAGCATGAAAACCTCACAATTCATGAAAAGCATATTTTTTCCAGCAAGAATTGAAACTGAAGAACCTGGCTGTTGCATTCCTTGATAACAATGATGTCAAAACAGGTATGAAGTCAGCTATAAAGGCTTTAGGAGCCAACAATCCATTCACTATACAGACTGCAGGGGAAGTCTCTACTACAGTGGCAGTACAAGGAGGTATGAAAAACCTCTGTTTTATGGCATATTTAGGGTATTTTTCATTATTTAGTTTACCTTATAAAGCATATTTCATTTCTTTTATGAAGATAACTCATATAACTCATGTATAAGTTTAATTCACCAAAATTAATTTATTATTATTACAGGTGATGCCATTGGAGACATGCTGGGCAGTGCAGTGGCTGACATTGCAGGTCGTGCTAAGCAAGCTTTTGTTGTTGGCAATGGTCTTTCAAAGGAAGGAACTAGACTTCTTGGAAAAAAGTTAGCTTGTATGACAATAGGAGACCTGGAATCATTGCTTGATCTTAAAAACATTGACCCAGTCAAAGTGGCTGAACTTCTGAAGAATATTGGTGATTTAGCAAAGGCATTGGTTAGTGTTCTTACAAATTTAATGACTTAAGTTTATACTTTTCATTGTGCATAATATGAAAAAAAAATGTTATATGCATCTCCAAATATAATTCTGGAAATCAGGAACAATTTGACCTCACCAAATGTTTCATGTATGTTTAGCTGTACATTTAAAGGAATACCTAACTCTCTTCCGTTTTGTAATAGCACGAGGAATTAAAATGAAGTAGTTATGAGAGTAAATGTAGTGAATATGAAAAAGTTATTAGTCTGTATGGTATATGAAAATGAAACATTTAATTGATGCAGTACATTTTTTTTCAGTATTCTGAATTTCTGGATAGTGTATTGACAAATGGAGCCAACATCTTCAAGAGCTTTGATTTTAAATTGGAGGGAGATTTCAGCCTACCTAGAACAACTATTAATTTCTTTCATATTGATAAGTTTTTCCTCATTGGTGGATTGGTACCCATGACCTTTGGTAAGCAGAAAACTCAGTCATGCTTTAATGTTTGAACATTTTCAGTTTCCTTCTAGAACCACTGAACTAATTTCAACCAATTTTGGCATATGGCATCTATGAGTGGATGGAAACAAATTTTGTCAATTTCATTGTCCCAGTCTCCTGGCCCCAGGATCATCTTAAGAACATCTTAAGCTTAAGTCAAAATCTTTATTTTATACTAAAATATAGTAGAAGTCAAGCAGACCAAAATTAAAATATTTTTCAATATTGCTTCACAAAAGTGTTGTTTTCTGCAAATTTAGAAATCAATTCAATAATAAATAAACATTTTATAACCGATTGAAAATTTGACTTTAGTCTAAGTCTGTTTCATGATCCTGGGGCCTGGAGTCTAAGGGGTGGGATTAAAACCATCAAAATTAATGCAATCTTTAAAAATCTTCCTCTTTACTCCTGGACATCAAGCAGTTCAACTGTTGGCATGATTATAATAAGCCCTATACCAAAATTATGAAATTCATGGCCTCAGGGTCAAGTGTTCTTGGGGTAAGGTGGGGCTCTATTGATCATATAGTGAAAATGCATACATTCTTAAAAAGGTTCTTCTTTTCCCCATGCAATGTGAACTAAGTGCATGGGTATTATGAGCAACAGTGCCACTTCCAAAATTGTGAAATTCATGGTCCCTGGTCAAGGGTTTTGGTGTTAGTGTGGGGCTCTATTAATCATATAGTGAAAATTTATTATTTCTTCGAAAATCTTACTCCCTGCTCTAGTCCTATTGATCAAATAGTAAAAATGCATAAATTCTTTAAATATTATTTTCTCTGCACTTGAGTATTCAGCAAACAAACTAAGTGCATGATTATGATGTACGAGGGTGCCTCTTCCAACATTGTGAAATTCATGGTCCCTGGAATCAGGGGGTTCTGGTGTAAGGGCAGGGCTCTTTTGATCATATAGTGATAATGCATTTCTTCTTTGAAAGTCTTCCTCTCTTCTCCTTGGTATTTATGAAGCAATCTGACTAAGTGCATGATTATGATGAACAAGGATACCTATTCCAAAATTGTGAAATTCATGGCCTCAGGATCAGGGGTTCTGGTGTTAGGTCGGGGTTCTATTGATCGTATAGTAAAAATGCATAAATTCTTAAAATCTTCTTCTCTGCCCCATGGTATTTTGTAGACAAATTAATTGCATGGTTATGATAAGCAAGGATGCCTCTTTCAAAATTATGAAGTTCTTGGCCCCTGGGTTGAAGGTTCTGGCTGAGGAGTTGGCCCTATTTATTATATAGTGAAAATGCTTTATTTCTTTGAAATCAAACTGCATTTACTGCATTGGACGACTGGGCCAAGTGTTCTTGTGCTGGGCAGGGCTTTATTAATCCTGTAGGGAAATTTATACTCTACTGAGAGAAGTTATTCCCCTTTGCTGTTCACCTATGATAATTAATGATTGTAAGTAATATAATTGATAGCTGAATTGAATAAAAGAATTATATAATTATTAAGAATTTTTAATGTACAGGTAACTCTTGATGGCTCGAACTTCGATCTCTCGAAATTCTTGATCGCTCGAAGTGAGTCTCCGGTCCCGAATTTTCCCCCTATATAACTAAGCAAATTTACTGTTGATTTCTCGAACTCTTGATCTCTCGAAACCCTTGATCCCTCGAAGTCAAAATGCAGTCCCGCTATGCATATTCTATTAGATTTTACCCTCGATAGCTCGAAGTGGCTACGTGTATACAAGGTTATATAATTAGCACCTTTACCTGGACATTTAAATGGCCCCAGGCAGAAGACGCGGGTCTCGAGGAACGGGATGTTTATTCAGGTGACACTTATGCTGCAAGGTGATAATTGATTTATAATTAATCATTTTTGCCTATATGCTATTAAAATAATTATCATCGACTGTCTTACGATGATTCAGAGACGGAATGTCAGTGAAAAGTAGTAATTGATTACAAGACGAAACACTAATTTAATTTTTATTTCGAGTCAGTGTCAAAGTTAAACGAAATATGAAAAAGCATTAACAGCCTCAATGTCAATATGATGACTATTGTTGGACAAATACTTACAGAACTCCGTTCAATGATCATGTTAATATGGAATTTATAGTCAATGCTACATGTATGTATGGCGACGCGGTAAAATGTCGTTTTCATGTAACGAATACGTAGTATGATGTCCATATTACAAAGATTAAATAAATATACATGAAATGATGATTTACATTTTTTGCTTTACTCAGTTTAATGAAATATTCACCTAAATTACGAAAAAATATCGTTGTTTTATATAAACCACGTGTAAAAGGTTAGCACTGCATGAAAATCATTACATCCGGTAAGACTAATTTTAAAACCTGTCAACAAACTCGGAAAATTCCGGACTCTTGAAAACTCGAACTCTTGTTCTCTCGAAGTTTTTCCTCGGTCCCGGGGACTTCGAGGTATCGAGAGTTACCTGTATAATACAAAAATTCCTTTCTTTATTTTCAATGGTCATGTAGACATGTAAATATACATGACTATGACAAATATTTTTTTTTTTTAAATAAGCTCAAATCTTGCTTATATCTGAAATTGGGGGTTTAAACCTCTGATTCATCCTTTGTATTTAAGTCAAATTAAAGTTTTGCATATTTGGTACACTGTAGACTTGCTCAACATCAATATTTCAGCAATGAAGATTAAAATAAAATATACAAGCCACAGCTAGACCCCAACATATTATGTAAATTTTATTGATAGGATTTGGATCTGATGCCTACTATGGTGTGAGATTTACTGTTGGTGCCAAGATCATGGAAATGAAGGGGTACGTCAAAGTAGAGCCTTATGGAGGAGTGAGTGCTTATGGGGAGATGGGTATTGGTTTCCTCCTCTATGGTAAACTCAAACTTGTGGGTCAAATCATGGACACAGGATTCCCAACAACTGCTGAGATTACATTCAACAAATTTCCTCTGGATGTCAAGTAAGATTTGTTTTCTGAAAACTTTATATTTTGTGCTTATGTTTCAAAATTAAAACAAACATGAGAGAATGGAAATCTACAAAAACTTTGAAAGCACTTTTCATTGAAAAACCTTCATTATTACAATTCAGTCTTCAAATGTACCTGAGACTTACTCCAATTAAGCTGGCACTGTATGCACAAGTTACCTTAGAGGTGAACCTTTTGTTTACAACAATTAAGAAAGTTCTGTTCCAAAAGAAGCTGTGGCATTATGAAACCCCAACCATAAAGAAAAAACTAATTGATACCCACAAGCCAGAGGAAGACAAAACACCACCAACGATCAAATCAGTAAGAACACTCAGTCATTTAGAGTTTTAAGAGCAAGGGTTTCAACACATATTAAAGAGCAAGTTTATGCAGCACATCTTTAAAAAAATTATCATATGGAAGGAGTTGAGAAAATGGTTAATTCTTTATGACAGAATAAATCTGTTTTCAATGTTTACGATACTTAACTGTAGGGACAGTGTGAGAAGATGTACCTGTATCTTGTAATGATTTACAATTTGCACTTGATAATTATCGGTATGATGAAAAATGGGACATATTTCAATTTAAGTGAAAAATATGGCTGTTTGATATATGTTTCAAAAGAATGAATGAATTTTGTCATATCAATTGATAATTATCAAATTTTAAATTAAAACTTTATTCAAACAATAGCCCCTAGGAAGTCCTCCAGGATCAGGTGGGGCATGTGATGTTGTCCAGTCTCCAGGTCGTGACTACACTGAGCCGGAGTTCAGACTGAGGCTGGATGCAGAGGATGACCGTAGTAATGTGATCCTGACACTCGACATAGGGACTGTCCCTGGGGGGAATGATGTTATCCATAAAAAAGAACTGGGAGGATTTTCTACTGCTTTGACAGAAGTGGGTATTAGAGAAAATTGAAAAAACTTTTTACCATGGATATGTTGAAGAGAGTTCCCAGTAATTTTTCTTCATGCATTTGAACCTCGATATCTTGAAACATCAGATATTTCTAACTTTTTTCTCAGTCCCATCTAATTCGAGATAACAGGTTTGACTGTACTTGTTTTTCGGTTACAGAGTATAGGAGTGACACTTGTTAGATTGATTCTAGAATATAAATTTATTTGTAACAGGTTCTCAACCCTTCTGGAGTTCCTCTGTATTTCACTGTACATGTGGCCAATGAAGCCGGTGTGAGTGTACCTGCCACCTGTAAGTTAGAGACTTTTGACATGACCATTCCTGGAGGGAGAATGTCAGAAGCTTTTAGATCAACTAGTAACTCACGGGTGATGAAGGGACTGGTAACTGTGTATGAGGACTCCCCCATTACTGAGGTTTTAGTGGCTGTGGGGTATGGCAGAGATATCTGGGGAGAGCAGATTGTCAGATGGAATAAAACCAGTATTGCAGCAAATACTGTCAACTATGATGTCGGTTAGTATTTATATAAAAGAAATTTAAGGGCCCTTCAAGAATTTGTGGGTGTTTTATAAAATTTGGTTTTTATCTGTCCATCTGTCTGATTTTTCTCTTGCTGTTACTTTTTATTTGATTGTCATATAGTATTCCAATTTGGAGTAAAAGCACTTAAAAGCAGGTAGTATTTTGATGCCTAACTAAATTCTCCATTTCATCCTAATAGGGGCTGGGGCACTGAGATAGATTTTTAATTTTTAGATCACCTCAACGAAGTTGGGGGAGCTTATGTAATACCCTCGGTGTCAGCGTCCCAGGTTAAGGTTTTTGGAGCAGTTTTCTTTTCAAGTACTTCTATGGCCTATATTAGTCAGAGATGCATGGAGGATGCTTCTAGTGTGTTTCGTTGTACCAGTCAAGGTTTCAGATGCTGCAATTTCAGCTAAAGAATGACCAGGTTAATGTTTTTGGAGCAGGTTAAAGTTTTTGGAGCAGGTTAAAGTTTTTGGAGCAGGTCTCATTTCCAAGTGACGATAAGCCCTATATTGACCAAACTTGCATGGATGATACATCTAAGGATGCACACTACTGAACTTGCATCGGATGCTGGATCTGACCTACATTTTCCGGATGAGTGACTAGGTTAAGGTTTTTTGAGTAGATCTCATTTCCAAGTAACTATAAGCCCTATATTGACCAAATTTGCATGGATGATACATCTAAGGATGCACACTACTGAACTTGCTTCGGATGCCGGATCTGACCTACATTTTCCAGATGAGTGACTAGGTTAAGGTTTTTGGAGCAGATCTCATTTCCAAGTAACTATAAACCCTATATTGACCAAACTTGCATGGATTATACATCTAAGGATGCACACTACTGGACTTGCTTCGGATGCTGAATCTGACCTATATTTTCCGGATGAGTGATCAGGTTAAAGTTTTTGGAGCAGATCTCATTTCCAAGTAACTAAAAGCCCTATATTGACCAAACTTGCATGGATGATACATCTAAGGATGCACACTACTGGACTTGCTTCGGATGCTGAATCTGACCTATATTTTCTGGATGAGTGACCAGGTTAAAGTTTTTGGAGCAGATGTCATTTCCAAGTAACTATAAGCCCTATATTGACCAAACTTGCATGGATGATACATCTAAGGATGTACACTACTGGACTTGCTTCGGATACCGGATCTGACCTATATTTTCCAGATGAGTAACCAGGTTAAAGTTTTTGGAGCAGATGTCATTTCCAAGTAACTATAAACCCTATATTGACCAAACTTGCATGGGTGATACATCTAAGGATTCACACTACTGGACTTGCTTCGGATGCTGGATCTGACCTACATTTTCTGGATGAGTAACCAGATTAAAGTTTTTGGAGCAGATCTCATTTCCAAGTAACTATAAGGCCTATCTGAACCAAATTTGCATGGATGATGCATCAAGGGACAAACAATCTCAAAACTTGCTGGATTTGCCTTACATTTTCTGGATGTGTGACTAGTTTTAAGTTCTCAGATAAGTCTATTCCCAAGTAACTGCAAGCCCTATCAGACCAAAATTGCATAAATGTTGCATCTTGGGATGCACAGTCCTAGATTATTAGTTTAGTGTGGGACTTTGCCTTACTTAAAGACAACATTCGTTGAGGTGAGCTCTGTAATCTCTGATTACCTATGTTTTAGAATGAGGAAAGATAAAAAATGTTCTATGACTAATTAAAAAGGACTGGTAATGTGGTTACTATTATTATAGTATATAGTGCAACATTTCTCTATTTTCTCTAAAAAGAAAAAAAAAGAAAAAATTCACATAAAAATATGAACAGCTTGTATTGTCTGTTAGTGGTGAAATCAGTTTCAAACGTGATACTTTAAAAATTCAGAGTATAAAATGTTTGTGTTTGAGCCTCATTTCTCCAAGTGATGTCTGTTCTGAAGTTTGATTGCCTAGATGATGTTTTGCATTTACTAAATATTGGCCTTGTATAAATTAAATATGAAACTGCTATTTTAATGGTACTTTACAGGGGATGACCCAATGAATGAGAAAGTCATGAATGTTTTCTCGACTGGTAAATCTGGTCGACTGACTGGCAGAGGGATTTTATATAAACAGTATGATGATATATCTACTCCTGGACAGTGTGCAGCATACTGCAATCACATGCATGTAACAAAGTGTCTCAGCTTCAATTACGACTTTGGAAGTGGTCACTGTGAGTTACTGGAGGCTATAGAAGGGCATGATTTCAAGTTATCAAAGGTAAAATGAAATGAAGACCTAAATATTTTTCATGAAATTGTAAATTTAGTTTCATTTGTTTTTAATTATCAGTTTAAAATTTAACTTTTGAAAGTTTTTTAGGTCACTTGATACACTCAGGTGACCTGTTGCTATCTGTTTTTGGCAGTTGTGGTGTGTTGTGTGTTTGTTGTAAATTTTTTAACATTTTCAGCTTTTTCTGTAGAACCACTGAATCAGATTCAACCAATTTTAGTAATAGCATCATTGGATAAAGAGGAAAAGAAATTATGGTTTTTGCCCCCTCCCCACCTGAAATCATCAAAATTAAAGCAATCTTCAAAAACATTCTTCTTTACTCGTGGATATTAAGCAGTCAAACTGTTGGCATTGTAATTAGCATTGAGCCCTCTACCAAAACTCTGAAATTCATGGCCCTGGAGTCAGGGTTTCTGGAAATACAGTGGGACTCTATTGATTCTATAGTAAAATTTCTTAAATTCTTTCAAAAGCTTCTTCTTTCCTCCTGTATAATGAGCAGACAAACAAAATGCAGAATTATGATGAGCAATGGTAGCCTCTTCCAAAGTTGTGAAATTCATTGCCCCTAGCCTGTGTCAGGGGTTCTGGTGTTAGGGTGGGGCTCTATTAATTGCATTGTGAAAAATTCATAAATTATTTGAAAATCATCTTTTCTGCTCCTGTATAATGAGCAGAAAAACTAAGTACATGGTCATGATGAGCAAGGGTGTCTCTTCCAAAATTATAAATTCATGACCCCTGGGTGAGGGGTTCTGGTGTTAGGGTGAGGCTCTATTGATTATATAATGAAAATGCATTAATTCTTTATCTTCCTCTCTGCTCTTCAGTATTTAGCAAACGAACTTGGTGCATGCTTATGATGAGCAATGGTGACTCTTCCAAAATTGTGAAATGCATGGTCCCTGGGTCAGGGGTTCTGGTGTTAGAATGGGGCTGTATGATTATGTTTTGAAATTAAATAATTCCTTGACAATCTTCTCTGTCCCTGGTAATAGCAAACATACAAATTACATAGTAATAATGGGCAAGGGTGCCTTTTCCTAAATTGTGAAATTCATAGCCCCAGAGTTAGGAGTTTTAGAGATAGGATAGGGCTCTATTGATTTTATAGTGGAAATGCATCAAGTCTTTGAGAATCTTCTTCTCTGCTCCTGTGCATCTAGGAGAGAGAGTACAAAGACATGATGAGCAAAATTTTGATATATCTATGAGAGTATATATAGAACCTTTGGATTTGTAAAAGATTTTGACCACTGGGTTGAGGGTTCTGGTGCTAGGCAAGATTCTTTTGATCTAATAGGGAAACTGATACACTTTTTTGAGAGAAGTTATTCCCTTTTGTTATTCACCTATGATAATTAATTACTATAAATAATGTAATTGTCTGGTCAATTGAATAAAAGACTTATTGAAGAATTTTAATGTATAAATAGAAAAAGACTTAGTACTTTTATAGCTTTCAAAGGTCAGGTTCACTTGTAAATAATAGAAAAATAAAAATGATAATAAAATACTGTATGTTATTACATAAAATGTTATTCAAAGACAAAGAGGGACCAAAGTGAGAGGGATTGTGCTGGGTGTATAATGTATAAACTGTTTTCTTGCTCAAGCACTACAGTACTGTGTTGTTTAACCTGATAACAAATGTGGGTGTATTAGCACTGGCAAGCACAGATAAGTAAAAAGATCTATTGTGTGAGTTGTTGCTGAGTAATAGACTATTTTGTTGATCTGTGATCATCCTATTTCTTTTGTTTTGGGGAAACATATCAATATCTATCAGTGTATTTTGTGTTATTATATACCTGTACTTCTTTGGATCCTTTACGGTGTTGTATTCTACTCAGGTGACAGTTTAGGCCCCTGGACCTCTTGTTTAAGTGTAATTAAGATTTATTTTTACTTCAGGATGGTCTTTACACACATTATGAAAAACTTGGAGTTGGATCAAACAGACAATTTGAATTTAACAACTTAAGGCTGCCACATAATAAGATTTTCTACTTCAATGTTAAAGTAAAAAATGCACTAGGATTTCAGAATATTTTGTCATCAAAATCAATCATCACTGATTTCACACCCCCTGATCCTACAATATGTAAGTACAAATACATGTAGTTGATAAATCCTCTTAATTATACATTCTATAGTCATATTCAGCCTGTGTTCTTAGTATGTCAGAGGTTTTACAAGGTGTACAGCATGTTTTATCCTTTCTTTCTTGTAACAGACCAGATAAACATCACTAGTGACGTATTAGAGGTCTCACCATGTCTGGACCTCATTCCTAATGACAGACAAGACTGGGAGAGACACTGTGTGGGAGTAGATCCCACCAGAAAGAACCACCGCATCATCATAGATGGAGGGGGATCAGACACTGTATACAATGGACACGAGTTCAAGACAGACTTAAAGTACACCAGAGCCAACCGATACATATCTGGTAAAACTCTCACTAAACTTGAAAGACTAATGATTTATTTATACATTTTAAGAACTTATTAATACAGGACAAGCAGTTTGCTGAGTAGACTTCATGCCTTTTATATTTTGTAGATAGCATAAACATTTGTTTGATTGATATTGGTCAACATTTTATTAAGCTTGCTGTAGTTGGTAACTGGAATGGTTACACTTGCATCAAGGACAAAAATTTTATTTATGCTTAACAACATATCTTTTTGGTGTTTTTGATGGTTTAAGATAACCAGACAAGAAATTTTGTAATTTACATTCAGTTTGCTTACCACTTTTTCAGCTAACTGGGATGGTATCTATGACAATGAGACAGGATTGCTTGGTTACTCTGTGACAGCTGGAGAGAAAATTTGTGAAGAGAAAATCAAGGCCCATCATGACCCCCACGCTCATCTGTTTGATGAATCACAGTGGACAAACAGTGTGATGATGACTCCATTGGAAGCTCCTTATACCATTCTGCCAGGTTAATCTTTGGGATTTTTGATGTGTTTTTCTATATACATGTATCTACAGTTCAACCTCGTTATCTCAAACTCAATGGGACTGAGATAAAACTTTGAGATATCCTAGGATTCCAGATCTCCAGGGTAAAATACTTCAGTAATAGGGAATTGGGACCTCATATCCATGGTATTCAAGATATTGATGTTTGAGATACCAAAGTTCAACTCTATATAATGTTATGGATAACCTTTAAAAGCCAAGAGAAAAAGAGCTATTCATTTACTGCTTAAAGAAAAATCTGAAAAAAATGAAAAACACATTTATTCAAAATTTGTTATTGCAAAGTAGTTGTGTACGATATGACATGATTTTATAGAGAGAATATTAAGAAATAAAGTAAATGCAGTAATTGGTTTCTACCTAATGAAGAAAGATGGCATAAATCTTGGTTTTCATTTTTTTCTATTTATCCATCATTACATATTATTCTTGTACATGTCCTAACTCCTGCAGTCATTAAATGATTTTAGATGGGCCATATTTCATCACTGTAAGAGCTATTAACAAAGTGGAATATGGAGGCTCTTTGGCCTCCAGTTTTTGTCACTCCACTCCATACATCGTGGATAACACACCTCCATTTGTGTATGAAATCTATAACATAAAATATGAGGAGGACCAGTTTAATCTGAGCATGTCACACAATTCATCGTAAGTAATTTGTATGTACATCTATATAAATTTATCATATTTACTACAATGATTGATACTGAAAGCAGTATCTGAGCATCAGATTTTCTTTTTTTCAGGGATCCAGACTCTGGTCTGATTAGAAATGATCTGTGCCTTGGAAGAACTAGAAGAGATTGTGATGAAATGTTGTGGACCACCATAGATTTTAATCCCAACATCACCATGTTAAAGAAACTGACAGAAGGGGTTCCTGTATGGATTAAAATCAAAGCTGTCAACAATGGTATGTCAGTGTTTTGTATGATTGTTAATAAATTTAAATTGATTACAATGTATATTTGACATCCACATTGCATATTGCTACAAATTTTGGAGATGCATACAAATTTTAAATAAAGGGATGAATTTCTGAGTAACTGTAACTTTTGAAATCCTTGTTTAATTGATATGTTCTTTATGATTTAAGTTGACCTGAGGACAATAGGTGTGTCAGATTCTGCCATCATAGTGGACCGATCTCCTCCTATAGCTGGTACAGTAAAGGATGGAGAGGTTTATAAAGTGGATCTACAGTATACAAAGTACCCAGATAAGGTAATTAAAGTGGATCTACAGTATACCATGTACCCAGATAAGGTAATTAAAGTGGATCTACAGTATACCATGGACCCAGATAAGGTAATTAAAGTGGATCTGCAGAATACCATGTACCCAGATAAGGTAATTAAAGTGGATCTACAGTATACCATGTAGCCAGATAAGGTAATTAAAGTGGATCTACAGAATACCATGTAGCCAGATAAGGTAATTAAAGTGGATCTACAGTATACCATGTACCCAGATGAGGTAATTAAAGTGGATCTACAGTATGCCATGTACCCAGATAAGGCAGTTAAAGTGGAACTACAGTATGCCATGTACCCAGACAAGGTAGTTAAAGTGGATCTGCAGTATGCCATGTACCCAGATAAGGTAGTTAAAGTGGAACTACAGTATGCCATGTACCCAGATAAGGTAATTAAAGACTACAAATAAGATTGCTAAAATGGACTATTTCAAAAAGTTCACTTTTACTTTACATTTCATCATTTTGAACATAAGAGGTGATTTCTAATGACTCAATTTAATAAGAGAATTGAAAATAACTTTTTTACCATCTTTTTTTTTTTAAGATTTGCAGTAATTGGCAGGGCTTCTATGACCCTCAGTCAGGTATAGCTATGTATATGATCAGTGTGGGATCATCTCCAAACACAACAGATGTAGCTAACCTGACACAGTTCTCTAGTAAAACTCACTACGCTTGTGTGGAGCTGGAACCAGGCAAATACTTGGAGCATAATCGACAGTACTTCTCTAAAGTGTATGCTTTCAATGGTGGTCACAGACAGCTCAATGTCTCCATGGTCTCTGATGGAGGTAGGTTCCCCTAGTGGTATGGCACAGTTGACCCCAAAAATGGTTAAATGGGTAAATTGGCTTTTGGAACAAAAATATTAGAATACAAAACAATTTCTTTAGGTAAAAAAAATTTGACAGTTTTTGTTCACAGACATTCCCACTAGTTTTTGTTTTTCTATACAGTGTTGGTGGATTTGACGGAGCCAGTAGCGGGAGAAGTGGTGGACGGGTCAGCTGATGACTTTACTGACCTACAGTTTACAACAAGCCAGGCTAAAGTGGAACTTCAGTGGAGAAATTACTATGATCCAGAGTCCAACATCAGTCACTATGAGGTCAAAGTTTACAGAGCCAAGTGAGTTCACATAAAGTGTTCATTTTGACTCATCATGTACTTACAATCTATCATTACTTTATTTTAGATAGCATTTTATGAATTGCAGCTTTATCTATACTTTAAAAAATTTAATTATTTGAAATAAATTGAACTTTTTTTACTTGTCAGAAATATGACCTATGAGTATGAGCCTATCCAAGATTGGGCCCCATTCCCCAGCACAGCCAACAGTGTGAAGTGGTTAAAGTTCCACCATAGTCATGGGGATAGAATTCAGACCTCTCTTCGCACCACCAACAAAGCTCTCAACTTAATTATCAACACCACTAACAGTTTTGTGGTTGACATAACACCTCCATATCTGCATTATCTATGGGATGGTCTCCAGTCTAAAGATCAGGAATTCCAAGTAGGTTTATATTATATTATATTATATTTTATGCTAAGATTTTTTTTTCATTGCATTAGATTGCATTAAATTTTATTCTTCTTAATTGTATAAAGAATAATATCTTAAATGAAAAATAAATTGGTTGAATTCAAATTACTGAATATACTCACCTATAAGTGATCCTCTTATAAGTTTGTTGAATTTTTCAAGGTAATTTTGGAGGCATTTGTCATTGACCTTTTTATAAGTCGGTACAACTTTATGACAGAATCAATTTCAGATCAATGCTCTAATGCTTTTACTTGTCTTTCAAATAATATTTAGGGAAATGACACCAATATTCAATCTTTTATTCTTAACAAGTCAATTTCATATCAATACTATAATGTATTTATCTGTGTTCAAATAATAATAATTTGGGATATGATCGTTATTTAACATTTTTAATCTCGACAAATCAAGGCAACCATTTAGTTTATTTCATCAATGTTTTTGTTGAAGAATAATATCCCTTATCCCTAGAATTTGCCATCCAGAAAAAAACCCAATAATTCTAGGACTTCTCTATCTATAAGTTGAACATAAGAGTTTTAGACTAAAGTCTAACTCACAAAAGTCTGACTTACAGGTGAGTACATTAGATATTTATTTTCATGTTTGCAGTCAGCAACAGACCAGCTTTCAGTCAGCTTCAAGTATTCAGACAAGGAATCTGGTGTTGATCACATCAAAGTACAGATCTTTGAAGTTTCTGGTGGTACAAGATCACAAAAATACCCAGGTTTGCTTTCAAGTCTTTTGAAAAACCATAAACTATAGACTGGAAATATACACTGCATTATATTTCTTGTCTAGTTTTCCTTTCATGTCTGTAGAGTTGGATATTTTGATACAGTGCTAAGTTTTGAGAAATAAAACTTGATTGCAAAAAATTAATTACTATGATAAGGTGTAAATATTCTCATGTCTTGCAATATTCAATTCTGCTAAAGATATTTTTAAAAAATGAACGTTCATGACATACCTTTTATTTTGCTGAAATCATATTAAATTTTGCATCCTGCAGTATAGGCAGCTATATGGTACATGTATGAAGCACTGATTACCTAGCTTAGTTGCTACATGTAGTAATCAAATTTCAGCTATTAAAAATGACTGGAAAAATTTAAGTGATGCTTCACCAACCAGCCACACATGGTCAGGACTATCCTTAAAGGAGGGTGCTAGGTACAGTCTGAGGGTGGGAGCTGTCAATCATGCTGGCTTCCTCGCTGCATTTGAAACCAACGGAGTTGTCATCGACACATCTCCTCCTATGGTAATACTAGAATTGTTCTTACAGATTCTTTTTAACAAGTCTAATATTTCATGAAATCTGATATGAGATGGATTTTATGTAATCTATGTTAGGTGATGTGGTTAAGAGTTGGAGTGACAGGGACCTCCAAAGAACACAGAGTAGATGGATATGTATGGGTGTCAGATAAGAAGGGTATCCAGGCCTCCTGGCTCTGTAGGGATCATGAATCAGGTGTGACAGAGTATTTGGTGGCTGTAGGCACATCTCCAGGTACTATTTTTGAAATGCTTTATAAGCTATCACATGGTCAGAAAATGTCAGAAGAAAATACTGTGAATAACTTTTTCTTTGCAAGAACTTTAATTTTGTGCAAGTACGTGAGGTATGGTCTACTTGCAAAAATTTTATTCTCATGTATAATTTTATTAGCATAGGATATAGAGTGCAATAAGTAGTATTTTTGAAAACTTTATCTCCCTTACAAATATCAGATACCTATATTGCAAAAAATAAGGTGACATGAAAATTTGTTGATATACATTAATAAAGTCTCGTTAATGTGGACACCAATAATCTGGTTGATTCACTGTCTTAGATAAAATTTTTGGTGAACAGAATTAATATATACCAAAAATGGAAAAAATTTTCTCAGAAACACAGAGGCTGTGATAAGATGAATCAACAGTTACTTTTCTAGTGCATTTGGTGTTTATGATATCCTTTATTGCTACTGGTGTAACAGAAACATATTAAGGTTAAAATTTTTCATAAAAAAGAAAAATAGAATGAGTGATTTCTTTACTGCTACAGGAGGTGATGATGTTTTGGCTTGGAAGTCTGTTGGAACAGAAAGCAGTCAGTACATAACAGGTTTTACTTTGGAGGTTACAAATCAAACAACTAAAACTCCTACTTATTATTTGTCACTGAAAGCTGGGAATGGAGCAGGTCTGGTCAGTCCAACAGCCACTGTGTCCACTCCTATCATGGTCATGGAGGAGGACAAAGCTGGTAAACTTTAAACTTCTACTCAGTATTTGAATTCTTAAAGAGTAGTTTTTGTCAATGTATGTGCCAAAATAGTGATATTTTTGAAAAATTTATTGTATGTTAAAGCACTGAAGAATTCAGTTTTGAAAAAAAAAATCATATTTTATCAATATTGTAATTAACTAAAGGTTTGGTTGTTGATGGTGCTGACAACATTGATAAGATTGTTGGTGAGGATGCGGTCGTAGACTTTATGTCAGACATGGACTATCAACTGGACACCACTACTGTTACGGTCCAGTTTACTGGATTTGAGAGCACCATGCATGGAGTCATGCAGTTTGAGATGGCTGTTGGTACTGAACCAAATGGAGAGGACATTCTGGCCTTCACAGAGGCAAATATTATCCATCTGGAGGAATTAGATCCTGTAGGAAAAGGTTGTCATGCATTATAACATCAATAAAACTAGAAGATTCATTCATAATTCACTATAACTAGACTGATATTTCAGTTGTTTCAGTAATGAGTAATATTTTCTAGGATTAACAAGTTCTGGGTATGCCCAGATTAATATACCTCTAAAACCTGAGAGAAAATACTACACTACAGTCAGAGGAATTACAAATAATGGAAATGTACTACAAACAAGTTCTGATGGATTTACTGTGGACCAGACCTCTTCTACTATTGACATAGACAGGTAATCCAATGCATCCTATCACAGTATTTGTATTATATCAATTTCTATACATGCTATGTTGTCCTTGAAATAATGAGACATGTCAGTATTAATTTTTATTTGTAGGTTGTCTGGGAAGTCAGCTCAGGAAATGGACATTTCAGATGACAGTTTGGTTTATGAATCAACAGATGATGCTCTGTCAGCCATGTGGCATTACAATGAGACTGAATCTGACGTAGTGAGAGCTTGGTATGCTGTAGGAACTTATCCATTCTCTGATGATCTCAGTCAGAGAAAGGAGGTGGAGATCTCTACCACATTGTCCAGCTATCTAGGAAACAATGAAGTGGAACCAGATATTTTTGGTAGGGTGCCTTAAATAAAAGTATTTCATTAATAATGTTACACGTATGATAACTTAAGATTGTAGGAGATTATTTATTTTACCTTCCAGGAAAACCTAATATCATAAGTGTATGGGCAGAGAACTCTGTTGGACTGGTAAGCCAGAAAGCCACAGGAACAATTGTAATAGATAAGACACCACCAAAGGCTGGCAATGTATCCTGCCCAGCGTACATTCAGGTGAAAAAAGCACTGGTTTGAATGGCTCTTGATGTTTATTTTGTATTGCTTTCAATATTCAGAATTTTTACAACAAATTTTTATATGTTATGGCAGCAATCAGTTCCCATCGTCTGTTCATGGACTGGCTTTGTGGACACAGAATCTCCCATTAAGGAATTCCACATCATTATGGGCACCTCAAAGGGAGATGACTCTGTATTTTCTGGAGGGGTTGTCCCAGGCAATATCCAAACATTTATACTACAAGGTATCTCTGTCATATCCTAATTACAGTTCAAACTGTCTCTTTACTAGTGTTGACATTCATTTACTTGGTTTGAATTTTGATGAGATGTAGAGAATTTTTCCACAGATGCTGGTAAGAAGATGCATCATGGAGAGGAATATTATGTGACGGTGACAGCTATTAATAGTGTGGATATGACCATCAATGCATTCTCCAATGCTGTGGGTTTGGACCTCACTCCACCAAATGCAGGCGTGGTGGTTGATCTAAACTCAGTCTACCGCATAGATTCTTCTAGCACTGAAAACACTGTGTCCATGAATGCAAAGATTTGTCTAACTGACGAAGGTCTGTATTTAGCTGTCAACAGAATACCTCTGGTAAATCATTCATGATATTATAAGTAAAAAATAAAGGTTGCATATGTTACGTCACACAGGCCAGAGATTTAAGTGAGCTTTTCTGGTCAAAGATTGCATGTACACTGTTTATATGTTTGTATGTATGTAAACTTTTTACATTTTGATCTTCTCCAGAACCACTTATACCAAACATAAACAATGCACTTTTAGGTGAAGGAGATTCACATTTTTCATACCCATTTTCAAGGGGAGATAATTAAGAAAAATAGCAAATAAGGTGTGTCAAAAACTACAGGGTTGAAAAGACAAAACTAATGTAAAAATTTCCAACAAGTGTAAACGTATTTGTACAAATAATGCCCCCCTTGGGCTAGGGTGGGGTGGCTGTAAGGGGTCAAAGTTTTACATTGGAATGTAGAGAAGTATACTGCAAATCCAAATTGTTGAAATGGTGGACTTTAGATTGGAAACAACAGTAAGCTGTTTATTTTTCTACTTGTGCATATTAATTTGTCAGTGATAGAATATTGACTCAGATGAGCATTGTAGCCCATGGGCCTCTTGTTTTACATTTGACAGAATGCAGAGCCTTAGATGCTGTTTGTACAGAGTCTCTGACTTCTCTCTCTGTAACATGGATACCATTTACTGACCCAGAGTCCAGTATAGTGGAGTAGGTGAATTTACAGTACTTGTTATCCATTAGTATAAATACATTAACTGTGATTCATTTATTTGTGTCATTGTCAGTTAATTAGTAAATGTTGATTGACAGGAACCAGATAACATTAACTGTGTTTCATTTATTTGTGTCATTGTCAGTTCCTAGTTAATTGGTAAATGTTGATTGACAGGTATCAGATACATTAACTGTGTTTCATTTATTTGTGTCACTGTCAGTTAATTGGTAAATGTTGATTGACAGGTATCAGATAGCTGTGGGTACCTCCCCTGGAGGAGGTCAGATCAAAGCTTTCTACAGCATTCCAGCTGACAGTAAACACCACACAGTCACAGAGCTCAACCTTGATGGATATAGACAGGTCAGTACGGAGCTTTTCTGTGGAGTATGTTTATTATTGTATTTTAATGTATTACATCTACATGAATTAAAACTCTGTTTTACAGGTATTTGTGTCTGTCAAAGGAAAAACTCTGTTTTACAGGTATTTGTGTCTGTCAAAGGAATCAATGGTGCTGGCTTATCAAGTGTTGCTACTTCAAATGGTGTCTACTTGTCCTATCTCAGTCAAGGGAGACCACCCCTGTCACATATTGGAGTCATTGACATGGTCAATGGAGAGCACATTGATGTGTAAATATTTAGCTTACTAACATACCTGTGACAAGACCTTTCCAGATGAATATGGTTTATGACCTTGACCTTAAAGTTTGACCTTCCTTTCAAAAAGTTTAATCTTGGTTGTGGTTTTTGCACCTGAAGAGATTTGTCTTTCATAGTTTACATGTGTATTACCCATGACAAAACCTTTCCTAATACACAATAATTTTTGACCTTATAACATAGACCTCAAAGTTTGATTTTCAAAAACTATAACACTGTATGTAACTTTTGCACCAGATTATATTACATGTACTTCAAAATTTATTGTATAATGTCCAGATAAGCCTGTTACAAGTAAGAAAGATTCCTGCAATGGAGGAATATGGAGGAGAATATACCATTGTAGTCAAGAGATTTTCAAAAATTTCTGGACTATCAGGGTGTATTATTCAACATTTCCTCCAATGTGGGAATTATTTCTTTTCTGCTATGGTGAATATTTTAACTTATTACTTTATATAATATGAATGATGATGTTTATGATTTATTGGAGAATAATGGCTGCAGAATCTCTTTGATAATTTGTGATAACCGTAGTAGAACATGCCATAATTTGCTTGTTGTCATATGATTCTTTTTCTGTACACAGAGATTATCAGACAGACCCCTCTACAATACAAGCCAGCTGGGATGTATCAGGGGATCCTTGTCCTGTTGTAAAGTATGAGTGGGCAATCCGACGACTGGACGGACTGGAAATCTCGCAATATTTAGACATGGGAGGTAAGTCTCATAGGGATAAATGTGATTCGTAAAACTTATTGACCTAACGTATAACCAAGTGTATTAAAAAGTAATGGTCATGGAAAGACAGAGAAACCTTTCAAAATAACCAAAATTTTGTTACTTGTTGCAATTTTTACAGTGAAAACATCTGGTTTAATTGATGGGCTTCAAATGAAAAATAAGGAGACCTACATTAATTTGATCCGAGTCACAAATGCTATAGGATACAAGTATACGCTACGATCAACTGGGGTAACTATTGAAAACACTCCACTACTACCTGGTAAAGTGTATGATGGAGATATTGCAGGATATGACCTAAATTATTTACCCTCTAAAACAAGAGTGTTTGCCAACTGGAATGGATTTGGTCTGCCACCTAATGCCATTGTGCAAGTAGATGTAGAGAGTGGTGAGTTTTAACCATTACCAAAAATATATGAACACTATATATATATATATATATATATATATATATATATATATATATATATATATACATTTCCAAATATTTTTCCTTAAGATTCTTTGCAAATTAGAAGACAGTTCATTTTCTCATGAACTACCATTGATGAGCATGAATATCTCCATTGTTACGTCAGAATACCGTATTTGACATCAAAACTATAGTACAAGCTGTTTTGCTTTAAAAATTACAGTTGAATTGTGGAAAATATAATGTAAATATAAGAAATGAATTTAATTTTTGAAGATTCATGAGGTACATGAAGTACAACGCTTCAGACCGGCATATTCATCATGAAGCGCTAACGCGCTTCATGAAATATGCCGGCGTGAAGCGTCATAGTTCATGACCTCATGAATCTTCAAAAATTAAATTCATTTCTTAATATATATATATATATATATATATATATATATATATATATATATATATATATATATATATAGATATATATATATATATATATATATATATATATATGTATGTATTTTTGCAATATTTAATTCCATTCTTTATCTACGTGTAGGTAATGAAGGACTTCATGTAGACCAGATTGAAGTAGCAGCTCAGGATAGAAGTCAACAAGTGGCCTACTACTTAGTGGCCCTCGGTACAGACAGACGCTTTAATAAAACCAGAGACAATGTGGTACCCTACACTAATGTCGGAACAAATACTACTGTTACATTCTATGACCTAGACCTTACACCAGGTGTCGCTGTCTATTACTTCTCCGTTTATGCTGTTAGTAAATCATTCTCCAAAACACTAGTCACGTCTAATGGATTCTTTGTTGGGTATGATGGAGGTGTCACAGGTAAGCCTTATACTTGGTGGAGGTAGTTTAATATTTTTCCTAACAATCCTCCTCTTTCACAATGTTGGGCACCTTTTCACCTGTTGGTTTGGTTGGTTGGTATGAATTAATTCCCAGACAGTATTTTAGAACCTCATGCTAGATAAATCATCAAATTTTTCACACATGTTGATCTTGATAAGAAAAGATTAATTATTTTGGCCTAAAGAGTCTCATGACCAACAGCTATTTTCTGGTCAAAGGTCAACTGTTATTCTGGAATATCTTCAACATTTTTTTTTTTCCACAAATGTCTGAAAAAAAACCTTGTGTGGTAATCAAACTTCAATCAGAATATGGCTAAAACAAATAGATAATTAAAATGGCATATATTTTTTACAAACTTCTTCCAATTGAAACTTTTTAATTGAATTTTTTTCTTGTCATTTCATACATGTATAGTACAATTGATAAAATGTCTTATTCCTTGAAGCTGGCAACATCACCAGTCCAGGACCATGTGTTGACTCTCTGTTTGAATTAGATGTAAAGTATGAAGGATTCACATCTAAACTGGACATCCTTATGTATTATATTGCAATCTCCAATAATACAGATGCTCAAAACAGCAGTTGCAAAGAATATGTAAGTCATAAAATTATTGATCTTGATTCAACTGAATGAATCCCCCTCTCCCCCAATTTTCATTAAGAAAAATATTTGTCTTGAACAGAATCCCTCCCCTAACAAATAATTAAGTGCATGAAAAAGATTAATTCCTTCATGAACTGTTTTAGATTTCTGGTGGTGGTATGTCTGATGAAGATAGAAAGAATATATTTTCTGTTCTGGATGTGTCCAACCAAGGCAAAAATACCTTCACAAAACTCAAAGGACTAAACTTGCAGCAAGGAGAAACTTACTTTGTTTGGGTTATCGGTGAGTACAGATAATTTTCAGTTTATTGACGGAGAACTGGGGCATATGAAAAAAAAATTAAATTTATGTAATGCTAAAATTACAAATCATTTGATTTCAATGCAAGAATATATTTACAGGAACTGACAAGTCTGGAGAGTGTGCAATGACTTCCACTGAATTCTTGGTTGATATCACTCAGCCAAAGCAAGGCAAACTGAAAATAGGACCCTGGTACAACATGGTAGGTAACATAATCTCTGTGTCAGACTTTTAGTGAAAATTTTATATTCTTAACAACATGACTTCTATCAAACATGTGATTTATTTTCAGCCTGTTGCCTACACAACAGAAAACAGTAGTGTCAATGTGACATGGGAAGGTTTCACAGACCCGGAGTCTGGTGTTGCTTCTTATGAACTGTCTCTGTGGAGGAACCAGTCCTGTTATAGTACAACTGATGGAGAATTAGTTAATGACTGGATTCAGCTCTCCAGCAACTACTCTTTCTATCAGTTTGTCGATCAAAAGTTACAGGTACCAAATGATTATATGACAGTAGGAATTACATAGGTTTTTTTATTTTGAATTTAAATAAAATTTTTCACAAATTTTGAAATGTGTTTACTTTTCTTGCAGAAAAATGTTCCATACTATGTGAAGTTGAGAGTGATAAATTGTGCTGGAGGTTTCCTCACCGTAGAATCCCCACCAGTCCTAATTGATGACTCGGTGCCTGTGTCAGGGGTTGTTGTAGATGGGACTGACTTCCAAGACGATCTACTGTGGTTTGGTGACTCAAGTCAGGTTCAAGGTAGGAAATTAAATTAAACATTTTTTGTCCAGTAATTTATCATCAATTATAATATATTCTATGTGTTTTATAGTCACAATTCTTGGTAATAATCTGATGCATTCTGCATTGAATTTCAATGGAGATTCAGTAAGACATTGATAATAAACCTTCAGAAATAATAAAAGTTAAGTCAAAAAATTTTGTACTGTACATGCATATGTTGATTTCTGTATCAAGTAATATTTTTATGAATTTTTTCTTTATAAGAATTGTGTTGAATATCACACTGGAAGGATTTTATGACACTCCAAAGTGTTTGTTTTCTTATTTTAGGCACATTTTTACATTTTCCAAATCCAACTCACCAATCTGATTCATGTCCAAATCAGAAAATTTCCATGAAAGATCCTCAGTGGAAGACCCTTAACAGACTTGGAATGTTGGACCCAGAGGGTGAATTCTGGAAAGTCAAATATGATAACAAATATGTAATGCCAGCTGCAGTGGAAGACATTGTTGATGTGAAACTTGTATTGACTAAGGATGCAACAAACCATGATATTATGGGAGCAGGTGCTCTGTACAGAAAGGCAGAACTGTTTAAAGGGGGGATATATAAGGTAAAAAAAATAGTCTAGAGTAGAAATTTAAAAAGTACAAATTTTTAAAGAAATTTGAAGTATTAAAAAAACCTCTTATCATGAATGAGACAGGTTTAAATCTTGAGAAATGAAGGCTTTCAGCAAACTGCATTCATTTTCCAGAAGACTTCTATATGTTGTTGATATTTTTCATCAGATTTACAAGAAATTTCACCAAGTTTATTCTGTTTATCAAGTAATTTTTTGTTTACTGTGAACAGCTGAGAATAAAAGCAGCTGACAGGAGTGGAGAGGCAGTGACAGAGGTTTTATTCTGGGATGGACCTAAAAAGGGCCTAGCAACATACAAATATGAAGAAGAGAAAGAGTTTGAGAACTGTGTCTGCTGCTTCACTAATCCTATTCCACCTGTAATTGAAATATTTTATACCTTAACTCACATGAACATAAAAAATGATACTAGCTATAATTTTCTTTCAAAGTTATTTGAGTAATATCTGTGGGTAATTTTCTGTATTCAGACTTGTGGTGGGTGTGACTGTCCAGATTATCTTCTAAATAAAGGCTACTTCCTGAATGAGACTTTCACCACAAGCACCACCACTACACAGGCCCCAGACAACAGAACCTATCCGCCATATGATGTGGTGGATGAACAGGGCTCCAGTGTTATTGATAAACCAGAGACAATCCAAAGTGTGGCTTATGACTCGTGTGGAATACAAATCTACTCTGGTAAAACAAAATATTAATTTATTTCAGTATATTTTCTGTTAGAACATTTATACAACAATAGATCAGGACTAAGCTTGTAATACTGTGAAATTATGAATTTTCTTGGGGGTTAATTTTTGTGTTTTCATGGTATAAAGAGACCCACAAATTCATATCTTCCATGAAATCTGAAAAGTAAATTCATACTGCTACATAATGTCTCTCCTATAACCACAAAATCAAATCCCCTCTTACCAATAATTTTTCCTCAAACCATGAAAATTTAACCCTAAGAAAATAAGAGATTTTACAATAATAGTTAGTGCTATGTTTTATTGCAGCTGATACACATAGCAACAAAAGCGCATTTGTTGTGTCATGGTGTCGTTACTTTAATAACTCGAGGAGAATGGGCAAACTAGCGTCAGAAATAAAAGTGAATCCAAGTGACAACTATTATGATTACGAAATTGAATTTGCTGTGAAAAATGAGGATTCTACATCAGTGAGTACTGATCTTGTCAACTATTTGCTTCAGATCAATATTGTTTATTATTCTTTGTATTAGCTGATGATAATGTAAAGAATTTTACACCAGTGACTGTACTAAGCTTTTGAAATACTGGTTATTTATGCACTTTGTCATCATATTTTCCTTGGGTATTACAGACAAAATGGTGCATGATGGTGTATGTGGAGGAAGACTTTATCAATGAAATCTGTGATGTTCCACAGTTGTCCACCAATGCCTTGTTATTTTTCCATGTCTTCAAGAGACACAATGAGATTCCACCACATGAGGACAGATTCAGTGTTTGGTCAGCCAAAGCTTCTCTGTCTGGTCTAGAGATGCCCCCCGCTGTAGGAACCTTGTGTAGATCTGGTCCTCAGTTCATCAGTTATAGCAATCCTATCATGTTGTATGAAGCTGGAGTTGGAACATCTCCATTATCAACAGATGCAGTGGATTTCACACCGGTATAACTTAATTGAATTGAATCACTGAGTGGCTTTAATCTCCAAGAAAGTGTTTTGCTACATACATGTATTATAAAACTATTGTGAAGTGAGATTCTGTTTTGTTTTTTTTTTTGTAAATAAAGGTGGTTTTTTTTTGTAGATTGATCACCCCTGTATTCCCTGTTATGGAGAATGTTCCCATTATGGCTGTGATTCCAACTGTAATGCCACAGTGACAGTTCAGAAGATCTTTACCCTGACCAATATAAGCTTACCCTCTAAAAGAACAATCTATAATGAGACTGGACATCCATCAGAGGAGATTATCACTTACTATATGACAGGTATTGTTAAAAACTGTAGGGTAATTATGTCAGATTGTAACTCTGGCTGAACAAGGCAGGAAAGAATTGTATCCATGAATTCAACATCAATCTTTCAACAATGCGTGTATGTACATGTAATGATCATACTATTTAACTCTCGTAAAGGGTATGTTCTATTAGAGAGGTTCAAGTTTTGTATTCAGAATCAATTATTGCTTTTACAGTTCTTTTAAGCATGCACTTCTCTCAATTCCAAACAAAGATTTTTTTTCCTTTGCAGTACATGGTGTGACAGGATCTGGTGCCACTGCAGAAAGTTCCTCCAGTGGATTTTATGTGGATGATACAGTCCCAGAATTTGATCTGGATATCATGGAAGGAGATTTTTATTTTGATGTTGGACAAGGGGAGAGTACTCCTGTTAAATACCAGAAATCAAATGACACAATCAAATGTATCTGGAAATGTGATGATGAAGAAAGTGGTATTGTGGTTAGTAATATTTTAAATATTAATTGAAATCAGCTATTCTGTAGGAAAATCTTACTTGTAATACCATCTTAAAACACAGCTTATTCTTATGAAATGTATCTATTTATATAGAGGACATTATATGTGTCAGTTTGAAAAGATGTTAAGAAATGTTTCTCTTTCATCTTACTAGGAATACACCTGGGCTATAGGAACAACTCCAGGATCTACAGATATCCAGAACTTCACATCTACAGGGCAGAATGTTGTAGGAATCAATGACCAGCTAGCAGGAATATTAGAGCATGACCAGACCTACTACGCCACCATTACTTGTACTAATGGGGCTGGTCATACCACGGTCTACACAGACACAAAAGGTAAACTGATTTAATTTTTATGCCCCCGGATCGAAAGATCCCGGGGGTATATTGTTTTTGTCCTGTCTGTCTGTTTGTCTGTTTGTCTGTCGTCAACTTTAACCTTGCCCATAACTTTTGATTGGTTGGAGCTATGACTTTCATATTTCCCATGTGTATTCCTTGTGACAAGACCTTTCTTTTGGTACCATCATATTTGACCTTTTGACCTTGACCTTGGAGTTTGACCCACTTTTGCAAAATTTTATGAGACTTTAACCTTGGCCATAACTTCTGAACAGTTGGTGCTTGGGGTTTCAAACTTCACATGTGTATTCCTTGTGACAAGGCCTTCCTTTGGATACCAACAACTTTGACCTTTTGACCTTGACCTTGGACTTTGACCTACTTTTGAAAAACTTTAACCTTGACCATAACTTTTGAACAGTTGGTGCTTAGGGTTTTAAACTTCACATGTATATTCCTTGTGACAAGACCTTCCTCTGGATATCAACCTCTTTGACCTTGACCTAGGAGTTTGACCTACTTTTGAAAAACTTTAACCTTGGCCATAACTTTTGAATGGTTGGTGCTAGGGCTTTCATACTTCACATATGTAATCCTTGTGACAAGATCTTCCTTTGGATACCAACCACTTTGACCTTTACCTTGACGTTTGACTTTTATTTAAAAAACATTAACCTTCGCCATAACTTTTGAACAGTTGTATCTAGGTCTTTCAAATTCCACAGGTGTATTCCTCGAGACAAGATCTTTCTTTGGGTATCAACATTTTTTATCTTTTGGCCTGGATTTTGACTTGCATTTGAGAAACTTTAACCTTCGCCATAAGCTGCCATACAGGGGCATCAGTGTTTCACAAACACATCTTGTTTTTACCTGCTATTTACTTTGATCAAAGTGTGTGTTTTTCTAAAACCTGAAAATTTAGTGCAAATACTGATATACAGTAAAACTCGTTTAGTACGAACACGGATATTGCCAATTCACGGATATAATGAAGTTTTCTTGGATCCCCAGCTATATAAATTTAATGAATTCCTTATAAGGATATAACGAATTATGGATATAGTGAAGTAATTTCACAGGTCCCCTGGACTTCACTATAACTGAGTTTTACTGTAATTAAGGAACTAAATTTTTTTTTCATTGAAAAATGTTATTAAGTATTAAATACACTAGTTTTAACTTTCAACATGATTTGACAAATCAGTATTATTAAAACAAGAACCCTCGGGGAAAGGATGGGGCCACAATTGGTGATCAAAGTTTTCCATAGGAATACACAGGAAAAATCTTCTCAAGAATGGCCAAACCATGATAAGTCATATTAACATGGAAGAATCCTCAGTTAGTGTAGATTTAGGTTTATTCAATTCATGAGCCCATGGGGGAAGGGGGGTCACAATGGGTGGTCAAATTTTTACATAGGACTATATAGCAAAAAATCTTTTGAAAATCTTCTTCTCAAGAACAGCAAATACATGATTACTCATATTGAAATGAAAGAATCTTCAGGTAGTTAAGATTTAAGTTGCTAAAATTAGGACCCCAAGGGATAGGTTGGGCCACAATATGTGATCAAAAGTTTACAGGGAAACGTATAAGAAAAAAATAAATCTGCAAATGAAGAACAGAAGGGCCATAGTAACTCAGGTGAACATAGTGGCCCTTTGGCCTCTTGATAATTCAATAATTATTATGCCCCCAGATCAAAAGATCCCAGGGGTATATTGTTTTTGTCCTGTCTGTCTGTTGTCAACTTTAACCTTGCCCATAACTTTTGATTGGTTAGAGCTATGACTGTCATATTTTACATGTGTATTCCTTGTGACAAGACCTTCCTTTGGGTACCATCATATTTGACCTTTTGACCTTGACCTTGGAGTTTGACCCACTTTAACAAAATTTTATGAGACTTTAACCTTGGCCATAACTTCTGAACAGTTGGTGCTTGGGGTTTCAAACTTCACAAGTGTATTCTTTGTGGCAAGGCCTTCCTTTGGATACCAACAACTTTGACCTTTTGACCTTGACCTTGGAATTTGACCTACTTTTGAAAAACTATAACTTTGGCCATAACTTTTGAACAGTTGGTGCTTGGGGTTTCAAACTTCACATGGGTATGCCTTATGACAAGACCTTCCTCTGGATATCAACCTCTTTGACCCTTTGATCTTGACCTAGGAGTTTGACCTACCTTTGAAAAACTTTAACCTTGGCTATAACTTTTGAATCGTTGATGATAGGGCTTTCATACTTCACATATGTAATTCTTGTGACATCACCTTCCTTTGGATACCAACCACTTTGACCCTTTGACCTTGACATTGGAGTTTGACCTACTTTTGAAAAACTTTAACCTTGGCCATAACTTTGGAATGGTTGATGCTAGGGCTTTCATACTTCACATATGTAATCCTTGTGACAAGAACTTCCTTTGGATACCAACCACTTTGACCTTGACATTTTATTTACTATTAAAAAACTTTACCTTCGCCATAACTTTTGAACAGTTGCAGCTAGGGCTTTCAAATTTCCTAGGTATATTCCTCGAGACAAGACCTTTCTTTGGGTACCAACATTTTTCATCTTTTGGCCTGGATTTTGACTTGCATTTGAGAAACTTTACTTTAACCTTTGCCATAAGCTGCCATACGGGGGCATCAGTGTTTCACAAACACATCTTGTTCTTTTTTATTGAGAAGGAGGGATTATGCTGTACTTTATAAATAATGGTGCATGCTGTACTTTATAAATGAAGGTGCTTAAAATGAATATTTGAAAATTAATAGGAGTTGTTGTGAAGTTAATACCACCAGAAGTGGATTCAGTGAACACCACTATACCTGGAACAATGCCCTTTGTTGAGGAGGTTTTCCCAAAAGAATCCATGCAACAACATGATCCCACAACAGTGGGCTTCACTTTCACAAAGTCAGATGATCCATCTGTCAATAGATATGGTAAGCATGGTACACCCTGCATTGTTCAACAATTACAATGTTGCTCCCAACATACAACTTCGGTATTTTGAACACTGATATCTCGAACACCATGGATATGTCGAGGTGATTTGGGAGTCCCAACCTTTTATTCCTTAATAAGTATTTTACCCTTGATATCTCTAATCCTTGAATATCTTGAAGCTTTTTCTTGGTCCCATCAAGTCCGAGATAACGAGGTTTGACTGTACTTCATCATGTTTGTAAGATAATGATTTTGCAGTTAACACTCAGTCTGGCATTTCAGATCTTTGTGTTGGATCTGAAGAGAACACAGATGATATAGTTCCATGTACTTGGGTTGGCTACAACATGTCTGGGTCTGCAAGCATCAGAAGTGGATCATTGTGGATAAATGGCAAAGAAGTGAGAAAATTGTCTGAGCTAAATCCTTTGCATGATAATTCATCTACTTCAAAAAGTGATGGATTCAAGATGCCAGTAGGCAAACAGATGTTTGTCACCATGCGACTGTGCAATGAAGCCATGTTGTGTACCAACAAGAGTCTTGGAGTTGTAGTGATCACCAACAGTGAATCTGTGATTGCCACCTCCACTAATGGTACAGCCATCAAAGAGAAGCTCTCACTCTCTGCCAGAAAGAGATCTACAAATGACCTTGACATCTCAACTCCAAATGGTAAGTTAATACACAGTAAGGTAAATCTCACTCTAAGTGGTAGATTAATGTATATTACAGTACATATACACACATATATGCCTATATATTCATGTATATGTATATAGGTTTAGCAGATGGACAGTCAATAATTGTTACAAAGCTAACACAGAAAGATCTGGAGACTACATATAGTTCTGATGCCTCCACTAACTTTGTACCTTACATACAAGACCCAGCAACATCTAACGACATGGTTCAGAGGCTTCTGTATAAGAGGTTTGGCAAAAACTCCCAGACATTGATGTTTTAATTTTTTTTTTCTGATGGCTTGGTTTTTGTAAATGACATGATTATTCATATATTTTTTTTCATTTTAAGGTTTTATGGCCATGGTTTCTCTTTCTCCTTGGTTCCACTGGGAAACATTGAACTACCTGGCCCTCTTACCATGTCTTATCCTGATAGTGTAGGAAAAGTGACGACAGGAAACAGGACTACTCTAGTGCACTGGAACTCAAGTCAGTTTTCATAAATTTCACAGAATAGTTATTTAATTATGCATGTGTAAAATTCCTGGGAGAAATCTGTAATATAAGAAATATAGGTAATGAATGCATTTGTCTGTATAAATCTAGATATGCAGTACTGGGAGATTAGCAGTAAGACGTGCACTCATCTTACTGCAGAGGAACAAGAGGTGTATGATCCAAACACACAAACAATGACTGTTAAGGTATACTCTCTTTTGCAGTTATTTATTAACAGTAAAGTTTAAAAAAGGAGGAAAGTTGATAATTTTCTGCTAGATTGCACTGCATGTACATTTACAAAAAAAAAGACATTTTGATTAATGTGAACAGTCCACTGTTACTGGCTCATTAAAACAGAAGAATTGAGACAAAAACTTGTCCCTTGAATACATTTACCAGTTTAAAGGTTAAGTTGGTATACAATGTAGTAATTAAGCTATTGCATCTGATTTTAACTATGTATGAAATGTGGAGATGATATACTTTTTGGTTTACCTAATATACTATAACTATAGGTATGCAGTACATACAACATTGAGTCCAAACCCACTGAACCACGACAGAGGAGGTCTGTCCATCCAGCGTACTTCAGTAGAGAATCCATGTTCATACTGGCAGATACAGCAGCATCCATTTATAACTCCCCACCTAGACTGACCAGTCTGAAAGAGGTCAATATTCTGGAGGACTCTGGTAAGCATAAAACTATTTCAGCACAAAAGTAATTGGTTTGTAGAATTGATGCAAAATTCATTTGTAGTGAGTTCATTTAGAATTGATTGTGATTTGGTTTGTTTTCAACTTTTAGGGATAGTAAAATACCAGCTAGAAGCAACAGATGAAGAAGATGATACCATTAAGTTCAAACTTGAAGACAAATCCTACAACCTGGGTGAAGTTACTTTGTCTCCCGAGGGAATGTAAGTTTTGATTACATAAATGTATAGATAATTGTGGCCCAGTTCCACCTGCACCCTACTGTGAACAGTCTGTCTATCTGCTTGTTCTGAAATTACTTGTCTATAGTGTATTTTAACTTCTCCCTTGACCTCTCTCAAACTCCACCCACAGAGTGCCAAGCACTCATGAGTAAAGAATGTGCAATACCTCAATCACCATTTCTTGTTCAAAATCAAAATAGATATCTATAAAATCCTTGTCCCGAGCACATTTTTTTCTATATTTGGACCACTCTGGCTTATACTTAACCCACAGAATGCTTTAGAGAAAATGGTGTGCAGCTACCTTGGTCTGAGTTTCTATGTTAAGGGTCAAGGTCATAACAGAATCCTTTTTCTAAAATCCTTGTTAAAAACATATTCTCTCTCCCTTTGGCCCCATCTGGCTAATACTGTAGATCACAAAATTTTCTTGACCCCTTATTTTCATGAGATATTCATCAACTCTATTAAACATGATAAAATTTTCACAAAAAAATTGTGGTTATTGCGTTTATAATCTTAAGGAAAGCTAATATACGCGAGAATGAAATTTTCTTGAGCGCAATTACTCGAAAATAAAGATCCTGCAAATAATAAGTGATTTACAGTACTTCTATGAAAATGCCTTTACATGAAAGGTGTGCAGTGACCTTGACTGAGATTTCTAGGGTCAGAGTTCAAAGTTGAATCAGTTCTTGATGTAAAATCTGGAATATTTAATTTCTGACCTTAGATCAGTTTAGCAGTTTAGCTCACATTTGTAAGTGACCTTGGTCTGTGTTTCTAGGGTCAAAGATCAAAGTCCAAACAAGTTTCTGTAAAATTCTTGTCCCTTGGCCAAATCTGTTTCATATTTTATCATATGAGTGTCTTTGTAAGGGATGCATTGATGTTATTTTTTTATGGTAAGGTCAAAGTAGTTCTTGTCTGGAATATATTACTTCTTCCATTATTCAGTTTGGCTCAGACTTTACTAATTCAGTATTTTGAATCATGAAAGTGCAGTAGTTGAACCAAGTCAAATATTGTTAAGACAGATTCTATGAGGAGTGATTAGTGTTAGCTACATAACTTTGGTAGTCATTTATTACTAAATGCTTGGCCCTTTGAGATGGCCTTTGTCTCAGTGATATGTATTTTGTTTTCTGCATATCAGATATGCACTTGAACAAGATATTCTCTGACAACGTTGGATTTCTTTCATGCAAAAAAGAATGTTATTCATGATCAGAAGGTAAATAAGATTTTAAATTAAAAAAAAGTTTAGTTTTCATATTTATTTAGTTTACATTGTTTTACAGGTTGGTGTACACTCCATGTCAGGATTGTTTTGGAGTGGAGGACATTAATATTTTGATGTATGAGAAACAAAGAGACCCTGATATTCCTCCTGCCAACAGCACAGACACCATCAGAATCAACATCCAGGCTGTCAACGATCCTCCATTCATCTTCCTCATCCATAACGGACAGTCCATACTGCATGATGATCCAACAGAGCCCCTAACTGTAAGCTTTTGCTGTTCAACTTCCATTATACATGTTGAATATAAACTTGGCTGAAATGCAAATTCTATTCCTTAGTCAATTTAAAAGCAGGAAAAAAAATGTTTACTGCTCACCTTAATTAGTGGTTAAGTTTTATGATCAAATGACGACCGCATCAACAGTAAATTTTCATATTTTTTACCTTTTCCCCTGAACCAATAAGCCATCCCAACTAAACTTACCACAAGGCATTTTTGACTCGATTCAAAATTTGTTCAAATCATGAAGTGGTTCTGATAGGGTTAAAATTTTTACATAAATACATCTTCAAAATCATCTTTCCAGGGTCAAAAAATTACACTTAGTTTAATCAAAGTGCAGCTATCCTCTTGTAACTTGTTAATTAAAGTTGTTCAAATCATGCTTCAGAGATCAGGATTGGGTCAATAAATGGGTGAAAATTTAGCATATACAGTTGAACTTCGGTCTTGAAACAGATATCTCGAATACCATGGATTTGTTTTAGTGATTGGGAAGTCCTAACCACACATTTCTTTAGTATTCTACCCTCAATATCTCAAACCCTTGGATATCTCGAAGTTTTTTCTCAGTCCCATCGAGTTCAAGATAATGAGGCTTGACTGTACTTTGAAATCCATCATCAAAAATGTACAAAAATCTTCTCTGAGGATGAATGTAATTGGAATTTTGATAAGCAAGTATCTTCATGTATCATAGATATATTTTAATTAAGTCATACATTGCCCTTGGATGAGGTAGAGATTTTATTAAAAAGGTTCAAATTTTTACCTAAGTATAGATAAACTTCATCAAGAACAACAAGGTTTTGATATTTCTAGCATTGAAGTATGCATTTCAAATGAAAATTTTTACTCTTGGCGTTTGGGGTTTCTTAGGATCCAAGGTTTATTTTATCAATATACATGTCAAATGGAGCTGGGATTTACGTATGTATACTGGCTCATGGGCCCTTTTTTCCTTTCACTTCTTGTACATGTACATGTATGTACTTGGGTCAAAATTGTCAAGTTTCAGAAATTCCTAATCACTTCATAATATGTAACTTAATTTCAGATTTTGCTGGAGGCTAAGAATGACTTTAATGTGGAGCTGTGGGATGAATCCTGGACTGCTTTACTTGGAGCATATGATGTGGAATTGGCAGACTCACTGCATTTAGAATTATCTGGGTCTTCTACAGCAAACTTAACTCTATCTGATGAAGCTAGGAGAATACCATCAGTCTTAGGAGATTGTTCTTTTAATGAGGTTTGGTTTAACATAACTAAATTCAAATGTTAAATGCACGATAATCTCATCATTTTGTCAAATATTCTGTTCACAGATCTGTCTCTCATTTCATTCCTTCTTTGTTCATAATACTTCAATTAAAAGGAACATCCATTTTTTTTCTTCCCAGAATAATCAGCCTTGTATCCGCAATTTTACTCAAAATCTGCCACATCCTACTGATAAACTATCATGGCTGAGTTACTCAATCAAGTTTTCACAACCTTTGAACCAGTTTGGAAATTTTTCTGCAAACCTCTATTTCATGGACAGTGGAAATGGAACTTCTCAGCCAATTACCATCAAATTTGGTCTGATGGAATCTCCTTGTCATAATGGTGGAAAATGCTATGGTAAATCATTTAAGAATTTTAAGTACACATTTTGTTTGTGTACAGCTACTACATCCTTAAGTAGAAAAATACACTGCCAGAAACTTGTCCAGTTTAATGCACATTTAAAAACAATTAGCCATGAGTTCTCTTTTATTTCCAGCCACAGGTGTCTATCCTTGCAATGACACCCATAGAACACACAGTTTTGATGCCTACTACAGATGTGAATGTCCCCGAGGTTATCAAGGGAAACACTGTACTGAGGATATAAATGAATGTCTTAGTGATCCCTGTATGGCACCCCTCATCTGTTATAATGAAATCAACCACTACCGGTGTGCATGTCCCCAGGATCAGCCAAACTGTGAGCTCCTGCCCTGGATGATAGCTCTGATTGCTGTTCTGGTGGTCGTGGCAATCGTGACCATTATTGTTTTGGCAGTAGTGAGATATAAAGTCAAGAAAAGGTACATTAATATGTTAAATTGTTTTTGATTCAAAATCATAGAATATTTTGTAGATTTTAACAAGTTATGTCATGTGCATGCAAGTCTTAAATCAAGAGCAAATTACTGTAAATGTACTTTTTTTTCCATGGGATCATAATTCCACAGTCACAATTTTCTTTTCAATCCGCAGTTAGAAAATTTAGCAGATTTGAATTGCCAATATTTACATTTGCTGTGTTTTTCTAATAAGCCAACTGTGAAATTGATTTGAAAGTCATTTTTGTGTATACTCACACGTAGAAATATGCACAGAGAAACTCGTGCTAAAGTGACGTCACAATGAGCTACAGAGACGTTAATAAAAATGTCACGATATAGGGCAGCGAATAATTCAAACATTGAATATATTTTTGGTACTTTTGAACATGTAAAATGTAAATATAAGGAAGGTTTTTAAGCTTAGTGTGAATTATTGGTGTGTAAATCACACAGACTTGCAAGTAGGCATATTTTTCATGAAGCGCTAGTGAGTTTTATGAAATATACCTACGTGACAAGTCTGTGTGATTTACACTCCAATGACTCACACAAAACTTAAAAACATTCCATAAATGAATGTCTTCAATGCACTATAAGTATACTGTACGTGACAAATTTCTGTGGAAAATTTGTGACCACATGCAAAGCGTAAATTAATCCTACGCAGAAAAAAGTAATAATTACATTGTCTACAGTACTCTCGTATTATTATTATATAAGCTTTGACTTTTATGTCACCCGAGTCACTCAGTCGACCTTTTACCATATTATGTGTCTGATGTTGTACATACTTGTGTTCTGTACCATATGTATCATACATGTTAATTAACACTTTTTAAATCAATTTCTAGCTGCAGAACTGTAGTGTTATGGTTTTATATTTTAGTCTTTGACCATAAAGCTATAGATCCCATAGTGTAAATAAAGTGCAATTTATGGCTCAAGATTCTCTGCACACTTTGGGGATGTATTTTGCTACTTTCCAGCATTGGTTAATCAACGACTTTTCATTCCCCTATGCTAGACATATTCTATAACCAACCTGTATATTTTATCCACCTCCTAACCCTTTATAGTCGTCTCTATAGACCAATAAACTCACTTGTTGTGAATTTTATGCCATCCGACAACAAATTCACAACAAGTCAAGTTAAAGTTTCGCAGCCTTCTTTTACTCGCAAAAATTTCTCGCCACGAACCATCATTTTCCTCGTGTATTTATGTAGAACATTTCACAAATCTTGAATAAAAGTGTTGCATATAATAATTGGTTTACAGTATTACTTCTGACCAAAGTGTAATTATCGTCATGTTCTTCAGGCAAGAAAATTTGTTAAAGGATAGATTTCTGGAAGAACGTAATTATAGAATTTTTGTTTGGAAGAGAAAATATTCAACATTAAAAACTTGCATATCACATAAAGATGTTTTAAAGTTTGGATTATTTATACTCTAAAGTACTTAACATAATCTAGTGTATCTAATGGGATCAGACATCAAATCAAAGAAAAATGGCAGTATCTGGAAAACAATTCAAAAAAGGACACAATTTCATTTCCTGTGAATTTTTTGTGCCCCTCTACTTAATTCTGTGAATGGGTATACAATGTGTACAGTTGATACATAACACATTTATGAGTATATCATAACATTGGTTCTTACATACTAGTCTGATACTCAGATGACTTATATCTAGACCCATAATGATTTCAAATGCATCTTTTTAAAATTTTTCTTGTAGGAAAGAACCCTATGAAAAAGAGTGAGTATTATCAGTTATGAATTACATGCAGACAATTATAAAATTGTATAAGATAAATGGTAGCACACAAGATTGATATGAAATCTCAATCATTATTATTTTATATCATCTGTACTATGCATCATATGACACTTTCTTTTTCAGACTTCTTGGCTCACAATCTACATTAGCCTCCACATTCAGTCTCAACAAATCTGATGAAGGTAGGTATTACTTAGCTCAATTTTTCTAGTGACATGAATTAGCATTCCCTATTGAATTGTTATATGCACTTTCACTGCTTTGCATATCAGTTTCATATTTGCAACTTCTTGGCTACAATTATAGGAACAAAGGAGATTCAAGTTAGTTTAAATTAAGAATTATATGTTCTTAGAGGATCAGATTTGAATACATTTGTTTTAAAGTGAATCATTTTAAAAGAAAATCCTGTTCTTCAGTACTGCAGAGGAATGATAACTTGTATGACAAAAGCAAGTTCTGTCAAAGAACAAGGCAATGTTGAAAGAAAAATGTTTATTTGTACTTCACTTGCCTTCTAACTTGGAAATGAGTTGTCAGAAATGTTCTTCCATTCAATTACTTTCATTCAAGCATGCATTTCTTTGTAATTTACCCCTGTAAATGAGGTTTGGGGGGGGGGGGTCATATCTTGTAATGAAGAAACACTGGAGGTTCATATTTACTTATGACCTGAAAAGGTGTCATGACCTCAACCTAAAGTATTTTGGTCAAGTTTAAGGTCACTCCCAGCAAAAGTAAAACTTGTGTCCATTGTGTAAGTTCATAATTCACATAAATATTAATTAATACGACCTAAAGGTATATTGTGATCTTTACCAGAGGCACCATATTAAAATCTGGACCCCCCCCCCCTTGGAATTTGCAGTTATTAAAAGTATATACTGAAGCAAATAAAAATGACTTTTGAAGCTCATACTTATTACATAAATACTAATTTTACTTACGACCTGATAGGGATGCCATGACCTTGCCTACATGTAAGGTCTTTTGGTCAAGTTCAAGGTCAATTTTAGGAAAATGTATAATTTTTGTCCTAACAATATCTTATCATGAAAAAAAAAACCATTGGAATCTCATTAATACAAAGATGACATGACCTAAAGGGGTTTCATGACCTTGGCCCAAGGTCCTTTTAGCAAATTCAAGGTCACTGCAAGGAGAAGTGTAAAATGTATGTTTGTTGTGTAAGTTCATACTTCGCATAAATATTACTTATGACCAAGAGATGAATCATGACCTTGACCAAAGTTTTGCTAGGATACTCAAGGTTATTTGCAGAAAAAAAATATAAAATTTGTGTCAGGTTGACAATTTTTAATGGAGAAATAGAGGATGTGAGGATTTGTCATTTTCTTGAACCAAGGCTAATTTGGCAAGTTCAAGGTCACTTTTTCAAAAATGTATATGTGCATTTAAAATTGCAATGGGATATAATTTTGAGAGCTCCCTCACAGTACTTATAGTTAAAATTAAATATAAGCTCCAAGGCAAATGAAACTGAAATGATATTTGTTACATTTTTTTTATTTTAGGAGAAAAGGAAAAGATAGAGGATCAGGTAGGGATGTTGAATGCTGTAAAGTTAAACTTTAAAATGCTTGATTTTTTGGGTAATAGTAAAAAGGTAGTAAGAAAAAAAAGAAAAAGGACACAAACAAAACTCAGTCATTTATATCGAACAAATAAGTGTGGCAGTCAGATGGGTTCAATCGCCGGTGGCCAGATAGCTCAGTTGGTAGAGCACCTGACTGGAGATTCAGGGGGCCCGGGTTCGAATCCCGGTCTGGTCCGCTGCATTTTTCTCCTCTCCCGTTACATTTGGTGCCGTGCCATACCATGGAAGTGACAGGTGAGATGCCTGCCAGGGTTGAGCCTGGGTTAATGTCTTCGGGGGCCAAAGACCTTTAAGGAGGGAGGAATGTGGCGGTCAGACGGGTTCGATTGCCGGTGGCCAGATAGCTCAGTTGGTAGAGCACCTGACTGGAGATTCAGGGGGCCCGGGTTCAAATCCCGGTCTGGTCCGCTGCATTTTTCTCCTCTCCTGTTACATAAGCAAAGACGTAGCTAGTTTTTTTCAATGGAAATGATATTATTTAGCTTCTTAATTTTCTCATACAAAATCTGATGTATTGTCAAGATAAATTCCACATAATCATTGTGAAAAAGAGATATTTCATGATTTTTGAGTTGCTACCAAGTAATGAGAACAGTGATTTTTTGTAAATGTGGTTCTGGGTGGTTGAAAATTTGACAATTTCCCTTATTTTAGAAATCTGGCAAGTAGAAACTTTGACAAACTTTGCATCTGTTGGTACATGTATTTAGTTGAAACTCTGACAATTTATTAGCTATTCATCAATTTCATCAACATATCCACATTGTCAAAATTTCTACATTTACAATAATTTTGATGAAGAATGTTTCCACAAAATATTTCAGCATCTACATGCAGTATTATGAATTTTTTTTATTATTCTTCAGTGATCAAATTAGTGAGGTTATCCTGTATTTCTATTGCAGTGCTCCTCTGAAATGCTTTGCAAAGGACCAGAGATCAAGTTTGATGACTCTGAGGTAATTTTTGGAAACAATTTTTAAAGCAATTCTTATTTTATGATTTCATTTTTGACCAAATCTTAACATAAAATGTAGAATTAAAAATATGGCAAGAATATGAAGTAAATACAAAATGACCATGGAGATGTTGAAAGCACAAATGAGTAAAGAGGATTCTATCAACTTTTGATTACAGAACTTCACAGAAGAAAAGGTTCCATTGCCTGATGAAAAGGAGATGGTAAAATATTTTATTCTGGATTTTAATTCCTTCAACATTTTCAGGAATTTGTTAGGTTTTCTTTTCCAACATTTTTTTATAAAAAAAAAAATGAATTTTCCTGATGCAGGTTCATGTACAGAATTGGGTGGAACAGAAACCTAACCCTGATTACTATAGTAACCGCCTTCTGAAATCAAACTTTAAGCCTTTGTTACCAGTGAAGGATTCCATTGTATCAGGAAAATCTATCAAGAAAGACAAGACAGAGAAGAAATCAGGCAAGAAAACAAGGAAAGAAAAAGCAGAGCAGCATTTGAAACAGAACCTTAGAAAGAGTATGGGCCCAACTAAACCTGCATTCCAGACCCAAATGCTACCAGATATTGTCAGAGCAGACCATGCAACGATTCCTGGCTCAAATGATCCGAACCTGGTGAAATCAAGTAAAGTTCATCCTGTTGATTTTGACTTGAAACCAAACAAGAAAACTGGTGCAAGGGAAGGCCCTCCAATTCTCAGTGCTGTTGGAAATGAGTTCAGCAAGCAAGAGGAGAGTTCTGCTGATTCAGTCTCTACATTACTGCATGACCTATCACCTTCAGTCATCACACCAACAGACCCACTGATGGAATCACAGACTCCAAGATTTGAAGGGTTGGTAGTTACCAGACACAATAAAGTCCATCCACTGCATACAACAGGATCTTGCCTGCAGGCTGCCTTTACTGATGAGAGCATGTCTGTTTATGAGAAGCAGCAGGGAAAGAGAGATCTGATTGAGCTAGACACTTCTGATGGGGCCATCTCTAATAAAAAATGTGGCGTTGATTTAGAGGATAAGTCTGGAACCAGCTCAGTCTGAACAACAATGCTTTAGTTCTCTTATAGTTGTGTAGATCCTGTCAAACTTTCAACTTTTTATTAATTTATTTAATTTGCTACAAACCCCAATGACTTTTATTTATATAATAATCAGACATTCTTCAATTTAATTTTCTAACTTTTTTAAAAGAATTTTTAAATGTTCATCTATTTTTGACAATTAGTTCATTAAACTTCATGAAATCCAGTTGTGTTATATTAGTTCAACCAAGACAATGGCTTAAGGTAGGTCGCGGGTTTACTGCATAAAAATTCTTAGGAGAAAACATATCATGAAAATTTGATATAATGTTCCTAAGAATTTGTGGCATGTTATCTGAAATTTTTATTAAATTTGCCTACGTGGTTTTAATGCTGTATTACAGTAAACACGGTATAGTTTTCGGTACTATTTTTACGCTTTACTATAGAAATATATAGGAAAATGACGTTTTTAAAACAATTTTACTGAGTTTCTTTAGGACAGGTCAGATAACTTTTTAAAGACGTAGACGAATTACTCAGAAATTTCAAAATATCAAGATGTGGTAAAATTAAAACTATTGAGGTAAAAAAATCAATATGTCTTCTCGCTAGTTTTTTTGCTAAATATTTTTAAAGTTTGCTTTTGTATTGGCAAAATATTCAGTTTATGGCATTAATTATGACTAATATAAGTATCTTTATATTTGGAATATACAAGATCTAAAAGGTGACATGGATGCACACTAATTTTATTCAGCATTTCACTTATTGCAGAAACGTGTTAAGAAGAAAAGCAACTTATCTACTCTAGTATTATAAAATTCCTATTTTGCCAACGAAGTCAGAATGAACGGTATATTGATATAAACATTCTTCATCCATTGAAATTAATAAATTAATACAAGTAATGTTAGGATGTTCAAGTTCATTATTAAGATTTCAAGTATAATACGTGAATTTTATCACTTCATTCGAAATCGGTAAAGAAAGAAAAAAAAACACCCCACTATGAGTAGGGGGGTGGGGGGCAATGTTCTTTTTATATTAATCGCAATTCAGTATATAATCCGAATTCTCAAACATTTGTTCTTTCTTGTTTTTTTTTTTTCTTTATCAATTTTTCACCGGCAAAATGTTAAATTCTTGCATTCAGCTTATATACAAACAGCCTAATTTTGTTATAGGAAAAAATTGATACTTGTATTTCGTAATACATATAGTATATTAAATGTGTCATAAAGGTCAGATATGCCGGGTGTTTGTATAAATTTATTTTGTTTAATGCATTTCACTATGATAAATCAATTACTTGCTAGCCTACATATAGAGAACGACTTTATCAGATTCAAATACAAAATAATTTTTTTTTAAAAAAGAGGAAAATGCATGTAATTAAATTTCATCCGTTTTTAGTGTTGAGGGTTGATTTTTTCCTAAAAGTAACCAATTTGTTTTGTTTTTCCAGCTGTGATGAGCAAACATGGTATATTACGCACCTTCCCTTCGTTGCAAATTACGTGCATACATACAGCCTTTCAATTTTTGCCCACGTGGCGTAGTGGTTAGAGCGTCTGTTCTAGAGTCGCGAAGTAAGGAGTTGATCCTTACGTTGCGGGTTCGAATCCCACTGTGGGATGTGAAGACCCGGTCCTTCGGATGAGACCGTATAAACCGAGGTTCCGTGTCGCAGTGGGTGCTGGCACGAAAAAGATCCCTCACTGCTCAATGGCTGTAAGTGCCGAGTATAGGACAAAATTTGCAGCTTTCCACCAGCAAGTGGTGTCGTCTCCATATGAGTGAAAATTCTCGAGAGGGACGTTAAACAAAATACAATCAATCAATCAGTTTTTCGGCTTTGCAATTTACGGAAACTATCATTTTGCATTCCATATCTTTAATTTAACATCGACTCATTTTGAACTTTAGCAGTGTAGTATCATTTGCTATATAAATTATTCCTTGCATTTTGCATTGCATTTATTATGTTTTAGTAGTTTGTTCTTATACATTACACATATAATCAGAGCAGAATTCAAACTTATAATGCTCTGGTTTCATACATTTACAACAATACAATTACGGAAAATAACATGTACTTTCTACGCTTCGTATGGACTAGATTCTATTGCTAAAGTAATTTTCAAAGAAATAAACGGGAAGCAATGCAACGTAGCCTTTGTGATGTAACTGACGTCATAATCAAATGTGCACAAAACAATCGCTCGAATCGTCAAAATTGTGCACTGAAATTGATGACAAAAGCAAACCCGCGACCTACCTTAAGTTAGCTGAGTAGTAAGCATCCACTGTTGACTGGTCACACCTGCTGTGTGCTCCTTGTCATGATCAAGGCAAACGGAAAAAATCCATAGATAATTCAGTGTGATTATAATGATCTAACAATATGTATGATAAACATTTGTAAAACTCAACTTAATGGTAGATTGTATTTGCTAACAAGGTCATTGTATCAACCATAGAATTTGCAAAATGATTTACTTTAAACAGGACTGTTGATAATCTTGTATCATCAACTTATTTGTCAATAGTTTGCCTTGTTTTAGAAATTGTCTTTCATTATACTCAGGTGATCATTTAGGCCTTTGGCCCACTTTCTCTCACAAAATGGACAGTTTTCGGCATTTCTCCTTTATGTAATATCCGATACCAGTTTTGTACATTTTTTATTCTCAAAACAAAGGAAGTTATGTTCTAATTACGGCCCTAGATTAGTTCTTTCTCTCACAGAATGGACAGTATGAGGCCTTTCTCCTTTACGCATAAAAAACTTTCAATCTGAAAAAGCTTCCTAGAGAAATGGTAAACCTTAATTTTAAAAATGACATTGACAATCTTTGATTGAAAGAAAAAAAAATCAAAAATACTGAAAATGATAGAGTAGGGAATATTTGAGGGTCAGTCAGAATACATCAATCAAATCCTTTTTTTTTAATTGTTGGCCTGACTTCCTTATAAGTAATGATATTTGGCCAGCTAGGTTACATAAGTGGTTCTCTGAACAAGTTCAAGTATTAACTTATGGGAAAAGTTCTCATCTTTATTTGTGTAGAAAGAAGAAGAATGAAGCAGTAGGTAAGAAATACATGTATGTCTCTGTGTTGAGAAGAAGACATAGCAAGACTTACCAATTATTGTTAAAATTTATTATATGCACTGTTTTATAAATCTAACACACAAAATTAACAATTAAATCAAGCATATGATACATAAAAGATATACTAATTAAAACATGCTTGTAGAATAAACTAAGAACAAATCAAAACAATATCAAAAGCAACAAATGAAAGACATAACATTTATAAACAAATGACACAACTCCTTATTACAGTAACTGTAGGACTGATTAATAAAAAAAATATAACTTAATGGACACTACAATACATAGGTAATTTCATTTCAATTCAAGTAGGACATGTATTGAACCAAGTTTATTTATATCAAAAGCTAAAACAGCCCTCCCCCCCCCCCCCCCCAAAATATAAACATTTGTAGAATTATGTTTATACATTTAAAACTGCACATTGGAGATGAGTTGAGAAAGCTGAAACACAATGACAAGGTCTACACTTAACATAACAACAAGCTACATCAATAGAGTACAGTAGTTACATGTAATACTGGATTGATAATACGTTAATTAGCATACATTAAAAGGATCAGATTTAGGAATGCCTCTCTCTGAAACACATGTAGACAACAGAGACTTGTAATCATATGTACATGTCTAGATATGTACAATGTAAAAAGCTACATCCAGTGGAGAGTTTATCATCTAAGCATATTTTACAGCACCAGAGACATTGACTGTCCTAAAAAAAAAACCAGATCTACAAAAACCTAATGGCTCTGCAAGAAAATTACTGATATCTGAGTCTCAATGTTCAAACAAAAGATGTACAAGTCAAGTTTTAGCTGCCTTTCTTGAATGTAATAACTTGCCCATGTTTATAACATGCACTTCAAATGTTCTAACCACAGAACAAAACCTCTTGGTAAATGTCGCATTTCTAACTTCAACTTTTTTTTTTTTACATTCCATAGACATTTTCCTTATAAACTATAGTATGCTACAATCTTATTTCTATACCATTCAGATCCCGAAAAACTGTGATAATTACAAACTAATAACTTGTATTCATTGCCAAAGTGGCCATATAAAATCATGGTTATTTTATTCTGAAGATTCTTTGATATGCAGTGAAAAGAAAGATTGGTTATAATACAACTGTGAACTGCAAGTTTTTAATTTCCACATATTGTTGATTGGTCTTGAAAGAGAATCATGAAGAAATTTAAATCTGGTTCATGCTAAGAATGTGAAATTAAACTAAAAGATACTGTTTTTAATTCAAGAAAGTATATCACTTGGTATACTTCTAAATATTGTTACATAATCTGAAATTTGATTTTGCTCAGAGATGAAATATAAACATAACCATGGTAACAGCTCAACTGTAACTTCTGAATAGTTAATAATCCAGGAATGTTTAAGTAAATATTGAGGGTTACAAAAGTACTTTCAAAATGCCCTATTATAAATAGTACAATAATGTAAATTTAAAGTATCAAATGACACTCTTTGCAATTTACAAATCTATAAGTCACTTGAATACAAATCTCAAAGTGTGAATTAAAACACCTTAAATTGCAAAAATAAATCTTCAATACTTTCATAACAAGAAGTCTGTGAGCGAATGCTCACTAGTAATACCCCCGCTCTGATGTGAATCGCTAGACACCAGACTCTCGAGCTCCTTATCTGCTTTTAAAAGTAAAATCACACAAAAAATAACAATAGCCCCGCCTTATTTCAGTTTTGGAAAAAGACGCTACAATATACTGCACACTAGACTCCGACACAATTGTGTGCTAAACATTGATCTTTATAGGTGTAACATAATATCTAGTCCATTATGCTCTTGTGGTAAGGTAGAAGACACACATCATTATTTTTTCTCATGTCCTAATTACACTGAGGCCAGGAAAGATTTCTTCGATAAGTTTTTGAGATTTAATAAAGTTCATATTGTTGACACTCATACTTTACTCTGGGGGAATACTTCACTCAGTATTGCTGAAAATGAATATCTCTTCTCTATTGTTTAATCTTATATTCAGCATTCAGGCAGATTTAATTGATTTTTCTAAAAAATGTGTAAAGATAATAATTTAGCAGTATATGTTTCTATGTTGTGAGTTAATTTACTTTGTACATGCTGTTGGACACGTCTGATCGAATTTTTTGTGATATAACATGTAGGGAGAGGGCGAATTAAGTTTTTAGAACTTGTGCCCAATCCCATTGTATATATTTATTGCAATAAAATATGTTCAAACTAAACTATGTGAATATACACTCTCGTGTTGACATCGAATTCATACCAAAAACATAGGTAATCAAAGATTACGAAGCTCAACTCGACGAATGTTATCTATAAGTAAGGCAAATTTCACATACTGGGTAATATTTTTTTTTTCCTAAATAGGGTACATCCCAAGATCAATACATGTATACATGCAAGTTTGGTTTAAGTAGGACTTACAGTTACTTGGAAATTGACCTGCTCAATAAACTTTTAACCTGTTTAGTAATCAAGAAAATTGTGGTCAGTTCCAACATCCAAAGCAAGTCTGGAAGTTTTCATCCTTAGATGCACAATCTATGCAAGTTTAATCATAACAGGTCATAATATTATAAAGCTTCTCCAAAAAAATTACTCTGGTCACTCATCTGGAAAATGTAGATCAGATTCAGAATCCAAAGCAAGTCAGGAAGTGTCCATTCCTAGAAACATCATCCATGCTAATTTGGTTAAAAAATGGCTAAAATTCACTCATGTGGAAAATCTAGGTCTGATCCAGCATCTGAAGCAAGTGTGGAAGTGTCCATCCCTAGATGCATCATACGTGCAAGTTTGGTCCAGGTAGGGCTTATAGTTACTTGGGAATGGACCTGCTCCAAAAACTTTAACCTGGTCATTCATCTGGAAAATCTAGGTCAGATCCAGCATCTGAAGCAAGTGTGGTATGTTCATCCCTAGATGCATCATACATGCAAGTTTGGTCCAGGTAGGGCTTATAGTTACTTGGGAATGGGACCTGCTCCAAAAACTTTAACCTGGTCATCCATCTGGAAAATCTAGGTCAGATCTAGCAAATGAAGCAAATGTGGTAGTGTCCATCCCTAGATGCATCATACATGCAAGTTTGGTCCAGGTAGGGCTTATAGTTACTTGGGAATGGATCTGCTCCAAAAACTTTAACCTGGTCATTCATCTGGAAAATCTAGGTCAGATCCAGCATCTGAAGCAAGTGTGGTATGTCCATCCCTAGATGCATCATACATGCAAGTTTGGTTCAGGTAGGGCTTATAGTTACTTGGGAATGGGACCTGCTCCAAAAACTTTAACCTGGTCATTCATCTAGAAAATCTAGGTCAGATCCAGCATCCGAAGCAAATGTGGTAGTGTCCATCCCTAGATGCATCATACATGCAAGTTTGGTCCAGGTAGGGCTTATAGTTACTTGGGAATGGACCTGCTCCAAAAACTTTAACTTGGTCACTCATCTGGAAAATGTAGGTCAGATCCAGCATCCAAAGCAAGTGTGATAGTGTCCATCCCTAGATGCATTATACATGCAAGTTTGGTCCAGATAGGGCTTATAGTTACTTGGGAATGGGACTTGCTCCTAAAACTTTAACCGGGATGCCGACACTAACGCTGACGCTGGGGGTATAGCATAAGCTCATCTCGACTTCGTCGAGGTGAGCTTATGAATCCCACCATTTGGCATGCCTAAACAAAGAGTGTGCTAAAATTTCAATTATCTGGGATAAGTAGTTGTTGAGAAAACTGTGACAAAAATTTGTTACGGACAGATGCACGGATAAACAGGAAGTTGACATGGGATTTTAACAAAAATGAATCCCACCATATGGCATGCCTAAACAAAGAGTGTGTTAAAATTTCAATCATCTATGATGAGTAGTTGCTCAGAAAGCTGCGACGAAAAATTGTTACGGACAGACACACGGACACACAGACAGCTAGACAGACACACAAGGGTAAAACAGTATACCCCCCTCTCCTTTGGAGTTGGGGTATAAAAAGTCCAAATAGACTTCATTTCTTTATATCTCCTGGGGAAATCTGTCTCTCTCCTTCTCCAAGAAATATTTGTAGAGCCTTTTTAAGAAGGAAGACTCCAAATCTTTGACGATTTTTTTTCGACCATGATGTGGCTGGGCCGTAGACATCACCTCTTTTAATATTTGTTAATCGCGGTAAACCTGCAAATAAAATCTTTTTGTTACATGACCTGAATAATTCAGTGGTCAATTAACATCCCCCAATTTTGCCAACATTTTGAGTAATTTTCCTAAGGTCTATTAATGTACAATTTCTATGTCTAATATTTTCGTGCAAAGTTTAGATTTTTGTGCAAGAGTTCTAAAGTGAGGTAGAGAAGTTATAATTTGGTGAATTTCAACTTGTGAAATTTTAAAGATAGATTCCTTTTACTGTCATGAATGGTTTCCATTTACTAAATACCCAAGTATAGCACGAATAAAGCTCTTCAGATACCAGTAGGTTTAAAATAATAAACAGTGAAGTAGAACCAACCTGATAAGATACCAAGAAAACCAAAATCAGGGAGAGATAACCTATTATAATGACATTCAATAGCTTAAACAAATTATTTAAAAAATTACTTGTTTCCATACTTTGACTGATATTGGCATTTCTTTAACCATCTAAAAAATATGAAACTTGCAACACCTTTAGCAGAGCTGAGAATAGATATCCATTATTTATTTTAAAAGTAATGGTTATAGCTACTTAATCCTTTTCAGATCCAGCATAGCAATTTTTTTATGTATATTTTAGTACAGAAAAAAAGTTGTAAAGTCATCCAGCTAAACATGCCATTTGTTTCAGCTGAAGACTAACAGTGCTTTAAAATCAACTGCAGGGTCTAATCACTCCCCTTTAAAATACACCACACCTAAATTTAGCATGCCAAAGATTTTAACAAATCTGGTAAAATCTGACAGTTTATAAATTTGTCAATAATAAAAATATTAATTCAGCCCTTGTCTATTGCAGAAGTATCAGTCTTGGAGGCGGGGATTTAGGAAACTTTTTGCATCAGCCATGATTTGATGTGAAGCTCAAATGAAAGACATGAAATGAAATTCTATTATTAGTAACACAAGCTTACCTATGGCATCCACCATACAGGCCTCTCTTGTGTATGCTTCCACTGGAATGACACTCTGAAAACAATGCAGGGAGACAACTCCTTGCCCATCATTCCAGATGTCCAAGATATGTTGAACTTTACTGCCAGCCTACAAAATACAACGATCTCAATATCTGATGCATTTTACTAAACATTTTTACTTGAAAAATTTTGGTTTCCTTATTTTGTTCCCAACTACATTACAGTTCATGAGACTTTTGAATTTATCTGCAAAATAAAAAACCATCTAAGGCTAGCTCATATCATGAATGATTAAGAAATTTGGTTAAGACCTTTTCAAATGTACTATGATTTTTGACCCCATGACCTTGAAGTTTGACCTACTTTTCAAAAATTTTAATTAACATTGATGATTGATAACTTTTGAAAGAAGACATGGTGTTTATATTTAACATGTGTATTACCTGTGGCAAGACCTTTCCAAATATACTATGATTTTTGACCCAGTGACCTTGAAGTTTGATATAATTTTCAGAAATTTTAACTTTGTTGATAACTTTTGAATGAGAAAAGAAGAATGATCATATTTTACATGACAACACCTTTCAGAAAGAACTATCATTTTTGACTTCATGATCTTGACCTAAAAGTTTGACCTTGGCCATAAATTTTGCTTCATAAGAGACAGCTTTCATTTTTTTTCAAATGTGCATTATTTGTGACAAGATATTTTTGATTGTATTATATTTGACATTGCGTGACCATGATCTTGAAGTTTGATTCAGATTTTAAAAATTTTAACATTCGCTGTAACTTAGTTCAAAAATTTAAATCTCTTTTAGTTTAGTTTGAACTAGGGATGTCAATTTTGTCAATAATTCATATTCGAATATTCAATGAAAGTATTCGAATATATTCGAATATTCGATAAAATAAATAAAATCTGTTTTATTTTAAATATCCATCCTACTCTCATGAAATGTTTAGCGTAGGTATACTTATATTGGAAGTAGAATTGTATGAAGACTTTTGTAGGTGTACAATAAGAAATTCCATTTGATATCTGTCAATGTTTGAAATAAATAATTGATTTAAATGTAGAAAAGTATAATTTTAATAAATGAAAATGTATTTATAGTAGCTCCAACTGAGGAACCAGTCGTCTTACATGTACAAAAGGCAAGATAGTCGTAACGGTATACTGTTCAGATTTCAATACGTGTAATAAATTACAATTATCTGCCTGATAAGACATACTGTTATAATCTTTGATACAATGTAAACAAATATTTCCATAGACAATTTTCCTAGGTAATTAACTAATTAACTAACTTTACAATATTAATTACAGATTAATTCTATCGGACGTTCATTCAATGATCAATTAATTTTATTTTGATAAGTATAATCTTCATGACTTTTAGACATTCTTAGATTTCATTTGTTGTCCTCGATTCTAGATCCGATCGTATCTAACTAATAAAAACTATGAAAGTACGTTTTGTATTATACATAAAGCATTATTGTACAATTCCTTAACACCTTACTCAAAACAAAATACATGTAATTTAGTAGATTTATAAGATAAGAAAGTAGTGAAAGAAATCAGTCGATCGAAATTGATCGCTAGTAAATTAAACAGGGATAATTCCAGCACTGTTCTAATCAAAATTTATTAATCACATACCTCTTTTTATGAAATCTGAAAAACACCGAATAATCGAATCTTAAATTCATATTCGAATATCAACTCATCGAATGAATATTCGAATGTTCGAATATTCGTTGCTATCCCTAGTTTGAACATATTTTATTGTATAAATAATATACAAATAGTTTGAACACAAGTTCTAACAATTTACGAGGTTCAGACAAGACAGGACACACAGACAAGACATTTACAATATCCCATAAATAATGGCATCGCAACCACTAAGACAACAAAAGTGGGGGACCACAATTATAATTTACTTTGCTTGTTTAACTTACTTTGCCCTGATTATTGTTCATATGGGACTGAGCTTCAAAAAGGTGACAGTAAGGACGGGACCGCTTTCCTTTGCCAATGTAAAATATAGCACCGACAAATATCTTAAAAGTTTCTAATTCACCTAAAAAAGAAAATACACTGATCATAGTATGCAAATGAATCATTAATAATTTTTTAGTGGTTGATATTCTTCCAAGTATATCATATAGAAATATTAAGAATTCAATTAAATCAGATGCTGCTAGGAGCTTGTCATCAAGCTAGTCTACAGTATATAACTGGTTTCATCATTAAATTTTAAATACAGAATTCAAAACTACAATTCACATAAAACATTGACTCTATATAATTGAGGTAAAACTTACCCAGGTTATCTGCCCTGTTAGGTAGGTCTTGTGTGATACGAGGATCCAGTAAGAGATAATTAAAGGAGGACTTCAATGCTCCCTCCCTCCAGGTACTGGACAAACTCTTGTCATTAAACACCTTAATGAGGTCATCCTCCATCTCCCTCAGGCCCATCACATCAAAGTTACCCTCAAAACTATTACACAGCACTGTGGGGTAATCTGAGAACAAATGTGTTAGTGAATTTCATGGTTCTATAGCATAATTTGTATAATGACAAATGCACACTTTTATTCAAATCTTCTTCAAGTGTTGAGATAATTGGTCATTCAAAGTGTGTTCATAAACAATAAAAATTAATTAAATAGATAAAATAAGCCAATTAAGGTTTTGTAGAGTAAATGAAATTGAAAACAGGAGACACAAAATTAACAGAAGTATTTACACAAGTATTAAGCAAAGATGTATAAAATTATTATTATCTAAAAGAATATGCAATGGCTTTAGAAAATTAGGTACTGGCTGTAATTCAGAACACACCTGGTAACTTCTTCAAAATTCCAAGTTGGCCACACTTAACATTCGTTTCCAGGTGTTTAAGTCTTGAAAGGTATGTCTGCCTAGTAGATGGAATAACTGGTCCAGGGTTATCTCCTAGGCTCTGTAACTTCTGTCGGACTTCTTTATTGGACAATACATTATTGATGTCATCTGATGTATGAGAGTAACATTTCCAATCGTACAACTCTGTCTTCTGTGAGTCAACTGTTGAGAGGCTACAGATACTGTTATTGATAGATGGACGGCCACTACTTCCACAAAACGATGATAGAATGTGCTTTTCAATCAGTTTGTTGCCAGTATCTGGATCTTCCCAGTAGTGTATTGTGGACTCTGCAGTACTTCCTAGAGATATTGTATCTATACTGTATGGAAGAGTTTTGTTGAGATCATCATATGGATCATACAGTTCAGTGTCTTCGGAGTTTCCTGACTGTTCAAGAGTAGAAGAACAAGTGTCTGAAGCTAACGGAAAATTTTGTTGATGCCATTGTCTGACAAGTTCCTTTTTACTTGGGGATTTCAGGGCCAGACTATTTAAACTTTTAGCAAAACTAGGTTTACTTGGAGGACAAAAGCTCTCGTCTGATGTCAAAAGGTCACTGAGATTTGCTGGTAGAGAGGATGGTAGGGTTACAGGTGGGGAGAACACTTTCCTCTGGTTTGGAGATTTGATGTTCATGGCATTGAACTGCCTGAGAATGTCATTATTTTCTGGACAAAAGCTTTCATCTGAAGTCATGAGATCACTCAGGTTCACAGGATAAAATGGTCGTGGAGAACATCGAGGTGAAGTCATTTGATCTTTGAATACCTCATACACATAGTTTTCATTGTTCATGACACTTTCTCTTTCCTTGGTCATGTCTTCCTGTCCAAAGTTTGTCTGTGAACAATTGCTTCCAACAGCATTTCTGTTGTGGTCCAAACAAGGACTTTTTTGCAGTTTGCCACAGGTACATGTGTCACAGTGACTGGTGCAAGTTAAAAATGAATCTTCTGATGTCAGCGTATCATTTCTTCTTCCTTTTATGTCAATGTATGGATGATCTGTAAGAAAAAAACATTAAAAAAGGGATTCATATTGATAAAAACAATTATTCTCATACATGTATATACATGTACAGTTACCGTTATACACTTTATTAAGTTTAAAGTAAAACACCTGCTATTAAGAAATTTTACCAATTTTTATCACCTTCAATTTTACTTTATTAATGCCCCAAGAATTTCCAATGATGCAAAATATGTTGCACAGGAAATAACTAAGTACCTGGAGAGGTTACATCCATGCAGTAGGTGTTTCTTGACAATAAGTCTTTCATGGTACTTGAACTTGAGTCCAGTTCTTCTACAAGATGCAAATAGATTTGAACTATTCTGTGAGAAATTCTAAAATGTGCAACTTATACATATCATTACATAAAATTAATTATCTTTTATTTCTATGGTCTGGTTTACTGATTAGGGACAATTTCAAATTAATAATTTTTCTGTTTGACCAACTTTCTATAGTTTGAAGCACAATTTGATATGTTTTATGAAGGAAACCTTAAGGAGGTTCGATCCTGAGCTTTTGAGCAGATTTTGGTCTGGACCTTTATTTCTAAAATTCTGCATCATTTTTAAGTTCTAACATTAAATCTGGATTCTACAATGCAAATTATACTTTATCCAATGAAAAAAACGCGATTAAATTCCATTCAAGTAGGATTAAGCCAGGAACTATATTTTGTGGCGAAAGGTTTTTTAGAAGAAAATGATCAATTCTTCCCTTTTGAAATATATAGAAGATAACTTTAATCAATCTGCTTAAATTCTGCAAAAGTTTAAGACTTTAAAATAATTTTCTTGCTTGTTAAATTTTTAATGCCAGAAAAATCACATTTTGTGAGTGTAGAAAGGTCAAATAATTGATTATTGCTTGTTAAATTTTTAATGCCAGAAAAATCACATTTTGTGAGTGTAGAAAGGTCAAATAATTGATTATGCGAAGCAATTTGAAACTTTTTCTTAGTCACAATTTTAATGTGTCTTTTTTTAAATAGATTAATTGTTTACTTTGTCCCATGATTTACCTGGAAAAAAAATTTGGAGGGAAAACGTCGAAGATGTGATTTTTGATTAAGACACAAATTTCAGTGCAAAAAGGTCATATCAAATGTACTGTAGCGCCAAAAGAAGCATATTGACCCTCATTTTTTGTTTTGATTTTTAATTAAGCTATGTGTGTAGAAACTAAAAATATACTTGACAAAAAAAGTTTAAGACTTTAAATATCAGGATCCAACCTCGTTAAACCTCATCAACTCCTTTGTAAATGAGGAATGTAATAATGGTGCTTTCTTTCCTTTTAAATTGACAGAAATTTCCACTTACTATGTAGAGAGATTCAACAATTTATGGATGGAGTCAGTAATGGAAGATGTGGATTCTTTATCATGTGTACTTTTTTTTAATTTATAAAATTTTATTTCATTTATAATTCTTAGGAGTCTAGAATCAAAATGAACTACCTGATATGTGTGACTTGATAGTCTCCACACAGTCACTAAATTTTCTTGCACTTCCAAATGCTGTCTCCCCGTCCTGACAATGAAACAATCACTTGTGTAAAGACATAGACATTATAAAATTGTGTTTAATTATTTGACCAACACATACTTGTTGCTACTAATATTATATCTATTGAATAAAAATAAGTATTTGAAGATCTTACACAAAGCTTATCTCAATGAACGTTAGTATTAGTAAGGCAAAGTCTCATATCAAATGCATGTTAGTGAAATCCAGAAAAGTTGAAGATAGTTAATCATTAAGGCCATTCATATAATGATTAAATTTTAAGTCACTTGCAGAATCTTAAGGCAGTTGGTATACATGTATCTCTTGATCATGTTGATGCATCATTCATGTCAGTCATGAGTGTGGTCAAGTTAGATCAATGTAATTTAAATAAGATTGAACCTACTGCAAAACTCTTGCTAGCCAATTATCAAGAAAAAAAAAAGTGTACATGTATATTAGTTTCAACATCTGAAGAAAGTCTGGTGGTCCTTGTTGGCTTATAGTTACTTTGGGTTGGACCTGCTCTAAACACTTAACCTGGGACACATATGCTGGGGGTGTAGACTATAGAGTTGCTCATAAGTTATGGTTATTAAAAAGTTCTGCTTCAAGACAATGGTACAGTCCCTAAAAAGTTTTCCTATCTCACATGAAAGTTTAGCAAATGGAGTGAAAGGTGACAGAAAAAAGATTGGAAACAGCAGAGTGTACATACAAAATGATCAGTGAGTAAACTCTTCATCTGAATGAATTCATCAAACATTGCTTGTCTTCTTAGGAAACATTTACATTTTAGTCTTTTTGATATCTATTTATTTAATAATAAAAATAAATCATTTTCAATACACGTATTCTAAATGTGCACATTTGGACACTTTCCCACTGTTAATGAGCAAACAGAGAGTGCAGGCTTAAGTGAATGTTAGAAAAGTCGTAGTTGAATATTTCAGAGACTGTTCCATATATATAAGAACTCTACTCTTTATCTATAAGGCATGTGCAAGAAGTTTTACCTCATCTTTGATAAAAGGATCACCACCATGTTGTAGGAGATCTATGAGAATGTCTTTCTTCCCCCACATGCAAGCAACATGCATTGGTGTGGTACCCTCTACAGACCTAGGAATAAGTCATTCTTCATTTATTTCAAGGCAACAAAAATGAAAATTTGTTCATGCTAACACAGCAATCTTCATGTACATCTATAATATATATCTAGAAGCAATACAACTAAATTATCACTGAATAAAGCAACCTTTTTTAGATTATGATGGCTTCAAAATAATAGTTTTAAAAAAAAAAGACAGAAAATTTCATAATGTCATGAGATTGGCATGTTTTCAATCCTGGTTTGATATGATAATACATGTACATGCACATGTATTAAGAATATTTATTATACCTCCACTGATTTTTCACCATATAAAAGTAATTCCATATATTTGCTAATTCCCTGTAAATCATCCTTAAAAGGACTGATTCCCTGCAAAAAGGTATGTCAGTTTGATGAACTAATACACACCCATTTGGAACACTTGACAATTTCCTTTATTCTTATGTCAAGTTTGAATATGTTCCAAATAAAATCATGAATGTTCATTAAACAGCTCAGCTGAAGTTACATATAAGGGGTGGGGCTTAATTTATATGGGAATGAATAACTTGTCATTGTGACATCATCATGATAAAAAAAATATGTTTTAAAAATTTAATGTGCAATGAAAGGCAGATCACATTACTTTTTCACCATAAAAAATGTGTGTATAATTAAAAAGAATATTCCTTGCCATATTACCTTTGTCTAATATTTGGTAAAGTCTAAAAATAAATGTCTGTCCTACAAGGAATGTATTTTTATCAAAAAAGTACCACTATTTCTATGCACCTTTTAATTGCTCTGTGTCTAAAATAGAATTGCATCCAAGTTATTAAACGGGTTCTAATTTTTGTATCCTTATAATAAAACAGTTAAAGTGTAATCAGTGAGGAAGTTAGCTCTTGCTCGAGAGGAACTGGAATAGATAGTTTTCATCTAACTGTATTTTCCCTGCGAGTTACTTCCCTTTGCCGCCATCTTGGAGGTCCAACTAGCGAATTTTTTCCTCTTTGAGCAACCAATTTTAAACTTGTATGGCAGAAATATAAGGGCAAAAATCTTTAAAACACTAAAATTACGAATTAAAGAAAGCTTGTGTTAACATAAATTTGTAAGAAAAATTGTGTTATCTTCTCCCAATTGCCCAGTATGACAAGTTTAAATTGGTTGAATAATGAAGGAATTCGGGCTTGTATACCTCCAACACGGCGACCAACGGGAAATAACTCTTGCTAAAATCGTGTCTATCGAAAACTATCTATATCTTGCTGATTCCCTCAATGATATACTTTAATTGAATAATAATATATTAATTTTTCTTATACTTTCTTACTTTCTATATCTTTCTTCTCATAAAAGATGACTGAAACAATTTAATACCTGACATTAGGGTTGCCTTTATAATCTAACAGTAAATGTGTTGCGGAATCACTGAGTCCTGCAGCTATATGCATAGGTGCTACCCCCTCCACGGGCAGGACTTCATTAGGGTCTGCACCCTGCCTCAACAGGTCTTCAGACAATCTACAATTAAAACCTCCAATCAAAATAGGTCTCTTCATCAACACATACTTTTTAGTAATTTTCGCTCCTCATCTAAAAAAGGCAATTTTATAAAAAAAATTTAAGATTTTAAGTGTCTATCAATCATGTAGTAATTTAACTATTATTAATTAAAAAAATAAATACCAACTTGAAGCCTTTTGAAAACAACAATGATCACCTGAATTTCCTTGTTATTAAATAATTTAAGAAAAACTGAATTTGACAGAATCAGCTTAGAGTTCAGCTACCTATGAACATGATGGAAGAGAAAAGGTTAAAATGTGATAGATAAAACCCTGATTTGTACTTCCCCTGAATCATAGAGAATGCTGAAGAACTTGTACTCTTAAAAACATAGATAATCAAAGATTACGAAGCTCATCTCGACGAATGTTATCTATAAGTAAGGCAAATTTCACATAAGGCATACCCGGTAATAAAAAAAATATGTTTGTTTACGGTTACCCGACTGACCCTATAATTAATCGCCGACCCAGATTTTTTTCATCGTAAAAACCTGGAAGTCACTTGCCGGTCAGTTTAACTTTTACATGCATCTTAATCGGTCAAGCGTTTGAAATCGAAATTGAAAGTACTAGAAACAAAACACCACACAGTGGTAAAACTGTGTTGTATTTCAATCAATTCATGTGAATTTGTGTATGAAAAAATTCAATAAAATAAATAAAAAATCCTACCTACCGACCCTATTTTATTTCAGCATGTAACAGTAAACAAACATATTTTTTTGTTTGGCCTAATATTTTTTTTCTAGTTAGGGTACATCCCAAGATCAATATCCATGCAAGTTTGGTTTAAGTAGGACTTATAGTTACTTGGAAATAGACCTGCTCGATAAACTTTTAACCTGTTTAGTAATCAAGAAAATTGTGGTTAGTTCCAACATTCAAAGCAAGTCTGGAAGTGTTCATCCTTAGATGCACCATCTGTGCAAATTTAATCATAACAGAATACCAAATAAATATCATATTCTTTCAAAGTTAATCTTTATTATGTGTATTTATTAGCTCATTTCCTGTGGGAGTCATGTAGGACTCATGTGGGACTTATTTTCTCCGTGGGACTTGTTTTAGTATCAGCTAGCGGTTAAGCGACGTGAATAATATAAACAAAAAACAGAAATTCAAGAGAGTCGGAGTAGGCACTACTAGATTTACCACCTGCCTTTCATTTTTGCTCAGAAAAGTGAGAAAACTGCTGCCTGCTTGCAGCCTCCTTTAATGATGACATATTACAAATCATACCTTTTAACTTTCGTGACATATTACAAATCAAATAGACACAAAAGGTGAAAACTGTCAAGAGGTTGATATTATTTTAAAACATACATATATGATCATGCATAATCCTTTCACAAGTTCTGATTTTTTTCACATTTTTTTCAGTGTCTAATTAGTATGATTATTGATTAGGTCAAAAATGCAATATCTGTGGCGGTCAGACGGGTTCGATCACCGGTGGCCAGATGGTAGAGCACCTGACTGGAAATTCAGGGAGCCCGGGTTTGAATCCCGGTCTGGTCCGCTGCATTTTTCTCCTCTCCCATTACATATCTATACATGTGTACAATCTCTTGATTTAGCTATATAGCTTAATTTAGCTATATAGCTTTATTAAGCTATTCAGAATAGCTTGATTTAGCTATTTTATCACACTTTTCTCTTAAATGTGTTATTTTCTCAGCATGCACAAAAAGTCGCAACTTGGTGCAGCAATAACATTCAACCTTGAACTCTTCTGAAAATAATACATGTAAAAATCACTCATCAAATTGCGTCTCCTAATGAGACTTTGTACTCAAAGTTCTAAAAGTTTTGGGGCTATATAAAGCAATTGATACAGTTACTTCTTCATTGAAATTATAAAAGAGGCCAATTATGGTCAAATAATTCAGTACAATGAGAAGCAATCATACTTATCCACACCTCAACGCACACAAGGTGGTGAACAGTTACTCAAACAATGGAAATTCATCTTTTGCTTAAAAGTATTCAAATGCTGCAATGATCGAACTATCTTTGATTTCTGTTGTTATTTTGATAGCCCATAGTACATATATGAATAATCAAATACTTGCGACTTTTTTCTATTTCTTACAAAAAACATTTTTCTGAAAAACTGCACATAAATAGCTTAATCAAGCTATTTTAAATAGCTTAATCAAGCTATTTTAAATAGCTTAATAAAGCTACTTAGCTTTTTCAAGCTATATAGCTAAATCAAGAGATTGTGCTGGACCTGTGTACTATGAACTGTTTTACCATCTAAACTGTCAATATTACATCGTCCAGAGTGCAGATGAAATATAATTCAACGACATGTGAAGTTTTTAAATTGAATAATAAAATAAAATAGGTCTCATTCAAGTTAATACACACCCGAAATCGCCTTTACTCAATGCATCAAATAGCTGTGCTGCAGTCGCCATTTTGAAAAACCCGCTATACTAATCACGTGATTAAATCCGGAAAATCATTTTGTACAGACAGATTTTTTATTTTAAGTTTTTAATCTCGTAAACACTTACTGTCGGGTAACAGAATGCATGTTTCTAAAGATTTAAAATAACATTGTTGATACTGAGTTCTGCAAAAAGTGTGCATTGATCGTGATTGCTAGGAGCAACAGCTACTAAAACAGGATTGGAATGAATTCTGGCGAATCATCAAACGATGAAGTTGAAGATATCAAACAACATAGAAACCTTGATGTGGCTTCGACAGCTTCTCTTGATCTGGTTGCCTTAAACAATAAGGTGAAAAAGGATGGTCATCTGTTGTTTTGTGTTCACACAAATTTAGTTTTACAGCTTGCTTAAGTATATTAGTTTTACAGCTTGCTTAAGTCAGAGACATATATATGTCTCTGCTTAAGTATATTACATTTGTTTACATTCAATACTTCATTTTCTCTTTTGCCAATGTATGAGATATTCCTAGTTTGGAAAAATTTGTTTTTTTTTTTCAAATCTTGAAATGCATAATCTGAATATTGTATTTGATAATCATGATAATAATGTAATGGGAGAGGAGAAGAATGTGATGGACCAGACCGTGATTAGAACCCGGGCCTCCTGAATATCCAGTCAGGTGCTCTACCAACTGAGCTATCGATTGAATCGGACCGCCACATTTCTCCCTCCTTAAAGGTCTTCGCCCTCCGAAGACACCAACCCAGGCTCTTCCCTGGCAGGTCTTTCACCTGTCACTTCCAGGGCATGGCATAACACCAAATGTAATGGGAGAGGAGATAAATGTGACGGATCAGACCAGGATTCGAACCTGGGCCCCCTGAATCTCCAGTCAGGTGCTCTACTAACTGAGCTATTTGGCCACCAGCGATCGAACCCTTCTGACAGCCACATTCCTCCCTCCTTCAAGGTCTTTGGCCCTCTATGTATATTAATGAATATGTTGTTAAGTGATGTTTTCTCCAATGAAATATAAAGCAACTTTGCCGGGGATACTAAATGGCTACATTACATCCCAAGATACTTTACATCCGAATATGTTTTAAGAGAAGTTTACTGTATGTTTATTAATTATTATTGATCAGGCAGGTTCGATTGCTGTGGCCAGATAGCTCAGTTGGTAGTGCACCTGACTGGAGATTCAGGGGGCCCTGGTTCGAATCCGTCTGGTCCATTGCATTTTTTCCATGCCTGTTACATTGGTGCTGTGCCATTATCGCATGGCATCCTGGTAGCAAGGGAATTCTAGGAAGGTTTCACAGAAAAATTTGCTTGACAAATATACAGATTTTAATTCAGATTTTTTCTGCTCTTACACACTAGACTATTGAGTTCACTGTGCTCACCATAAGTAAATTGATTCTGTCTCATAATTACACCTCTTATAATGTATTCTTGACAACTGGTTTCACACCTTTTCAGTGCAGATTAGTCACAGGTCAGTAACTAAATAACCTCCTTGCTGTTTACGTCAAATGATTTTGTTTTCTAATGAGGTAATGAGGTGACAATCAGTTGGTCACTGAGATATTTGTTGTTGTTGTTGCAGTATTATTAATCAATTGTTTAAATAAATTATTTTTTAGTCAGAAAAATTTATTAGAAATAGATGACGTCTTTATTTCAATTGGCATTTCTCTTGATCATGTTGATAAAAAGAAAAATTATTGATGCAATAAATGTGGAAACTAAACCCACTCTCTTTCTCTCCCCCCCCCCCCCCCCCCAAAAAAAAATAGCAGGGGATTTAATTAAGTATTGCTCCTACAAGACTGAGCAAAAAAATGGAAAATGTAAACAATTAAATAATGTTTTGCCAATTTGGAACACAAATACATGTATTATGAACTTGCAAATTTGCTAAAATGATCTGACAATCATAAAGATTTTGAAAAAGACTTCATTCTCTAGCTTGTAAGGCCATAAAAATATAAATCCTAGATTCTCATAATGGCCCACCCCGATTTTTTACCCCCACCTTTATTTTTTGTTTTTAGTTTTCTCTGTCTTGATCAAAATCGGGATTCATCTTACCATTTAATTTTCATTTTAAATCCTGCGAATGTCAGAGATTTTGACAGCTGACAAGATGCTAATTGCTGTAATATGTATTAAACAAGTATCATAGGTTGTGAAAGACTGGTGAGGATGAGTAGAAAGAAATGTAATTATTTAGATGGACCCCTACTATGACCTTCATTTGGGCATAATAGATAAATAAGCACCGATTGACAAGGTCAACAAACAATCTTCACATATAAGGAAGAAATAAAAAATATGACATAAAATCTGCCTGTCCAAAAAAATTTGGATGAGAATCTAGGAATTCATTTATTATGACCTAAAGGTAAGAAACTGTAGTCAAACATTTTTCCACATAGGAATAATTTACGCTATGTAAGTGTCATAAATTTTCCGTGGATTCTCCCAGTCCGTATATAAAATGCATTTAAGACATACATTCAATGACCTTACAAGAAATTTGTAATTTTTTATCTGCGAATTAAAAAGAAATTGAGATTCCTTGGAATGACCGTATGAAAAAAAGTACACTTACAGTACAATTAAATTAATATACAATTCTTTCTTTGTAAATTATGGATTTGAATTCAATATAATCATGTAAGATCATTTATTTACATGTATAATATACTAGTACATAGATTAGCATCTCAACATAATTGCAGTTTGAAATGTGTTTAGTTCAGGAGAACTGAGTATTTCCAGTCTCTGTTTACAACATACACTTGTTATACAGTGTGTGCCAAAAACATTTTTCAGCACTAGCCCAGTTATGCAAGCAACGACAAAATTTTACTTGTCAAACCACATTTTACTAGCCAGATAAGCCCCCTTAACGTAGGTTGCGGGTTTGCTGACGTCGTTAAAACTGGGTATGCAATTTATATGATTTGGGCGACTTTCTTGTGCACATTTGATTATGACGTCACAATGAAAAAGAAATCTGCGATTATTTTTGTTTTATTAAATTCTTCAGTATATCATTATTTAAAGATATACACACAATAACTTGCATCAGTTAAAAATAAAGTTGGAAATTTAATTATTTTGTTTACCAAATAAAGTTACGAAAATATTGTAAATTACACAATTGGAAATTAACGCATTATAAAGATCTCAAATCATAATTATTTATTATCCTACTAGGAAAGTAATGCCTCTATTTAAATTCATGCATCACGTGACACTGTCGCTACTTTTAGATTGATAAACAAAAATGGCGTCAAGAAAACGAGGTAGGCCATTTGGTATACAAAATAACTTTTGACATGGATGGCATACGTTTTATGCTTAAAGATACTTATCTTTGAAAACAACCAGTATTAACCGTCTACTCTGTAATGACAGATATTAACTTTTATTCAAAATCGTAGTCAAAATGCAACGTACCTCGTCTATGATTTCCCGCGGACATGCGTATCTATATACTGTTTACGCACTTCCTTCATCAATATTCATGAATAGGCTAAATTCTTAATGCAGATCTTGCTTAATTGTTTTGTAATTACAACGACTTAATTAGTAAAACTTTGTGGAAAGTAATTATTTTTTATTACACATCATGTTTCTGAAATCATTTAATCATTTTGTTTCACATAAAAAATCGAGTTTATATAGTGTGTATATCTTTAAGGAATGAATTTAATAGCTACCCAATTTATTCGGTATAAACTGGGTTGGAACAGTTTATGCTTTTTTATAAACCGCTTCGCAGTTTATAAAGCGTAAACTGCCCCAACCCAGTTTATACTGTATAAATTGGGTAGCTATTAAACTCATTCCTGATAATTTAATTTTCATTCATTTGGTGTAAGAAATAAAGATGATTTCCTTAAAAAATGACTTCAATTTGTACAAAATTTGAATGTAACGTCAGGCGGATCAATACGTATTTGACGCAAGTCATTGTTACGTAGGCAACCCATTTTATACGATATAAAGTAAATTTTTTGTCCAATCAAATACATGTGTACAGCGTTACAACCAGAATTAAATAATTTAGCTATAACTTTTCTTGGAATTGGTAGTTTAGTGTTATATTATTTAAGCAACAACTTATCACAAATAATGAAGGCTTTTTACGATTTGTATAGTCAATACAATAATTAGATAAAACTTTTTTTGGAATTGGTAATTTAATGAAGAAGGCTTATTACGCTTCGAATGATCGGCACTGGAAGTATTAAAAAATCGTTTCATTATTTGTTATCAATCGCATCTTCTCGGGCCTTTCCTGCGAGCTTGGAAAAAACAAGTGGTTGTTTTTCAGCTTGTCAGAAAGGCCCGAGAAATTGCGATTAATTTGTTATCGCGAAACGATATGGACACAAGGTTCAACTGACCGTTTTTCCTTTGATCCTATTTGAATTAACAGTTTGTTTTATTAAGAAAAAAGCCATTATTTAAAAAAAATCGCAAATACACCTGTTACATCAAAAGATTAAACTTTATTTTTAAAAAGGATATTTTTAAAATATATAGATCTACAAGTTTATCATATTTTAAATACTGCTAAGGTACGATGAAACATAAAGACAATTTTTTAGTGACACTGACCTCCTGTTAGGGGACAACTATTTGAATCTGAGGGAGAGGGGGGTGGCAAATTTTACCAAGTCAGATTTTTAAAAAAAAAAAAAGTAAGAAAAACATCAAAGTTGAAAAATCCCATGGGGGCCGGGTGTGTGTTTGCTAGAACTAGTCATGGACAGATTATTTATTTTCTTGCCCAGTCAAGGACAGATTATTTATTTTCAACATTTTCGAGGACAGATTATTTATTTCCAAAATCTGTAAGCCCCCTCCCCCCCCAAATGAAATGATCGTCCCCTAAGCAACAGCTTGCAATGCTGTTACCTACAGATTTTATTCGCTACTTTGCTTTCCATGTCCAACAAGTAGAATTAATGTTCTAAAAAACTAGCTGTTGATTACGTCAGATAAAATTAATTTTAAATCCTCATCCCATTTACCCCTCTGAAAATGTGGTATGTAAAAATAAATATTTTGTTTAAATATACTGAAAATATATTGTATTTAGTCGGGACGATATTTGGCAGAAATTCGTAGATTTGAGCGCCTTGCTGAATGGTCTAAATAAAAACATTTTATATACTTAAAATACTTGAATTAAAGGATACCGTTTTTCGCCAGCACGCTGGAAAAGAAAAATACACAGACAAATGTAAGGATACGTCTAATCTACAAAAAAAACAAAACAAAAAAACAGAAAAGAAACGGTAAGAAAACAACACATAAAGAAAGTAAATTGGAAGAAAGAAACTAAAGGATTGATTGTAGTTTTATGTCCCTTGCGAGAATTTTCACTAATATAAGACATACTAAAGGATTGATTGTTGTTTTACGTCCCTTGCGAGAATTTTCACTAAAATAAGACGTACAAACACCCTAATCTGAAGAGAAGCATGTCTAATAATAATTTCACTGATATTGAATTATTATGATATGATTCAGGGGTCACCTCAAAGCAGATAGACATGAATTTCTTGTTTATAAAAATTATCTTATTTTTCTGCACTGGATACCGGATAAATATTCACGAAGTCAAGCATGACGTGATATTTTATGACGTCGTTCTTAAAAATGTTACATTTTGCGATATAAAAGCAATTATCCACATTTAAATTACGCAAAAACTAACCCGAAGACATTAATTTTTTCACGTCAATTTATTTCAGATCAATTTTTTGTTAAAATACCAAAAGGGAAACAATTTCGTCTGCACCATTTAAAAGTTATTGATATTTTTTGAAACAAAATCTTACCTCAAAACAAGCTGAAAACGACATTTTTCTTATATAATCCAACAGAATAACGTCGAAAATGTAACGACAACAATGTCATGTTTGGGATTTAATTACACAAAAATGATGCAGATGAATTTCATAAAATTTTCAGAGAATATAAAACGAAGGTAGAGGATTCATATAACTAATTTTCATGATATGTTTTCGGACACTTTTAAATGGCCTGCAAACCCGCGACCTACATTAAAAGTGTGAAAAATGAAATGACAGTTATATTTCATTCCTTTAAACTTAGTCAACAAGGCTCATTATTTAATTTCAAATTTAAATTTCTATGAGCCCTCTGTTCTGTCATTTTATGGTTAGTTATTTAGTCCTGAAATATTTTATTTTACACATTGATGAAGTCTGATGTTCTATAAAGATTTCATAACAATATGTTTGTAAATAACTGAGTTATGGCCCACTGCCCACCCACTTTTCTTGAAGTCAGTACGTCTCCTTCTCAACTTTTTCTTTGCATTCATTTGCCATCACAAGTCATGGCACCCTGAGACAGCAAATTATAAATAACCAAGCATGGACAAAAAAGATTAGAAGAACATTGAGAAAGTCAAAAATTTCAGTAAAAAAAAAAAATCTTTTCAGACAAAAGAAAGTTTTTTGACATTTATTTAAAACACTGAGATGAAAGTGGATAAATACAGCTGAAAAATTCTTTCAGTATGTTTGGGCTAGACTGACCTACATTCTACCAACCCACTGACTTTTTACTAGTGTTTGAGCATTGGGCTAGTGCTTTTGGTGCACACTGGTTATAATGTAAGATTTTTTATATTCCCTTGAGATACTTTAAATGAAGTTTACTGTACTTTTTTCATAATTTTTAAGAGAGAACTTAAGCCATTTTACATTTTTTCCCTGCAATCAGGTTATTTCTATGAGGGGCCAAATTAAGAAGGTGAAAGTTCAAGTAATCCACAAGCTCACAAGACAAATAACAGCACTACAGAACAAAGAAAGGTAAATCATTGTATTATAATATTGTAAATTATAGCACTTCAGAGTAAAGAAAGTTAAAAAAAAAAACATTTTGTTATTTTTTAAAATCTTTTCAAAGCAATGCATCTGGGTGATCTTAGAATATAAGACATGGCATAAAAATGACTGAATCAATTTTACGTATAGAAATAGGATATTTATATTTTTAGTATTGTAAAGTTTTGGAATGTCAGGGCTCAACATTAACTAAAATATCCACTTGTCCATCGGACACGTTACCAAGAAATGTTACTTGCCTGAATTCATTGTGTAACAGGAGGAGAAAAAAGTATGGCTGGACCAGGAATCGAACCCGGAACCCCTACATCACTAGTCAGGTGATCTAGCGACTGAGCTATCCAGGCCATCATCCATGGCCCAAATAAAATCATTACATTCCTCCCACCATAAATTGTCTTTGCCCTCGAGGACACAACCCCTAGTTCTTATTGCCCCTGGCAGGACTTTCATCGACAAGTCCATGGGTGGTCAACAGCACCAAATTGTATAATAGGAAAGGAGAATAAGTATGGCTGGATCAGGAGTCGAACCCATGACCCCTGAATATCTAGTCAGGTGCTCTGCTGACTGAACTACCCAGGTCAATATCCACAGCCCAAACCATTACATTCCTACCTCCTTAAATTGTCTTTGCCCTCAAAGACACAACCCCTAGTTCTTATTGCCCCTGGCAGGACTTTCATCGACAAGTCCATGGGTGGTCAACGGCACCAAATTGTATAATAGGAAAGGAGAAAAAGTATGGCTGGATCAGGAGTCGAACCCATGACCCCTGAATATCTAGTCAGGTGCTCTGCTGACTGAGCTACCCAGGTCAATATCCACAGCCCAAACCATTACATTCCTACCTCCTTAAATTGTCTTTGCCCTCAAAGACACAACCCCTAGTTCTTATTGCCCCTGGCAGGACTTTCATCGACAAGTCCATGGGTGGTCAACGGCACCAAATTATGTAATAGGAAAGGAGAAATGTATGGCTAGACTGGGAATCGAACCCAGGACCCCTGCATCACTATTCAGGTGCTCTACCGACTGAGCTGCCCAAGCCGATATCAACAGACCAAACCATTACAATTGTTTACTTGTCCCGCTCTGAGGATTGTAGAACTTTATTTTCAAAAATTAAGTATTAAACTCTATTTTGACTTATAAAGATTTGTTTAATCATGAAAATGATTTTATGACTAATTCCGGTGATTATTGACTGCACCCTTAAGAATGTATCCTTTTATCATGTTTATTTTTAATGTTAGAGATTTTTTTTAAAGCACAGTGTGAAATGAATTCTGTTGATTTTTTTTCAATCATATTTATACAAAAGTAACTTGTCCAATCAGACAAGTGTGTGTTGAGATTGACTTGTCCGATCACAAAATGGACTGGACACAGAAAATAGGACAAAAGTTAATGATGAGGCCTGAATGTGTGCTGGGATAAATAAAATGCTTTTTATTACCAATAGTACTAAAAAAGAATTGACAAAACCAAAAAATATACAATTAACTGCACATCTTTTATACTTTCTAAAAAAATGTGATTTACAATATTAATTCACAATCCATAAACAAGAACTTCAGTTTGCTCATTATTGTCAAATTGTTTGGATGTGAAAATTAGAAGCAAGTTTTATTATTGCAATGAGGATATAGGAAAATTAATCTGGCAAATAAATAGAATCCAAGCTATTGTCATGAATACAAAGTCACATGAAATATATATTGTATGCAGTACAATATTCTAGAAAATGTTCTCATTACAATAAAATACAAACAACAATGTGATTATTTATCTCTGTTATTCTATTAGAGGTCCAGAGAAGTTACTAGAGAAAAATAAAAGAAAAGCAGAAAGATTAGTAGAGGAAGTTCAAGTTTTAAAAGTAAGTGATGGTCAAGGGAGTCATTCTAATATACAGTATTTGAATATTCAAAGATTAATACTGTCTCACTAGAAATCCTCATCATTGATTTAATTAGAGTTTTTTTAGAAGTATGCACAGTGAAAGAGCATTTTATGTTGATAACATTGACAATATTTACAGGACTTAAAACCAGACGGCATAGCAAAATATGCCATTGGACATACAATTTCTTTCACTGATGTTTGCAGAGAGGTATGAATTTTAAGGCTATATAAAAGCACTTGATCTCTTCAAATTCTTATTTTTGTTTAAAGTGTGGGTATGTTAAGGCAGCACTCAGATCATTATAACATAAAAATCACTAGCTGTACAATTCACATATTATAGTTCACTGTGATGTAATATTGTATTACAGATTATGTCAGAATATCTGGGTGTATACTTAACATGCTTCACATGTAAATTTCCCAAATAATATTTCAAAATTTTGTATTTTTAACTTTTAGCATGTTCCAGTAATCTCTCTTTCACTTAAATGTGTTTGTTTTTTTTTTGGAGGAATGAAAAATATTGTAGTTTTATCATTTTCCATGAACACTAAACTTTGTGGTTGAATCAGATATTGATATTAGATGATAAACAAACAGCAAACTTTACTAATAAATAAAAGTTTAGGTATAAAGTAGCTGTCCACAAATTTACATATCCATGAAACAGTACAAAATTTGATCCCCAGCAAAGTGAAAGAAACCAATGTATTTAATGAAAAAGGGAACCCAACATATGAATATGTACCTTATATTGTAAATTTATGTATTGACAAATGCTAAGTTGTCAAGGCTTATGATTAAAAAAATCCACAAAGCTATTTAGTACAGAAAATTAATGCTGTTTTTGCACCCTACCGACTTTTGCAATATTTGCAAATGAAGAGTTTAAACTTGACCATCTTGATCAGGTAAACTCTGTACTGTGCATGTTGTGTGATCAATTGAACTATTTCAGTCTATTTTGTGATCAAATTACAGTAAAACACGGGTATAGTGAAGTGGCAGGGACAAAAAAAATTAATATATATTATAAACATAATTCGTTATACCCAATAAGTTCATAAAATGTTTAGAACTATAGATAATCACTTAATAGTAATGTGTGAATTTATTATAAGCCTGTTTGCTGTAACTGTGTTTAACTTTAAATATTATTATTTTATTTGAAAGCAAATTTAAAATGATGTTATAAACAGAAAAGCTGACCCAAAAATATACTTTATATGAATACTCAAATAATAAAAATGTGGAAAAAATAGTTGCAAAGTTAAGTTAGTTTACATTAATTATATGTTAACATTTTAAAAATCTGTTTTTGTATATTTCAAGCCAAAGGCCTCTTTGGAAACCAAAGCACTGGCTAGACTGACAGATCACAAGATATTGCAAGATTCTGTTAAAGAATTCCGCAGAGACCATGAGGACTGGATGTCTTTGGCAGCTTTTCTGATGAGTCGAAATTCAGGACGAAGAATCAAAAAACAAAAACCAAATCGTGTAGATAAAATCATTACCAATGTCAAGGCTGGAGAAGTTCTGGTGAAATCGTATTTGCAAAATCGTCTGGAAGGAGAGGAAGAAGGCTTGGACAAAGTTCAGAAATTGAATGCTGGGAAGAAAAATCCAGACAATTCAAAACAGGAACATACAGACACTTTAGCTAATCCAAGTTTTCCTGGAGATGGAGGGGGGTCTGATATGGAGTCAGGTTTGAATGAAGAAGAAAGTGAGGAGTATTCTGAGGAAGATTCTTTTAACAGTGAAGAATTGTCAGGAAATGAGTCAGAAAAACTACAAGCAGAGACATTACCTAAATCAATAGTACAAAGAGATTCAGTTAAATCAAGCACAAAAACATCTAATAAAAATAAACAAATACATAAAAAGGAAGAAAAGCAGGATAGCAAAAACTCAGAAATGGTAATAAAGAAATTAAACATGGATGATCTGGATAGTGAAAGTGAGATACCAACAGATTCTGTGCCTTCATTTCTTACAGGAGAGGATAAATCAAAATCCCCAGATACTGAAACAAAGAGACACAAAAAGAAAGATGCTTTCTTTGTTACTAGCGATGATTCAGATGGAGAGGATGAAGATGATAATCCAGAGGACAGTTACCGATTAAAGGGAGATAATTCAGATGAGGAGGAGGAGGAATTGGAGAGGGGAAAACATGCATTTAGATCAACATTCCTCGGCTCATTGTCTGAAAAAGATTGGAGAAGAAGCACCAAAGAAAGAAATGAGGACAGGTCAAAGAAGGCAACCACATCACAATCCTTCACGAATTTTCAAAAAAATAAAAGGAACAGAGGATTTCCAAATAATAATCCTAAACAAAACAAGCAATTAAGGTACATATAATTTATTGATACTAGCTTTTTACTTGTATGCTTGGACATGTACAAGTTGCAGTTTTTGTATTTTTTTGTATTGCATTTACCAGGTAAATATGATAATTTAAATTCATCTTCCTGTCTCAGAATGAAACTAGAAAAGTTGAAGTATTTTGTTTTTTCAGTTTCATTATCAAAATTTTAAGAAAAAATAACCTTGTTTAGAGAAATAAGCAATCAAAGAAAGGAAAAGATAGGCTAAGACCCCTTTTTGGCCCCTGGTTTGGGGTGTCTTTTAGAATGATGCAACAGTTTATCAATGAAAACCTGTTGTCACACCTGCCACAAAATGAGTATTGGTTCTAAGTTATGGGATACACAGAGGTCACAGGAAGGTCAGAAAATATGTCAATTTCTGAATTTTCCCATTTTGATGCAAATTTTCATTTAATTTACAGCACATTTTGTCTCAGAAAACATAGAGCACAAGCTTGCCTATCTATCAAATTTATAAATTTCATACACTAGTATCAGATACATCTTGTGTATAAAATCTCAGATAGGCAAGCTTGTGATCTATGTTTTCGGAAGTGAAAAGTATCTGATTGAGGAAATTCGGGAAAATGTCCTACGTCTGCACCCTCTTGTGGCCTCCATGAAAGATTTGAATCAAAATTAGTGCTGGTTTTAAAACAAGCATCATTTTAAGTTCTTAACTACAAACTTTCACAGTTTTAACCATGTTCTGATTTTTACATCAAATAAGGGGCCAGATTTGGCCGTAACCTTACCTTGTCCTTTAGTTTCAGTCAGGATCATTTTTCAAACTTTTACACACTAATGCTACAACGATTATCCCAATAAGAATGATTATTTTAATTGAAATAATTTTATTTTTCTTTGGTAAAAATTGTTAAATTAGATGCGTTTTCATGATTTTCACAAAAAAAAAGATATAATGTCTTAATTTTGAACATGAATTTTACTGTTTTGGAATGTAATTTAAACATCAGAAGCAGGTTCTGGTGTTGTATAATATGTTGAACCCATGTTCAATAAATCACTGCAAAATATGAACCCCTATAAACTCCTATCTAATAAAAGTCTAATGGGTGTATCGATATATTGCAGTCATAATATCTTGACCCCCCTCCCCTGATTTAAAAGCTCTGAAAGTAGGTCAATATTTTTCAACAATAATATTTAGAAACCCGCCTTTTAACTATAGAAATCTGAGTGTTGAATATTTTGATCCTCAAACCCCCTTCTACTCCACAGTAATCCCCCCCCCCCTTAGTTAGAATAATCTAACTATGTCTCGATCGGGACAGGCCCTCACCACAGTTAGAATGCCTCCCATATACCCGTAATGTAGCAGAAAATTGCAGAATCACTCCGAAACGATTTTGGAGAAAATTAATGAAGTTGCATTGAAAGTAACAGTCAATTTAATCATAACAAACCTTTTTGAGACTGTAAATACCTTTCATCTAAAAATTTAATCCATATAATGGAAGAATTCAACACTTTTTCACCATAGTGTTTTACTCGTTTCAAATTTACACACCATGTTGACATTCAGAACTCTCGGCATTTTTCATAGTAAATGCACTGAGTCAGAGTTATCTCCCATATTTTCTTTGCTACATAGACAATACACGGAACGCATTCTATCGTTAAACCAGGTCCATAGGACATTTAACGATAGAACATTCTATCTAACCCCCCCCCCCCCCATCCAGGTCAAAATTTTATAGCCATAATACAGTTGAACTTCATTATCTCGAACACTGATATCTCGAATACCATGGATATATCGAAGTGATTATTTGAAAGTCCCAACTACTTATTTAAATATTTTACCCTTTATATCTTAAATCCTCGGATATCTTGAAATTTTTTTCTAGGTCCCATCGAGTTCAGGTAACAAGGTTTGACTGTATTTTGAACCCCACGTTCAATATTTTAAAGGAGGGGGGATCACTGTTTTGCATCTGAAAATGTGGTTTCCTATTATATTATGCAGTGTATTGAACCCAGGTTCAACATTCACAGTATTAAAATATGATGCTACACTGGCCAAATCCATAAGACCAATCTGGGAAATGGAGATGTAACTTTCATATAATAGATTAATTTAGAACATAGAAGTTTAGATTTTCACTGTTTGACTATTTGTGTGAAAAATGGGGTATTTACTGCAAATTACAAAATACATGTAGATAGTACTAAATTTGGAAATCACACAATCTGAAAGGCTTCATGCTCCCGATTTTTGGCTTTACCTGATGATGTGATGTACATGTAGTACAATGGATGCTATTCTTACATGTACATATATATATCTAAAGTGAAACATTTATCTCAAAAGACATTTTCATGCACTTTTATGTGCATACTCTGAAGTCATATATAAATTTTCAGTAGGAATTTGGTTGAAACCTGGTCATTGGTTTGATGCAATTGCAAAGTACAGAATTTATTGGGAAATTGCTTGTAGTAATATTCCAATATAGCAGATTTATGTACACCAAATATTTATTAAAACATCCAGACCTGTATGATAGCAGTTAAGTATCACAATAAACAACATTATAAATGAAGAGGGTATATTATAATGAGTACTGCTGAATTTTAAAAAATCTATTCAATTTATATTCATCATGTTCATAAGTTCAAATATTTTATTACAGGTCAAAAGAAACACAAGACACTGCCCGAAAAGGTAAGCTTTGCACCTCTTTATTTCATCATTACCAGTACATGTATTAAGTTAGCAAATTTTAGATAATGCAGATTTTTTTTTTTATTTTAGTCCATTTTTACATGTATTTCTTCATGAACATTTTTGACTTTTCCTTTCAAAACCTTCAATAGAAATAACTACCTGTTGTCCCTTTTTAATAGTAAGTGGATATAGTTACATTTTCTGAAGGTGTCTTAGTGTAATTATACCCCCGCTCCGAAGGAGAGGGGGGTATACTGTTTTACCCTTGTGTGTCTGTCTGTCTGTCTGTCTGTCCGTCTGTCTGTCTGTCTGTCTGTCTGTCCGTAACAAACTTTGGTCGCAGTTTTCTCAGCAACTACTCATCACAGGTGCTTGAAATTTTAACACACTCTTTGTTTAGGCATGCCATATTGTGGGATTCATTTTTGTACGAATTCGATGTCAACTTCCTGTTTATCCGTGCGTTTGTCCGTACCATACATAAAAAAATTTGGTCGTAGTTTTCTCAGCAACTACTCATCGCAGATGCTTGAATTTTTAGCACAATCTTTGTTTAGGCATGCCATATGGTGGGATTCATTTTTGTACGAATCCGATGTCAACTTCCTGTTTATCCGTGCGTCTGTCCGTATCACACATAACAAACTTTGGTCGCAGTTTTCTCAGCAACTACTCATCATAGGTGCTTGAAATTTTAACACACTCTTTGTTAAGGCATGCCATATGGTGGGATTAATTTTTGTACTAATCCGATGTCAACTTCCTGTTTATCCATGCATCTGTCCGTACCACACATAACAAACTTTGGTCGCAGTTTTCTCAGCAACTACTCATCATAGGTGCTTGAAATTTTAACACACTCTTTGTTTAGGCATGCCATATGGTGGGATTCATTTTTGTACGAATCCGATGTCAACTTCCTGTTTATCCGTGCGTCTGTCCGTACCATACATAACAAATTTTGGTCGTAGTTTTCTCAGCAACTACTCATTGCAGATGCTTGAAATTTTAGCACAATCTTTGTTTAGGCATGCCATATAATAGGATTCATTTTTGGAACAAATCCGATGTCAACTTCCTGTTTATCTGTGCATCTGTCCGTACCATACATAATAAATTTTGGTCGTAGTTTTCTCAGCAACTACTCATCGCAGATGCTTGAAATTTTTTCTTTGTTTAGGCATGCCATATGTTGGGATTCAGTTTTTACAAATCTGATGTCAATTTCCTGATTATCACTGTGTTTGTCCATAACTGAACTTGTGTATTCACATCAGAGCGGGGGTATTATTAGTGAGCATTGGCTCACAGACTTCTTGTTTTGTTCATTTTTAGCTCACCTGAGCTTTTCTGATCACATTTTGTCTGTAGTCCATCTGTCCGTCTGTCTGTCTGTCCGTCTGTCTGTCCGTCTGTAAACTTTTCACATTTTCGACTTCTTCTCAAGAACCATTGGGCCAATTTCAACCAAACTTGCCACAAAGTATCCTTGGGTAAAGGGGATTCAAGTTTGTTCAAATGAAGGGCCACGCCCTCTTCCAAGAGGAGATAATTAAGAATTCGTGAAAAATTAATGGCATCATTAAAAAATCTTCTTCTCAAGAACCACTGTGCTTGAAATCATGAAACTTATGTGGAAGCATCCTCAGGTAGTGTAGATTCAAGTTTGTTCAAATCATGACCCCCGGGGGTAGGGTGGGGCCGCAATGGGCGATTTAAGTTTTACATAGGAAATATACAGGAAAAATCTTTAAAAATCTTCTTCTCAAGAACAGCAAAGCCATAATTGGTCATATTTATATGGTAGCATCCTCAGATAGTGTACATTCAAATTTGTTCAAATCATGACCCCCGGGGTCGGGTGGGGCCACAATGGGCGGTCAAAGTTTTACATAGGAATATATAGGAAAAATCTTCAAAAATCTTCTTCTCAAGAACAGCAAAGCCATGATTGGTCATATTTACTTGGAAGCATCCTCAGGTAGTGTAGATTCAAGTTTGTTCAAATCATGACCCCCGGGGGTAGGGTAGGGCCACAATAGGCGATCAAAGTTTTACATAGGAATATATAGGAAAAATCTTTAAAAATCTTCTTCTCAAGAACAGCAAAGCCATGATTGGTCATATTTACATGGAAGTATCCTCAGGTAGTGTAGATTCAAATTTGTTCAAATCATGACCCCCGGGGGTCGGGTGGGGCCACAATGGGCGATCAAAGTTTTGCATAGGAATATATAGGAAAAATCTTTAAAAATCTTCTTCTCAAGAACAACAAAGCCATCACTGGTCATATTTATATTGTAGCATCCTCAGGTAGTGTAGATTCAAGTTTGTTCAACTCATGACCCCCGGGGGTCGGGTGGGACCGCAATGGGCGATCAAAGTTTTACATAGGAATATATAGGAAAAATCCTTAAAAATCTTCTTCTCAAGAACAGCAAAGCCATAATTGGTCATATTTACTTGGAAGCATCCTCAGGTAGTGTAGATTCAAGTTTGTTCAAATCATGACCCCCGGGGGTAGGGTGGGGCCACAATGGAGGATCAAAGTTTTGCATAGGAATATATAGGAAAAATCTTTAAAAATCTTCTTCTCAAGAACAGCAAAGCCATAATTGGTCATATTTACATGGAAGCATCCTCAGGTAGTGTAGATTCAAATTTGTTCGAATCATGACCCCCGGGGGTCGGGTGGGGCCACAATGGGCGATCAAAGTTTTTCATAGGAATATATAGGAAAAATCTTTAAAAATCTTCTCAAGAACAACAAAGCCATGATTGGTCATATTTATATGGTAGCATCCTTAGGTAGTGTAGATTCAAGTTTGTTCAACTCATGACCCCCGGGGGTCGGGTGGGACCACAATGGGCGATCAAAGTTTTACATAGAAATATATAGGAAAAATCTTTAAAAATCTTCTTCTCAAGAACAGCAAAGCCATGATTGGTCATATTTACATGGAAGCATCCTCAGATAGTGTACATTCAAATTTATTCAACTCATGACCCCCGGGGGTCTGGTGGGGCCACAATGGGCGATCAAAGATTTACATAGGAACACATAGTAAAAATCTTCTTCTCAAGAACAGCAAAGCCATGATTGGTCATATTTATATGGTAGCATCCTCAGATAGTGTACATTCAAATTTATTCAAATCATGACCCCCGGGGGTCGGGTGGGGCCACAATGGGCGATCAAAGTTTTACATAGGAACACATAGTAAAAATTCTTTAAAAAAAAACAATTTGTTAAGAATAGCAAAGCCATGATTGGTCATATTTATATGGTAGCATCCTCAGGAAGTGTACATACACATTTGTTCGAATCATGACCCCTGGGGGTCGGGTGGGGCCACAATGGGCGATCAAAGTTTTACATTGGAACACATAGTAAAAATCTTTTAAAAAAACTATTTGTTAAGAATAGCAAAGCCATGATTGGTCATATTTATATGGAAGCATTCTTAGAAAGTGTACATTCAAGTCTGTTCAAACATGACCCCTGGGGGTCGGGTGGGGCCACAATGGGCGATCAAAGTTTTACATAGGAATACATAGGTTAAATCTTTTAAATCTTCTACTCAAGAACAGCAAAGCCATGATTGGTCATATTTAAATGGAAGCATCCTCAGATAATGTAGATTCAAATTTGTTCAATTCCTGACCCCCCCCCCCCCCCCCAACCACTTTTATATTTAAACTTTTCAACCTTTCAAGATTGAAGTGATTTCTGCTTTTTCCTAGCCATAGTGCTCAGGTGAGCGATGTGGCCCCTGGGCCTCTTGTTTGTTGTGTGAATTTCGTTTGCATTTGATCTAAATTTTATAAGTTTCTACAAGAATATGTCATTCTGAAAGTATTGCAACAATCACAAAATGTCCAATTCAATCAATATATATTTTTAGGTCACCTGAGTCACTCAGGTTATCTATTGCTATCTGTTTTTGTCCGTCGTCGTGCGGGTGTGCGTCGTGCGTTAACTTTTCACATTTTCGACTTTTCCTCAAGAACCACTGGGCCAATTGCCACCAAACTTGCCACAGACTATCCTTGGGTAAAGATGATTCAAGTTTGTTCAAATGAAGGGCCACACCTTCTTCCAAAGGGAGATAATTAAGAATTACTGAAAAATTAATGGTATCTTTTAAAAATCTTCTTCTCAAGAACCACTGGACCAGGTAAGATGAAACTTATATGGAAACATCATCAGGTAGTGTAGACTCAAATTTGTTAAAATCATGACTCCCAGGGATAGGGAGGGCCCACAATGGACAATCAAAGTTTTACATAGAAATATATTGGAAAAATCTTTAAAAATCTTCTTCTCAGGAACAGCTAAGCCCTGATTGGTCATATTTATATGGAAGCATCCTCAGGTAGTGTAGATTCAAGTTTGTTCAAATCATGACCTCGGGGGTTAGGGCGGGGCCACAATGGAGGATCAAAGTTTACATAATATATAAGAAAAATCTTTAAAAATCTTCTTCTCAAGAACAGCAAAGTCGTGATGAGTCATATTTATATGGAAGCATCCTCAGGTAATGTAGATTTAAGTTTGTTCAAATCATGACCTATGGGTGTAGGGCGGGCTACAATGGAGGATCAAAGTCTTACATAGGAAAATTTCTTCTCAAGAACTTCAAAGCCATGATTAGTCATTTTGATATGATCTAAGTTTTACATAGAAATACATAGAAAAAATCTTTAAAAATTTTCTTCTCCAGAACCACTGGGTCAAGGAAAATGAAACTTATCTGGAAACATCCTCAGGTAGTGTAGATTCAAATTTGTTCAAATCATGACCCCCAAGGGTAGGGCAGGGCCAGAATGGATGATCAAAGTTTTACATGGGAATACATTGGAAAAATCTTCTTCTCCAGAACCACTGGGCCAAGAAAGATGAAATGTGGAAACTTCTTCAGGTAGTTTAGATTCAAGTTTGTTAAAACCATGATCCCCAGGGGTAGGGTGGGCCACAATGAACAATGAAAGTTTTACATTGGAATATGTAGGAAAAATCTTGAAAAAATTCTTTTCTCAAGAACAGCAAAGCCATGATTGGTTATACAGGTATTTACATGAAAACATCAGGTAGTATAGATTCAAGTTTGTTCAAATCTGGACTCTGGGGATAGGGTGGGGCCACAATGGACGATCAAAGATTTACAAAAGCTCCTTCTATCTGTTTATTTTATACTCTATGGATCTATGGATTGTTGTTTTATACTCAGGTGACCGTTAAGGCCCTTGGGCCTATTGTTCAATTGGTACAAAAATTGATGAGATTCTGGTAGATTTAATTAATTATTACACATGTACTACCTAACACCAGAACTCAGATAAGTTATATGTTTAACTTAAATGTATGTACAAAACAAATCTGTTTGTAATCAAAGTTTTTCTATAGACGTTGGCAGTTGTAACCATTTTAGGTGAGAACCTCTAAGGTTGTATGTAAGAACCTGTTTGAACCATTTGTATAATATTTATACAATAAATTATGTTAAAATCATTTCAATACAATATACTGGGTGCCCAAGGATTTTAGCCATAATTTTGTCAAAAATCATCCAAGCTGAACAAAGTGCAAGTTCAAGATAGATGAATATACAGTAGAGCTTGGTTATATGAGAGTCACTGGAACCCCAAACTTTGCTTCCTTATATAAACTGAGATTAAATTTGTGTAAAGAAAATAACAGGTTTTCTATGGTACTCTTTATAAAATTGTTAAAACCAAGATTACCTTATGAGCAAGTTCTTCATAACCAAATTTTACTGTACCAAAACTCAAATCAATATTTGTCCCTTCCAGTATCATGAGTAGAAGACTAATAATACGTACATTAATGCATGACAATGCATGACACATTATATTTTTGTAATGTTTGATTTTCTTTTCCAGATGTCAAGAATGAAAAGTTACATCCTTCATGGATTGCAAGCAAGAAACGAAAAGAGCAAGCACAAATAAAATCATTTCAAGGAAAGAAAATTAAATTTGATGACTAGCATTAACCATATTAGAAAAATTTAATCATTTTTTGATACCTTGTGTCAATACAATGTATTAAAATTCATGTATAAATTTCAATAAATTGTGTTACTTGACTTTGCAGCTATATTTTGCTTTTTTTTTTTTTTGGGGGGGGGGGGGGGTAACATTGTTTCCTGTTGGTGCTCTTTTTTGTCTATTTGTTTTATTACTTTATATAAAGATAGGACTTTCCTGTAAATTACATAATTTGAATCAATCACGTTTCAAAGATTTAGAAATTTAAAACAATAACCAATTTATTTACCGACTCTGCATTTTATTAACAGACAGTTTAAAATCAGCCTAACTATGGAAACATGAGGTTATTCAAGTTTAAAATTGGTGAAAATTTTTATTTGAACATAACCTATATCATGTTTATCTACACTCAATCTCGTATTTTTATCTTTTAGCTCAGATACGCCATATAAAGCTTTAAAAAGACAAAAAAACAAGAGACCCAAGGGCCTTAACATAAACGTGATTACTTCAACTATTCAATCGTCAACTTCCCTTACTTATGTACCAATATACCCTCATCATCTGCATATGGGGTTTATGTCTGTCAGTTGATTCGATATGCAAGAGCATGCTCTACGTATGAACAGTTTCTAAAACGAGGAAAGCTATTGACAAACAAGTTGATGAAACAAGGATATCAACAGTCTCATTTGAAGGCATCATTTTGCAAGTTTTATTGTGGATACAATGACCTTGTCAGCACATACAACCTATGACTGAGTCAAATGCTGACTGACGTTTTTCATACTAATTGTTAGGCCATTATTTACACACTGAACTGTCTATGGATTTTTTGCAGTATTTTTTCCCCGATCATGACAACGAGCACACAGTGGGTGTGACCGGTTAGCAGGGGATGCTCAGTCCTCCATTGCACCTGATGATTTACTGTAGATTCCTTATTTTACGCGAGTACTTAATATCGCGAAATGGCCCTTAGACGACAAATCGCGAGAAGTATAATTCGCGAGTGGACGCTTGATTAAGATATTTTATGTGGATTTCAGTACCACAAAAATTAAAGCGAGTAATTTTATTTCGCGAGTGGTTCTTCTCGCGTAATAACGCGATAATTAATTCCTCGCATATATTTAGGAATCTACAGTACTTGACTTATTCCTGTTCGCTCCTTGGGTAACATAGGGCCGCAATCACACTGCCCCAGCAGACTTTGTTTTAGGCTATGTTTTTCAATTGGGCCCCAGGTAAAACCTGCCTCCATTGCACTTATCCCACCTCTAAATTTTGAGGTCCGCGTTGCTCTGCTCCAGATTGGTATTGTTTCATTGGACTTTCGAGATTAAATACTGTTCATTATCTTCACATTTCATAAAACAAAAGGCCTATAGACCATATCGCTCACCTGAGCACATTGGCTCAGGAAAAAGCAGGAATTCCTGAGTATAATGTGACACTTCAAATGAACCATAGATTGAATATAAATCAAAATGCCCCTAGACCATATCGCTCACCTGAGCACATTGGCTAGGAAAAAGCAGAAATTAGTTCAGTATTGAGAAGTTTATGAAGGGAAGGGGGACAAACTTAAATTTACACTACCTCAGAATGCTTCCATATCAATATTACTAATCATGGCTTTGCTGTTCTTGAAAAGAAGAATTTTAAAGTTTTTTCTCCAATGAATTCCTAAGTAAAACTGATTGCTCATTGTGGCCCCACCCTTCCCACCCTAAATTTGAATCTACACTACCTGAGGATGCTTCTTAGTTCTATGATAAATATGACTTATCATGGGTATGCTAGCTGTTCTTGAGCAGAAGATATTTTCATGATGATTCCTATAAAATCTTATGTAAAACTTTGACCCTCTGTTGTGCCCCCCAACCCCTGGAGGGTCATCATTTGAAAAAAAAAACAACTTGATTTTACAATACCTAAGGTTGCTTCTGTATAAATATGACTAATAATGGCTTAGTTAATCTTCAGAAGATTTTTAAAGATATTTCCTATGTAATAATGTGTTTGATCAGGTTCTTACAAGGAATATATAGGTTTTCCTTTTACTCTGTCTGAGTTAATGATTGGAATGATTATTAAGACAGCTCTGTCTGAGGGTAAATCACACAACACTAGAATTTTTCTCTTATCTACACTGGGGACTGGGTAAGGTACTTGCACCTTGTTTCTCCCCAAGTTTCCTATTGATAGATAAGAACCATCTTCCAATTTACTACTCCCAATGGGTCAAAGTTTTACATAGGAAGATATAGGTGTAATGGTTAAGGGGCATTTGCGTAAAACACATTGAAGACTTCAAATAGTGGAATGGCTTGACAACCCTTGGAATGGAATAGCCAAAGGTTATTAAAGGCAAAGCTTTGGGAAAGTTGGGCATTCAGAAGCTAGCTGAAGAAAATGGCCATAGAATCAGCAATAAAGAAGTTAAGGATAAGAGCAAAATAAAAGTTATAAGCATCAGTGGCAAGTATCCTAGGGAATTGATGTTAAGTTCTTGGTGTAGTGGGTACTTCTGTATTAATATGACTTATAATGTTCTTGAGAAGAAAATTTTAAAAGATATTTCTTACTATATTCCTGTGTAAAACTTTGGCCCCTGTTGTGTTTACGCTCAACCCCAGGGGTCATGATTTGAACAAACTTGAATCTAAACTACCTTAGAGGATACTTCTATGATAATACATGTATGACTAATCTTGGCTTTGCTGTTCTCGAGAAGATTTTTAAAGACATTTCCTTTATACTCCTATGTAAAACTTAGACCCCCTCTTGTGGCCCCGCCCTACCCCTGGGGGTTATCATATGCATAAACATTGAATGTAGAGTATGTAATGAAGCTTTCACATAAGTTTTACCTTTTCTTGCCCAGTGGTTCTTGAAAAGAAGATTTTTAAAAGATGCCAACAAATTTTTAAGAATTCTTAATTATTTCCCCTTAAAAGGGGGCATGACATTTTTTGTGAACCCAAGGATTCTTTGTGGCAAGTTTGGTTGAAATTGGGCCAGTTGTTCTTGAGCCTTCAGCTCAGGTGAGCTAATAATACAAAATAAGCTAATAAATGAAACTATGTCACCCAAAAGCAAGAGAAATAGGATGACCAGGTATCAGCAAAATAATTAATTTAGTGCTCAGTTACAAACTTGATCTAATTATTTGCCTGTATTCCCCCATTTGTCACTATACGCATGCGACTAAACAAAACAATAGTTCACTTTAGTAATCCCATCTCATTCCCTCCCACATTGGCCTCTCTTAGTCTTTGAAGAACATTTAATGTACAAGTTATTTTTTGTCCCATTTTTATTTACATGTAAATATTATTTAAAAGTCTAATTGATCATTAAAAAACTATCAAAGTACTTTATCAAATATCATAAAATAAATCTTGTATAGTTCTCTTATTCAATTGACCTTTCAATTACATAATTTATAGTGATTTAATATCATAGGTGAATAGAAAAGGGGAATAACTTCTTTCAGTAGAATACAAATTAACAAATTGACCAAGTGGTGCAGAATTTGAAAAATATGCTAAAATACCCTTGCTTATTACAACTTTAAATACTCTTTTTGCCTCCTAGATGTCCTTTTCTAAGATTTTCTAAGAAATAATGCATTTCCACTATAATAGATTCAACAAAGCCCCATCATTAATACCCAGGAGCAGAGAAGAAAATTTTCAAAAAATTAATGCAATTTCACTTTGTGTTCCCCTTCTCTGTCAGCCATGAAATTCACAATTTTGGAAAAAGCACCCTTGCCCATCATAACTATGCACTTGGTTTGTTTGTTTAATACCCAGCAGCAGAAAAGATTTTCAAAGAAATAATGCACTTTAACATTATAATCAATACACCTGATAGAACCCCTGATCCTGGGGTCACAAATTTCACAATTTTGGAAGAGGGACTCTTGAGTATCATAACCATGCTCTTATAGTTTACCTGTTTAATACCCAGCAGCAGAGATTTTCAAAAAAAAAAAATAATAATGCACTTTCATTATATAATCAATACACCCCCCCCCCCCCAGAACCCCTTACCCTGAGGCCACAAATTTTACAATTGTGGAAGTGGCACTCTTGATTATCATAACCATGTACTTATAGTTTACCTGCTTAATACCCAGGAACAGAGAAGATTTTCAAAGAATTAATGCATTTTCACAATTTAATCAATAGGGCCCCTTCCTGCTGAACCCCTCACCCTTGGGCCACAAATTTAACAATTTTGGAAGATGCTTCCTTGATCATCATAACCTTGCACCTAGTTTATCTTATTTAAATACAGGGGGAGAGAAGATTTTTGAATAATTTTTTCACTATATAATCAACAGAGCCCTGCCCTGGGGTTATGAATTTCACAAATTTGGAAGAGGCACCCTGTTTCATCATAACTATATACTTGGTTTGTTTGCTTAATACACAGGAGCAGAGAAAAAGATTTTAAAAGAATAAATGCATTTTCACTTTATAATCAGTGGAGCCCCCACCCCTCCTGCAGACCCCCTCACCCTGGGGGCCACAAATTTCACAATTTTGGAAGATGCACCCATGATCATCATAACCATGCACATAGTTTATCTTATTTATATACAGGAGTAGAGAGGATTTTTAAAGAATTTATGCATTCTTACTATATGATCATAAGAACCACACATATACTCCATAACCCCTGACCCTTGGGCCATGAATTTCACAATTTTGGTAGGGGATTCAATGCTTGTCACAATCAAGCCTATTTTCCTATTTATTCCTATGTAAAATTTTAATCGCCCATTGTGGCCCCCCTGTGGGTCATGATTTAAACAAACTTGAATCTATACCACCTGAGGATGCTTCCATATAAATATGAACGATAATAGCTTTGCTGTTCTTGAGAAGAAAATTTTTATAAATTTTTTCCTATGTAAAACTTTTATCGCCAATGGGGCCCCACCCTACCCCCAGGAGTCATGATTTGAACACACCTGAATCATGTGAATCTACATTACGTGAGTATGCTTCCACATAAGTTTAATATTTTCAAGCACAGTGGTTCTTCTTCAGATTTTTAAATGATGCTATTAATTTTT